CATACGATTGATTTGCTGTTTGTGAGCAATGTGTTTGGATGGCAATAATGGTGTTTAAAACAACCATTGTATAACATGTATTGACTCGAAAGCAAAATGGATCCACAAACTGTCTGGCATGTATTAGGTTTCCTTTGCGCAATATGTTGAACAGTTTGATTCTGATTCCCGGTTGTTTCAAATTGGCAAGTATGAGGCAGCCAATGCTCAGATCATAACTGGACACCAGCATGAATCCAAGTATCGAATACAGCTTAAAAAGATTCCATTTTAAATGATTATGCAGCATCAAGATCTACACTATGCATGGCTTGATTAGCTACCCTTAAACCTGAATAACTATTGTATTTTTGATTGCATTACCAATGTCATGGACACCATACTCTTGAGTCATGTCAACATTCATGAATAATCATGTATGCTGTATAACACTGGATTACTATCGACTGAAACAACTTTTATACTCTGTTGTTGTACACGTTGGTTATTGATATATTGCACATGTTGATCTACCAAGTGATTAGTTCAATTCAGTATACTGACGACAAATGGAATCCAATACAAGATAGTGAGCATTGACAAATGTAATATTTGACAGTATAACCGAGCCTTTGTGCTTGGACGAGACAAACCACAATATAATCAATAATAATACCAACCAAGATTGGCAGATTATACTAGTGTATAAAACAGTATTGACTGGATTGAATTGTTGGTTTATTTGTTGATTTACAGTTGTTTTTTGAATGAATTTATTTAAAATAAACTCGGGTATTGAGATATGAAATGATCTCATGTGAACATGCCATATCCATACAAGCATATACTGTTGATGTTACAAGTGTATTGGTCAACTGTTGTATGGCAGTCCCAGTGATGGTGTCAAAACAGTGTCTGTTACCAATGGTACGCTACCAACAGAAACTCGACTGATCCAACAGCCATGTATACACATTGTTGTCAGTTGCATCGAGTGATGGTCCATGTAGATTGATTCAAATGGGTTGCATATAACCGATTAATCCAGCATTCATCCATTGTCAAACAACTATAATGCACAATACCACCAAGTGTGCAATCACACCCGCACTGATCAGTCGTTGTACAGTATGCATCAGTCAATGTCCAACATATGTGTGTCTGCAACTAAATTGCAGTCCATGACACATTCACACGATCCAACATGTCAAATCATGTATCATGAGTCCAAAGTTGATCAAAAACCTGATCATGGTAAACACAGCATGTTGTTGCATATCAGAGTCGATATATCGAGTGACAGTTGCACACTTGCTGATGGTGCACAGCGTATCAGTCACAATACATGCACGGTATTGCATTGCAGTCATTGGATGATAACTGGTTGCAATGTGATACCGATCGACATACATCAGCATGGTGTGATGTGACCATAATCATGATGGAATGTGTTGGAGTTGACATTGTGAGTTGACAATCGATACACCATGCACATGACTGGAACATATATATTCGAGTGTGGTTTGGTTGGTGTCCAGTTGATCATGCAATCGCATCGGTGCAACGAGTGAGCGAACTAATGGTGATCTGAACCCATTTCAACAACAAGGAGTTGACAGTTGTGGATTTGCTGTATCCAATATGTGTAGCACACCGTTGTTGACTGTTGACTGTGTAGGCAAGTCAAGTTACCACCAATTACCAATCAGATCCAGTGCATACATGACCATTACTAGAATGAATGCCAAACATATTCGTGTCTGAAAGTTGATTGTGAGTTGGTGGTTTGCAAGAACTGGACACAACCAACATGCTATTGCATACAGCAACCTGATTATAGTCCAGTCGCATGGTGTGATACAGTGATTTGTGAAATACAACATCCAGATATTTGTAGTGTTGAACACGACGAATCTGTTGTTCGTGTAGCATCATATCAATTGTAATTCGGAATCAAAGTGTTGACTAACGCTTTGCAAGTATTAATGACTGAATCAAAAGGCATAATGGTTTCAAAGAGTCGCTTGCAGCATGTCAAGCAATATCATATCGACACTATACACACATGCATGTCAGCATCATCAATGTGTACAACTATGCAATATATGATCAACTGTGTTGTATTAAAAATACAAGTGTCAATGTACAATATGATATGATGCCAACCAAAACTGTGTACAATAATCAGATACAATGCATGTACATACAAATTTATTGTAAATTAAATCAGAATGAAAATTGAATCGGTTGAAACCAGTCCAGATTAGCACTCAAATCAATCGGATGAATCGTCATGTTTGGGTTGACTTATTCATTACACATATCACTGTATACAACACGTAGTTATTTGTGTGCTGGATGATGTTTGAGTGGATTGGACTGTAGATGCTTCACTTGATGATGATGGACTTTCATGATGTTGTGATGAACTCTGGGTTCCACTAGTAGAAGCTTGCTCGGATTCTGACTGCTGGTTTAGTCGGAGAGTGAGAGATTCGTATATGCTTTCAAGAAAACCGCGATTGAATTTCAGAAATTCAACACAAGAATAAAACGATGCTAGATCCATACCATATCCAAACAGGCGCCTTGCGATGTTTTCTCTGATTGAATACAATGGCAATCTAAACACAAAGAAATCGTGTTCGAGTTTCTCTCGCTTTTCTTCAAGCTCCTTGAGTTTTTCTCTCGCTTCTTTAAGCTCGAGTCTAGAATTTTGAAGCTTTTTTTGATATGTTGGATCATTCTTGTTTTTCAAAAGTTTATGTAGTAACCTGAAATGTTTCTTATTCAGCCATGCCACCAATATTTTTTGATCAAGCTCTTTAGATTTGGCCAAGACACACACTTTCCTCATCTCTTGACGTTTTCGATCCGTTTCTAGATGTCCTTCGATCAACCTCGCATCATCCTCTGAAAGTCGACTAGTATCAACTAAACGTGTAGCTTCTTGATAAGAAATTGTCCGATACTCAGGTACAATACCTACAAATGCACTGGGATTGGCTGGAGTAGCTGTAGTAACCGAGCAAGCAAGCAGGATTGATGCCAATACTGTGACTGCGAGTTTCATTGTGTTGGTTTGTATTGATCAAACAAGTTGTAATTATTGGTATTCAACAAGCAAGGCTGGATTGTATTTATATCCATTATTGGATGGATAATATTAAAAGCATGCTGGATGACCGTTTTAGGGATTGGCTTTATTATCAGGGTTGGTGTTGATTTGGCATTAATGTTCAACTTTGAAGGGATATCCATTTATATAACAACCGCAGTATTGATTGGACCGCAACTTGACTATGCATTCGAGTATTATATGGTTGATTGTGTATCCCATCTTTTTCTAACCTAAAAAGGGTCAGTGAGCTGAAATATGAACAAATGCATGTTTAAACAAGACTATATGCAACTGAGCTGATATTCAGTTATTGGATGATCATCAATATGTGTTGTGGTTGGCATGGTTCAAACATGTCGTGGTTTGGTAATACTTTCCATTCAACTCGACACGATCAATCATCACTACACATTGTCCAGTAATCCAATCAATCAACTGAATCAATGCAATGCAGTTCATGTTGCAACTGTTGTGTTGGCATTGATGATCAATGACTTGCAACTGTTGTGTTGACATTGTATGTTGTGTTGCTATATCAACATCGATTGTCACTATATAGTTGTATCAACCACACATCATGATCATATGTCATGGTTGACTCGTATTCTGGATTGGTGCACTCATTCCATTGTATTCCATTCCATCACTCGAACACAAACATCGTATGACTTGTTGATTGCTAATACCCATATTGATCGAATGCACACTACATGACACATGTCAGGTTAGCGTATACATTCCACTATATAGCACATCATGTTGCTAATACCACGCATTGTGATTCAACAGTCAATCTGTATTCGAGTTCAACTACAATTGATCGTGTCAATCATAATATACACGACCAATTGTAGTCGAGTTGATCCGACTGAATAGAGTCCGAGTCATCATGTTCATATCAAACCATTGTAAACCATGACAAGTCTATTGCACAACTCCACAATCAATCACCAACGATCATGATTATACGCCCGCTCATATATGTATTTGTTGTATGCTGCTGTGATTCGAGTTCGGTCACTTGTCAATTCATCTCGATGGTGTTTGGCTTCAGCTGGTGATTGAACACCTTGAATATACTGCGTGATATCATTCCACAGTTCAGGCAGTATGTGTGCCTTGTCAAGACTCGAGTTGTACCATTGTGGTTGTTGTGGAGCCACATGCGCAGTCGAAACAATCCGACAGACTGGATTCACTACAAAAAATGTCAGAATCTTGCAATGTCCTGGTTGAGTTGGATCTGCAAGTTCAAATGATTGTTCTTTGTGTTGGTATCGATTGGGATAAACTACACATCGACCATTTGATACTTCAAGCAATCCTATATACTGATTTTGTGGTGATTCTCGATTAATGCCGTACACATCTTTCCAATACATATCAGATGCCATTTCATAATCAAACCGATCAACAGCCTCGCGGAAATCGAGTTTGGGTGTGGTGATATTTTCCACGTCGTAGTAATACAGTCCAGTTGCAACAATCGATTCGTTAATTGGACCTTCAATGTGCCAGTTTCCCTCGTCGTATTTAGGTTTGGATGGTGTCAGTTGAATGTTGGTGAGTTTGACAATGACTTGCAGATTACGACCACGCAGTGATACTGGCTCTGCTGATTCATATTTGGATTGGAAATGTTCCGGAAGTGTTGGTACATACACGGGACGAATGACTCGAGTGTCTGGTTCCATATCATCATGATCTGACTGGCTTGATGACTCGTATCCATCTGTGCCATTGCAAATATCAATATACTTGAACATTGGATCCATTGTTCTGAACAGACTTTCAAACATTGGGACAAAACATTTGAATATTTTGGCAATGCATTTGTACATGTCTCGATGCCATATCGGATTCAGATTGTTGATGTATGAGTTGATGGTCACACTGCCATCCCATTCGACACGGAATTCACTCGGAAGACATTGGAACTTGAGTGATATAAACTTGGGATCACCTTCAATGATGGGTGTATCTGAAACAAGTTGAGTCGATGACAATATATCGCATGGTACCATTGTGGTGTATTTGAGTCGTATATTCAGTGGTGCAATCATCGTTTGTCCATATACAACACTGTACATTGATGCATCAATCAGATTGTGCACCATTTGACCAGTGTTGTGATTTGATCCATGTTCAATATCCGATACATTTGTCATCAATCGCGTGTATATATTGTCAGGTATGCCATTGTCCAGTATATACGTCTGTTCAACAGGTCCTGGGACAATCGTGCCCAATCCATCACTGCCACTACAAACAAGCTGCTTGACAAAAACCCCGAGTTGTTCCAATGCAAGATTAAATGTTGATGGTGATATATTCTGATCGAGTGAGTCAGCCCTCCATTGCTCCACAATATGCTGGTTTGTGATATCGATCCACCACATGGGTTTGCAAAGTATACATTGCAGATACTGGATATACCGCATTTCGACAAGTGTGCGTACCTGTCCATGTGTATCTCCGGCCATTCCAGATTTCATATCAATTTCGGCATTGTCGTCGTATGGCCAAATGCTGGAGTTAGCAACATGAACCCGATGCTGAAAACACGTTTCAATGATCCGGCCAGCAACCCTTTTGTTCATGTATTCAGCAGTATCCGATTGTACAATAGTCAGTAGATTTTCAAATATCCTGCCTTGTTCCAACTCGGTACGTATTGAACTGTCGGAATGATTGTCGGCAAAATCAGCAAGTATTTTGAGTAGTTTTACAGTACTAGCACCAGAATCATGCAAACATAGATATCTACATGAAATAATAGTGTTGAATTGCTGCATAATTCCATAATCTTGAAACACCTTGATCATCTCGGCCTTGTTTGTAGATTTCTGAATCATGTCGTTGACATATCCAAACAGGCGCAAAGAGCCACTCATACTGACATCGCACATCGATATCGTCAATTGCTCAAAAACCAACGATCGTACAAGTGATACAGGAAAGTCCCGCATTTTGGATGCAATTGTTCCCGCTATCCAGATCATGCGTGTTTTTAGTCCAGAGTTGTCGCTGTATTTGATACACAAGTCGTTCGACGTTTGAATCAAATCCAGCCTCATCAACTCGGCTGAAATCACTACACAATCTGCATGTTTGCAAAAACTATCAATAGCAGCAATACTTTGATCAATCACTGCTTGATCGACACTCCTGTATTCATGTCATGTCAATCCAACCATGTCAAATTTACCAATTGTGATGACTGAACACACATTTATGCATAACACCACATACCTAAGCGTATTGACCAGTGCTGGAATGATGCCACATCCCGCTGCTTTTACTGGGTCATGACGATGAATCTTCCAATACATGATTTGGAAAGTTTTGATAAAACCAGCAGCAACTGAACCATTGGATGATTCCAGTCGTGAAACGAGTCTTGATACCACGATGCCAAACTAATGATATTGTTCAATGTCAAGTATACAATCAGATCAACAAAACATGACACTGTCCAAACTGATCCAATATTGTATCATTGTAAACATACATTTTCATCGTCAATACCATGACAAGCTTTCAAAAACAGGTTAATCGCCAATGTGAGCATTTCTTGATCGGACTCGTGAACAATAATCTCGACCATTGGCTTGATGTCAAATCCATCCTCTTGACTCCAGCGGTTATATTTGTACAGCTTTTTACATGTTTTTATCGCCTATATGCATATTGACACTAAGTGAGTTGAATGGCAATCATTTGATCAATATCAATCATGACTTGCCGCCATTTTGACTTGACGGTTTGGTGATTGCATGAGCTGTGAGAGTTGGTTGCTTAGTCGATGAAATACTTTGAGCCGATAATCACCGTACGTCATACTCGCAAACACTACAGTAAACTTCATTACTTTGATCTACACAACACATGTTGATTAGTTTAGTCATGAACAATCCATTATTGTTACAATATATGAATACCTGTAAACTGGGTCGATTATACTCCAAATACTTGGCTGTGATATTTTCCAGTCCAATACTCTGTAAGCGCTGCAATACATCTGTAGACTCTGCCATTTCAAACCAACACAAAGTCAGCAACAGTTTGAATGCATCAATAATACAATGTCTATTAAACTTACTGTAACTACGATTGTACAGCTCCTGTATCAAGTCAAGCAGTCTGTCCCATATTTCATCAGCCTTGTATAGTTGATCATCCGTTGTTAACAGTTTCAAATCTTCCAGGTGTTGAATCAACTTTCTGATGCTATCAACACAATCCATGTTTGATAAAATTAGTAAAGTTGAATTTTGATGATAATTTCATTCATGCGAATGTCCAACAATTGCCGAGAATTGTTCATGTTTGGATTGTTGTAAAACACACAAACGAGTTGTTCCATTTTAGTATTGTTTTGATCAGTTTTTTGTAACAAAATTGGATTGTTATCAAACATGCATTTAGAAATACTGTAAATTAATATTCTGAATGTGATCGTTGTAGATTTGGTTTAATAAACAAACTAGTTTACTATAACACATGGTAATGGATTACTAAACATCATCATAAATCAGATGGACTGGACTGAGATGAAATGAGATCAATGACAATCGCATTACAAACAGTGTGCTGTGATTAAACCATCGAGTATTTCCAAATACAAACTTGAATGAAAAGTCTTGCCACAATACTGATCAACTGTATTACTGTTTACACTGTGGTATTATTGATGTATTGGAATATTTGGTGTTCAGATACACGATGATAATGGTAGTACAAATCATGGCAGTTGTACAAACCAAACGTGATTAAAGCCAATAATAATGTCAGACAAGATTGGATAATGAATTAGCGTGTAAATCATCAACATTGACCAAGATTGATTGAAATGGTGAGATTGAGTTGGATGGTGATGAACAGTCAGTGTCATGAACACTGTTATTCAGTGGCCTATTTGACGTCAATACGACACATGCTGCATAAACACCGCGTATATTACATTACAAACTGACATAAAACAACACTAATTGACCAATATCAAACCAGTCGATGTTGCAATCTACATCCGACTTTGAACAAGTGTATTGATACGTTTGTTGTACAATACACGACATGATCAGTCGATGGTATCATGCAAGTATGTCTGATAGTTACACGTACAATCAACACTGGTTGTTATCATGTCATTGATATATGGAACAAGCCATGCCAATGCATCAATCAACAATCCAGTAACTGTTGATGTAATATTCAACACAATATACAAAATTAATAATACGGTTATTGGCTCATTCACGATACTCGACAAATATCAACATCAGAAAGTTTAAATTTATTCAAAATCAAAATCAAATTGGTTGGCAAGTCATCAATCTGAATCTGATTCCGGTTCTTGAAATTCTAAACCATGTTTCATCATAAAATATTTCAAGTCTCGTCTGATACTGTATACTCTTTTTCTTACCTTTTCATATTCTTGTTTCAATCGTATTTCAGTTTTTGGGTTGTACCCTAATTCAGATACCTCTTCCCCTCTTTCTAGCGCTGACCATTGTTTGAATTTAAGGGCTGCATAGTCAGAATGTTCTTTAATTTTTTTCTTTCGTAGTTCTTTAGATGCTGCAAGTCTTTTTTTCATGCGACCAAGGGTTATCTGATATTTTTGGCTTAATCTAGCTATTTGATTTGTAACAGTATTGGTAGACTCGTTATGAATCATTGGTTGTTGTTGGTCTTGACCGTAAGTACTTGGATCAACTATATCAGTTGGTTGTTGTTCATTTTGGTTGGGAGTATTCAGACCAGCTATATCAAACAGTTCTTTCCAGTCTTCAAAAGCGTCTGAATTGACTTCATCTATTAAACGTTGCCAGTATTTGTCGGGAAATACGAGACCGGGTTTATTAGTTGATTGTTTCCGACTTTGTTTGGAAGCACTCGGACCGGGTTGATCCATCGATTGTTGTTGGTCTTGTTTGGAAATACTTGAACCGGGTTCATCAATCGGCCGTTTTCGACTTCGCTTGGGAGTGCTTTGATTGGGTTGATCAATTGATTGTTGCTGGCCTTTGAGAATATTTGAACCGTGTTTATCAGTTGGATCAGATACTTGGCTGGAAGTGCTTGAACTGATTTCATCCACTATATTTTGCCAGTCTTCATTGGAAGTGCTTGGATCAATCGGATCAAATAGGTATTCCCAGTCTTCATCGAAAATGCTTAAATTAACTGAATCCATTACTTCTTGCCATTTTTGATCGAAAGTGTCTGGATTAGGTTCATTGGTTGGGCCAGACACTTGACTCGAAGTGCCTGATGCTTGTGGTGAACCATTGTTATCAGTCGGTGTCAGTATTGCATTGGCGGTTGCTGCTGTAGTCAATACGAATAAAATATCAACCAATTTCATCAGACTGGTCAATGGGTTTAAACTATTAATACAAAAGTAGAGTGTTGAAACTGATGTTGATTATAAGACTGAACATACTCGATTGTATTTTTGTATGTTTTGTATAGCAAACCAACCCTAACCCTTATAGGTTAACCAATATACAGGGTTACTTGATTGCTTGTAGTGGGTCACTATTAAACTAGACAGTATGCTGCTCCCTATCCACAATATCATATTGATCAATTTGATGATCATGCCGATTGAATTATGCTTGTACGACCCTTTTATCAGGTATTTTGAAAATCACACCCTTCATGAGTGTTGTATAACCGCAAACACTTTGCTTCTACAACCGTATTCATGTATAATGGTTCACTCCAGTATTCTCATACAATGACTGTGTTATGCATTGCAACATACAATGGTTACTACACATTGACTGCATTGCGTGTTTGGTATACAACGACTATCATATGGCACACAATCAGACTATAGTGTTGAATCTACACTTTGTGCACTCTTAGTAATCATGCATTGTACGATCACCAAGTTTGAACCCACATTCATGTGTTGTGTTGGACTGTCAATGTTGTCAATACAACTCTGTACACACATTTGTTGTATTCTGAATCTCGAATACGATTGCAATCTAATTCAACAACAATCATGACACATGTCAGTAATGCAACTGTTGTTTGTATGCCAATCATCACCAACAATGGCACTGACTGTTTATTACACACCAACACTGTTATTTAGCAGTCCATTTGACGTCAATACGACACATGCTGCATAAACACCGCGTATATTACATTACAAACTGACATAAAACAACACTAATTGACCAATATCAAACCAGTCGATGTTGCAATCTACATCCGACTTTGAACAAGTGTATTGATACGTTTGTTGTACAATACACGACATGATCAGTCGATGGTATCATGCAAGTATGTCTGATAGTTACACGTACAATCAACACTGGTTGTTATCATGTCATTGATATATGGAACAAGCCATGCCAATGCATCAATCAACAATCCAGTAACTGTTGATGTAATATTCAACACAATATACAAAATTAATAATACGGTTATTGGCTCATTCACGATACTCGACAAATATCAACATCAGAAAGTTTAAATTTATTCAAAATCAAAATCAAATTGGTTGGCAAGTCATCAATCTGAATCTGATTGCGGTTCTTGAAATTCCAAACCATGCTTTATCATATAGTTTTTCAAGTTATGTCTGAAATTGTATACTTTTTTACTTATCTTTCTATACTCTTTTTTCAATTTCTTTTCATCGTCTGAACTGTACCTTGGTTCAGATATCTTTTCCCCTCTTTCTAGCGCTGACCATTGTTTGAATTTAAGGGCTGCATAGTCAGAATGTTCTTTAATTTTTTTCTTTCGTAGTTCTTTAGATGCTGCAAGTCTTTTTTTCATGCGACCAAGGGTTCTTTGATATTTTTGGCTTAATCTAGCTATTTGATTTGTAGCAGTATTGATAGACTCGCTTTCACTCATTGGTTGTTGTTGGTCTTGACTGGAAGTGCTTGGATTGGATTGAATCATTGATTGCTGTTGGTTTTGATTGGAAGTACTTGGATTGGGCTGATCAATTAGTCGTTTCCGACCTCGTTTGGAAGTGCCTGAACTATCCTTACCAATTGGGCGTTTTCGACCTCGTTTGGAAGAACTTGGGCCGGCTCGATCAATTGGGTTTTGTTGGCTTTGACTGGAAGTGCTTGGATTAATTATATCAAATAATGGTTTCCAGTATTCGTCAGAAGTGCTTGAATTGGGTTCATTAACTGGTTGCTGGGTTTGATCAAAAGTGTTTGGACTGTCTTGATCAATTGGACCAGAAACTTGGTTGAAAGTGCTTGAATCAGCTATATCAAATAGGTCTATCCAGTATTCGTCAAAAATGCTTGAATCAAGTTCATCCGTTGACTGTTGTTGGTCTTGACCGTAAGTACTTGGATCAACTATATCAGTTGGTTGTTGTTCATTTTGGTTGGGAGTATTCAGACCAGCTATATCAAACAGTTCTTTCCAGTCTTCAAAAGCGTCTGAATTGACTTCATCTATTAAACGTTGCCAGTTTTTGTCGGGAAATACGAGACCGGGTTCATTAGTTGATTGTTTCCGACTTTGTTTGGGAACACTCGGACCGGGTTGATCCATCGATTGTTGTTGGTCTTGTTTGGAAATACTTGAACCGGGTTCATCAATTGGCCGTTTTCGACCTCGTTTGGGAGTGCTTTGATTGGGTTGATCAATTGATTGTTGTTGGTCTTTGAGAATATTTGAACCGTGTTTATCAGTTGGATCAGATACTTGGCTGGAAGTGCTTGAACTGATTTCATCCACTATATTTTGCCAGTCTTCATTGGAAGTGCTTGGATCAATCGGATCAAATAGGTATTCCCAGTCTTCATCGAAAATGCTTAAATTAACTGAATCCATTACTTCTTGCCATTTTTGATCGAAAGTGTCTGGATTAGGTTCATTGGTTGGGCCAGACACTTGACTCGAAGTGCCTGATGCTTGTGGTGAACCATTGTTATCAGTCGGTGTCAGTATTGCATTGGCGGTTGCTGCTGTAGTCAATACGAATAAAATATCAACCAATTTCATCAGACTGGTCAATGGGTTTAAACTATTAATACAAAAGTAGAGTGTTGAAACTGATGTTGATTATAAGACTGAACATACTCGATTGTATTTTTGTATGTTTTGTATAGCAAACCAACCCTAACCCTTATAGGTTAACCAATATACAGGGTTACTTGATTGCTTGTAGTGGGTCACTATTAAACTAGACAGTATGCTGCTCCCTATCCACAATATCATATTGATCAATTTGATGATCATGCCGATTGAATTATGCTTGTACGACCCTTTTATCAGGTATTTTGAAAATCACACCCTTCATGAGTGTTGTATAACCGCAAACACTTTGCTTCTACAACCGTATTCATGTATAATGGTTCACTCCAGTATTCTCATACAATGACTGTGTTATGCATTGCAACATACAATGGTTACTACACATTGACTGCATTGCGTGTTTGGTATACAACGACTATCATATGGCACACAATCAGACTATAGTGTTGAATCTACACTTTGTGCACTCTTAGTAATCATGCATTGTACGATCACCAAGTTTGAACCCACATTCATGTGTTGTGTTGGACTGTCAATGTTGTCAATACAACTCTGTACACACATTTGTTGTATTCTGAATCTCGAATACGATTGCAATCTAATTCAACAACAATCATGACACATGTCAGTAATGCAACTGTTGTTTGTATGCCAATCATCACCAACAATGACACTGATTGTTTATTACACACCAACACTGTTATTTAGTGGTTTATTCACATCAATATGGCTGAAAGTTGTTATATCACGTATTCTGAGCATGATTTTGATATTACACATCCAGTTCCATCACATTGCTGCTGATCCATCATTGTAATGCTGTATACATCAAACACTGTCATGTCACCATAACCACAACCAGTAAAACGACACTCAAGTTGTTTACTGTGATCAGTATATGCAACCCAGTGCAACTACACATACTAGATCCAGTCTGTTGGTTGTTTCAGTCGACATTGATTCACTTTTGACATTTTGTCCAATTGACAATACAAATGTGTCAAGCTGAACCCAAACTACACGACTTGACTGTTTGTGTCAATTGGATCGTGATCGAGCTATGCGATCATGATGTGTATTCAATTCATGCCATGTATTACCAATGCAATAGTATGCGTGATCATCGTGTATCAAACAACTACGATACACACTCAACTGATCCAATACATGCACGGCTTGAACATATCACACAATCAAACATGAACACACCACATTAAAAATACATATAATATCAGCTTGTCTAATGAATTGTATTCAGTCGAGTTTATTGAGAGTCTGTTTGTGACTCTTGACAGTGTGGTGGGTGTTTTCAGGCACGACTATTTGATCAGTTGTAGTTGATGATGATTAACACCAAGAGTTCTGGCGTACATCATACCAACTATAAAATAATCATGGTCATCATCCATTCAACAAATAACCAGTTTATTGATATATCTGTTTAGTCTCCAAACTTTTTGTAACCAAACTTTGGCCGCTTGCTACCACGACGAAGAGTACCACGGAAAGTACTACCAAGTCGCGAAAATGATCTCCCGAGACCAGATCTGCCATCTGAACTTGAAGTACTTGGTTGTTCAGGCAATCTAACAGTATGCATCAAATTCATGATCAGTATCAGTATATCAATCAACACATCCACATATCAATATCAAACAACTTACTGTGGTAATGGCCAGAGTACTTGATCATTGTTTGAAATAGTAGGATACCTGTTACTTGCAGTTTCACATCCACATCCAGGACCAAACCCAATGCGTGTATTTTGTAAATCAAATGTCAATTCAAGTTGGGTCATAAATGGTATACCAAGAATTGCATTGTCATTTGAGCCAACTGTTACAGCAAACAGGTCTACAATTCAACATTATATTAGTCAGATTAATCAAACAACACATGTTGCATACAATTGTCAAATATTTACATCTTTTAAATTTTCCAAGATTGACTTTCTGTATATAGTCTTTGGGACCCAATTTGATCTTTACGACGGAATCACGATTGTCATCAGTTACGGGGGTTTGAGCATACATTACAATTGTAAATGTCGGCAGTTTTCTCCAATCAATATTAAAATTAGATTCAGACATTAGACGGTGTTTCCAAAATATGTCATCAATTTCTTCCGGATTGAGTTTGCGCCTAGATTTAGCATCCCAGATAGTAATCGCATCACTATCAACAATAGCCTTGACCAACGCTGTCACGACTGTTTGAGGAAAATGCATATATTTAGAACATGTTTCCACATGCGAGTACAAAATATGGTCATCTTCTACAGTTTTTTGGAATTCCTCGGGCAAATCCACTTGTTCGTCATTGACTAGTATACTCTTGATGTTGACAGTATGATGATCATTTTGTTAGACATTGGTAATGTATGACATTTGTAATAGGACCCAGACAGTCAGGATGGGGTCTAGTAACAAGCAGTGTATAAACAAGTAAGCTATACAATGCTTAGATATGGTGATGACCGTTGCCTCACTCTATGCAATGACTGTAACGCTTGGGAACCCTTAACGGTGAAGCTTAGGAGTGACGCTTATACCGCCACTAATTCACCACTACTACTTACTATATATAAGAGACAAAGTTCTCTTATCAATAAACAATCACGACTATTCTGATTCATTCCTTCTTCTTATCTTACATCTCTGTGATCTTCCTCTAAAACTTATACTACATAAATATGTCACTATACGTTAATGAACAAGAGGTTATGAGCCCAGACTCACAGCAGGTCAAGATCGCTGAAGGTCTTATTATTACGGTATTGACCCAGGACAATTACACTGTCTGGGCAAACCAAATGGAGGCCGCCTTCGAAACTCTGGATCTATGGGAATCTCACATCATAGGTGAACTTCCAGAAAAGATCGAGCGCGACTACAAATTAAAGGAATTCAAGGCAAGAGGAATCTTGCAGGCAACAGTGAGCAGTAAATTCAAGTTTATGCTCTGTGACAGTAATGGAATACAACTTGACGCCAGGAAAATCTGGGTCGGACTCAAGAACCATTATGTTGACTACTGTGAAAGATCGCTGACGCGATCAGAGGAAGCCATGGCAAATCTGCAGTACGATCCCAGGAAGGGAGTCGAGGAACTGTACAACACTATGACGAGTCTACGTCATAAGATTGCAGCGGCAAATATATTTTGGGGTGAGAAAGTGTTTGCATCAAGGGTGATGGCAAAACTTGTTTCCAAGAGCAGAGAATGGCGCTACTTCGAAGGACATACAGTGCGATGGACCGACGAAATGTTAAGCCCCAACAAATTCCTGTCGGAACTCATCGAGGAGGAAATTAAACTCATCAACATGGGTGCACTACCGAGGCACGGTGTAGATGACACCATATACGAGGCGAACTATGCGTCTAGAAATCATAGGAACCTACGGAAAGGTTCAACATCACATGGGCCAAATGCACACGGCGCAAAGCAAGGCAACTCTAGTCGGGATGACTATTTTGCAGCAAACCATGAGATGGATAATTATTACCGTAGAGAGCAGGGACGTCGACCCTATGAACAAAGAAACGACGATCAAGACAGAATGCCCGCATGTCATAATTGTGGTAATATAGGCCACTATGCAAAGGACTGTCGACCAGCTCCAAGGAATAGCAATTACCGACAATCGTCACCAAAGTTCTTCTCCAAAGGGCCACGATCAAACAACCAAGACCGATCAAGAAATAATCAATCGGCAGACGGAATGTTTGTAGCAATGGATGACAAGAAAAGGGACATTGTAATTGACGAGGCATGTAGCTCCATCGATAGGAGTGATATGTTCATATTGGACTCGGGAGCCTCCAGCCATATGGTATGCCGACCTGAATGGGTGTATGATTTTGTACCGTGCAGCAACCGACAGGTCAAGGCATCAGGACAAGACATGCACAATGTCATCGGTACTGGAACAGTGGAAATCCTGTGCAATGTAGGTCACAGGACTGTTTCCATTCAACTGGGTAATGTTCTAGTGGTGCCAACTTTCGGAGTCAACCTTATCTCTGAAAATATACTCGAAGACAAAGGATGTCGGATCAGTATTTTCAAAAAGGTCAGAACAATAAGAAAGTCAAATGGCGAGGTTATCATGACTACCCGTAGAGACGGAGGCGTAAACGCAGTAAACTGCGAGGCTATAATATCTGATGAGGAACGTGCAATGGCTCATGCTACAGTAATTGCAACAGCTAATCACGCGTCAGAAGTATTTAGAAAGCCCACAGACACTGCTGGCTGGCATAAAAGACTGGGGCATATAAATGTCGAAGCGATCAAGAACTTGGCCGACAAATCGGAAGGTCTTGATATTATACCGGGAAAGACCAAAGAAAGGTCTCAGTGCGGGGCACCATTATTTACTCATAGCTACAATTTACGCGGTGGTGTTACACCGTCTGTACCTATTGCGATAGATAATGTGGTAAGTCCAAAAACATCAGAAACTCCAGGAAATCCAGATTGTGCGAGTACGCCAATTGGAGGGGAGTCAGAACCAGGTCGCCGACAAGTACCAAGAGTAGTACCGACTGCAAGGAATACAGCGAGGATGACTGTAGCAGATCGCGGGACCGAGGTCACAACAAGCGATGAACGCATAACTCAGGAGGAGTTATTAGGGCGTGGCATCAGCAGAAATAAGGCTATAAAGACATCGCTAAATGAGTCGAGTCTAGCCGGTTATAGGAAACCGAACCAGAAACCGAGATCGAAATCTCAAGGTTCGAGGAAAGCAGTTCAGGAACGTCCAGTTGACGTTATGAACAGGGACAGAGCCACGATGGCTGCTCCCACAGAATCGACGGTCACGGCTGATTATCCAGGAGCGATATCAGAGGTTGATGACGCGTCTGAGCCGAGCATACAAGCTGCGGTGGAACAAAGAATGGTTGAGGATTTGCCAACCAATACAAGTCAAGATGACAGTGATCTGGAAGAGTCAGATCAATACTACTCGTACACTCACGGGAGTGGTACCAGTAATGCCGATGAGTCGAATAACACAGTGGCAGTTATATCGGACGGATCATCGAGGAATATTGTGCCAGAAACGTGGCAACAGGCTATGATGTCGAGTGATGCAGATCTATGGAATGCAGTCAAGCTCGTGCTACACTACGTGCAAGGAACGTTAAGTTACGCACTAGAACTAGGAGGAACCAACGCATCATTGAGTGGTTACTCAGATGCCGATTGGGCTGGAGACGTAAAGACCAGGAAGTCTACGTCTGGATATTTATGTTATGTAGGCAATGCACTTGTATCGTGGAGGTCATCAAAACAGACGTGTGTGGCCGTATCTACTATGGAAGCCGAATATACTGCTGCCGAATCAGCATCGCGAGAATTATTGTTTCTGCGCGATCTACTTGGAGAGTTAGGTTTCGAACAAGATGGACCAACAACGCTATACTGTGATTCGCAATCGGCGATATCAAACATGATTGGACCATCCGTCGTACACGAGGCAACCAAACATATAGGCATTAAGATTAATGCATTACGAGACAGAATCAGCCAGGGACTGATCAAACCAGAGTACATCGGTACTAAGGATCAAGTAGCTGATATTCTGACAAAGGGATTACCAAGACCCGCCTTCGAACAATTCGTCAACCTGCTCGGTCTTCGAGAGTGTTCTCGACGTGGAGGGGTGTTAGACATTGGTAATGTATGACATTTGTAATAGGACCCAGACAGTCAGGATGGGGTCTAGTAACAAGCAGTGTATAAACAAGTAAGCTATACAATGCTTAGATATGGTGATGACCGTTGCCTCACTCTATGCAATGACTGTAACGCTTGGGAACCCTTAACGGTGAAGCTTAGGAGTGACGCTTATACCGCCACTAATTCACCACTACTACTTACTATATATAAGAGACAAAGTTCTCTTATCAATAAACAATCACGACTATTCTGATTCATTCCTTCTTCTTATCTTACATCTCTGTGATCTTCCTCTAAAACTTATACTACATAAATATGTCACTATACGTTAATGAACAAGACATTTGTTGGTGAATTTACCCATGCAACACTGCTTCCATCCGTTCCACACTTTGCAGTGATTTCCGTGTTTCCTATATTGATGAAGCTTTGCTCAAAAAGATCAGAAGGACATAGTTGAATGCCAATCTCGTTATTGGGAATGACATTATTGCTGTACAAACTATCCATTGCAGTGATTGGCGAATGATGTTTTGACAAAGAAAAGTGGCCAATCCCAAATACTCCATCAAAATCTGGATCGATACCAGCTAGACGTGCCGATTGTTTTTCAACTGCTAGTACTGGTAAATTGACGCCAGTTATCGCAGTACCCGGAATCGTCACAGCGGCTGTGGATGTAACTCCTTTATACTCTTTGTCTTTGTACTTTATATTAACGGGCTCACCACTTGAAATACTTTGTATAGCCAAACCTATATCGTTGCTTGAACTAGGAAGTGGTACGATTATATCAGAAATCATTGAATCGACTCGTAAATTCAACTATTTTAAACAAGTGTGAGATTGATTCAACGTGGTGTAAGTTGATATCAAACTACAATAAATGACATGACATGATACATACATCGACTCCATCAACATTAAATTTCATTGTGAAACATTTGTTAATACCACCACTCAATTCAACGGGTGATCGTTTTGACAGCCTACTACTTGATTGACTGTCAATTCCAGTTGGTGAATCTAATGAAACTCGAATTGCAGCAACCGCTTGTAACGCAAGTATAACACATTCTAGAGTAATCAACATTGTATCGAGTAGTGTGATGAAAATGGGTTGAATCTGGTAGATGACTGCTGTTTTATAATGACGGCAGTTTCAAGGGTGACAATCAACAGTTTCAAATGGATATTCAGAAAACACAAGTACACCAAAGTAGACAAAGCTAGAAACATTTTGTAGAGTGGACAAACCAAAATCACCATGTAGGGTCAACAAACCCAGAAACTCCCTGTAGGGTGAATCGATATACAAGCAACATTGTCAATGGAAAATCAACCTCAGTAGTATACTTCATTGATATTCTCAATTGCGGTGATACACCCAGTAATCAGGTAATATCAAATGATCAACCCAATTGCATCTACAATCTATTATTACCGCATATATTGATCCATATTTCAACATGATGCAATAGATTATGCTAGAATACAACATGTTCAGTTGTTTATTCATGCTGTTACTGATATTACTTGATGCATGACACTGGTCACCGACATACTTGGTTGTTCAATTGACCAATGAATCACTCTCAGCATCCACTCGTGTTTAGTTTGGATTAAACTGGTTTGAATTCATTGGTGTTGGTATGAGATTCCAACAAACCTTGATTATCATGTGTGTAGAAAGTTGAAACATTGTCATGATTCAGCTATTCTGTACAAATCTACTTATTGATGGCAATTTTAAAGTAAAACAAGTTTTAAAATGTGTTCAAACAAGTCTAACCCTGACTCGAAATAGTCACCAACACTCTTTACACCATCAAGCTTTAAAGCAAGCTTTGGACACCGCAAGACAAGAATAGAATTAAATAGTTACGAGTTATGAATCAATTGTTTAAAAGTGATAATAGAGGATAAGTTAAAATAGTGCGTTTTGAGCAACACATGGTGGAATAAACCCCGATAAAGTATGCAACTATGGCCAGACGTAATGATAGAACAAGGAAATGCTTTTATGGATTGACGTCCTTGGTGATCCAGCGATCAGTCTGCTTGTGATGAGTCTGGGATAGATACATGACCTCATCAACAGCAGGAGATATCTTGCGGTGTTTGGTGCGAGTATGGGGTTGATTTCCCATGTTCAGATGGTCTACACCATCAACATCAAGCAACAAAAGACAAAAGTTGGCCCATGCAACTTTGTGATGTTCCTGCATTTCAGAATTGGGTTTGGCTGCAAGAGTGATGGGTAAAGTCAGATCTGTAGTTTGCTTGAGAACAGATGAATGTGAATCATCATCGATGGGCGGAGATGCAGTGTCCGAGTGAATGTAATCCAGAACTCCTGGCTCACTAGCCATAGGGTGATGATTTTCGGACACGAGCGGACGGAGATGATGGTTTCCCATGAATGAAATGCCAGTAGTTTCCAAAGTATTTCCAGAAGCACAACATGCTGCAAGTGGTTTAGAGGCATTCTCAGTAGAGTCTGCCTTTTTGTTCACATCGATGCAGTCAGAAAGAGTCCTGACAGTGGACGGAGCATAAAGTGATGGCAGACGCACAGGACTTTGTATGTCCAGTCTGTCCTGACCTGGTTGAGGCCAAGCAAATGATGCACGGCGTAGTGATGAAATGTTTTCCCAAACCTTGAGGCGAACGGCTTCCCAATCGACATTTGGTCTTGAAGATCCGTGGTCTGCAAATGGAAGTGGAACTTGATGGTTAGTTTGCAGGGGATGATCTGCTGACATGACCAGATGCAGAGCACCAGAAAGACGGTATTGTTCCTTGGTGCCTGGCAAAAACCTAGATTAAATTGAAACAGTTAGAACATGCATACTGTTTTTACAGATAAAGCTTGTTCAAAACAGTAGTGTCAAGAATAGGATAACAAGTCATGATATGGAGTCAATATTGAGTTCAACACGTCAGAATGGTATATCGTAATTAAACCCTCGCAACCAAGCACATCACCCCGTAAAATACGAGTAGAACCATATTACTATACGGTTTCCATTCATAATTTAAAAGCATAATTAAAGGAATAATAAAACTGGCTCATTCCATTATTTTACTAGAAAACAATGAAATACACGGGTCATGACTCACCAGCAAACTTCACCATAGCGAGAACCGTGAAGAATGTCAGCAACACTGCCTGACCGAGAATCAGCAACAAAAACCAGGACATTGCCCAGGATGTCGTTGGCTGTTTTCGGTTTAATATTTGCACAAGAAAGACGAAGAACATCCATGCTGGAAGTAATGGAGTCGCTATCCATAGACGTAGATGGTAAAGCGGTATCTGTATTCAAACTCCCAGTCGTACCAACAGCACCCTCATCAGGGCTAGATTGAGTCATGAAACCTCGAAAGTAAATGGTTCTATTTGCAGGACGACCAAAAGCCTTGATAGTGGCCAGGGATACATAAAAGTTGTTGATATCTTGGCATTGTCGAATAGACTGTTCAAGCTGAGCTCTCCACAGCGGAGATTGAGAAGCAACAGGAAGATTTGCGTTGAATAACTCAGGCTGGGTAGTTTGTAGTTGCATTTGGTGGTCGTGCTCAGGGTGTTGAGAAGGGTTAGAATGAGTAGTTCTTGGGATATTGGAGGTATTACTATCCAATATCAAATGGGCTTGAGAGGAGCAACCCTGACCTACAGGCATACTTTGAGCAGTGATGTTCATGATGTGTTGGTGAATCTCGCAGATGGTCAGATCTGATGGGAAACTTGGTTCGTGTCGGATGAAATCTACGCGATTGACAATCAAGATTTTAACGACTCGAAAAGCTTGAGTTTTGAGAATGATATACAATGACTGCTTGTGCATACAAATCTGACTTGTTCCCAATCAGATCTGTAATAACTGGATATCATTTATATTTGAATAATCAAATCCAGTTTCACGCTCTTTTACTCTATATATTCTTTGATATGCACAAGATACTACTGTTGACTGGCATTCAATATCAAAAACTTACCTCGAGATATGCTGTTAAGCCATGCAACTGTCAAAGACTGTACGCCCCAGAAATACAACCATTGCGTCTATACTGATTATTCAATATTTGGTTTGTAAGAAAAAGCTGGAGATTGACCAAATGTGAAGGATGCGAGACTGACTGAAGCAGTGTAAACACTTGTTTAGTCTTTAACAGTCCATTTTGAATGAATACGATGGTGAAATGACTGTCATACTATCGGTTTTGAATCGTATTTGAAATCGACAAAAGTTCAAGTTTAATTCCTTCCATAAAACCCTTCAATCACCCAATATGTCAGGTAGGAACACTATCAACGCTGTATTAAACCAGCGACTATGTTTTTAAAGTGTATTCTAAAAACTACTCGTATAGGCAAGAGTGTAATTGTTATGTTCAAGGATGATACTCCAAAGGATGTTATTGACAAGGCTGCAGCTGATGTTGTCAAGCAAGGTAAAGTATATCATTTACTTTAGTACAGCGACTGTTGGCTTGATTGGATACTAACTCGATGGATTCCTACCACACACCAGGAGGAGTGATTGGACATCGTTATCATGACACGATTCTTGGATTCTCTGCCACCATGCCAGCTAACTTTATAAGTAAGTGACATGAACATCCAGTATTGAGCAAGCACAAAACAATGTATTCAGAAAGCACTGCAGTAACTAATGAGTTGTATATGACTTGATAGATACTCTTGAGAACCATGAGTGTGTCGAGTCAATTGAAGCTGATGGTCAGGTTCATACTCTGACTTCGTCTAGTTAAACCTTGCTGATATTCAATCATGTTTCAGAAATAACAGCGTTTTGTTAAAATCGAATTGATAATATTGTACGAGTATTTGAACTGTTCTACTCGAGAGTTTCATTCATCTCAAGTAGTAACAGTCACTTGGACTTGGTAGTCAATATTCAACAGCATTTATCAATGCATTGGTGAAAACTGGTTATTATATTTACAATGCATTCAATATCTACTTCAACTGGTGATCAAACATCACCATCTACAGACAGAGTTGGGCTGATAAACCTGCCAGTAGAGTTATGGGTGAATGTGTTGCGTCAACTTCCAGCCTACAGACTCTTACAGACTCGACTAGTATCAAGAACGTGGTGTTACATTGTAGACGCTACTCCGCTGTCAGTCAATGTGTCGCTCGTAGCAGTGAGTGCATTGGACACTAGAATGCTGATTGATATGTCATGGCATGCACTTGACAGTATGCTTGACCAGCCCTTGACATCTTGCTTACCTGCTGTAATGTATCAAAGACGGGATCATCTTTGGGCTAATGTTCGAGTCTGCTGTAATGAATATGGATTTCTTCCTGATCGACATTTTATTATGGATCAAATCCTACAATCTGCAATGACATTCACTCGAGGCAGGTCTAAACTGATACTCGATTTACAACTACTGGTTCAAGACCATCTTTCCCAAAAGGGCATGACTTTATCTTATCCTTTATCCTCGCTCATGGTTCAAGCCCCGTTCATCAGATACTCCCAAGATGATTGCCAAAACACTTCCAATCTGGCTCTGTTTAATGGGTTCAGTCAAACTACAATCATCAATCCAGGTATAGATATCATGAAGCATCAGCCCAATACCATTCGTCATTTGGAACTATTGGATCTACACGATCAAATCAACTTTGACAATATATCCGAATTTCGATATTTGAAATCTATCCGCATGCAATCAGATGGCAGACTGGCACATATTCGTGGTATATTCAGAGTATCGGCTATTACTCACTTTACATCAATTTCTGCAACGCTTACGTCTCTCACTCTGGATGGGCCATGGTTTCAAAACATGATAGATTATGGTGCAGGATTGATTCAAATATTTAAACAGCTTACCAATTTGCAAAAACTAGTTGCTGATTTTGACGCACAAACTCTGACAGCACAGGTTCTTTATGATTTGTTTGTATCGTTACCAAACCTTACAGAATGGGCAACCCTTGGTAGAATTGATCAGTCTTTTTGGCGTCTATTTCGTCGTGGTGAAGCTTCAAGACTTAAACGACTTACTGTTGGATCTCGCAAGTATACATTCAGTCGACTCCTTACTGGGAATACTCTTTTTTTACGTGATCTTGCTTTTGGCATTTTATGGGCTGCACCCTGCTTGGAATCACTTTCCTTGTTTTTGGGATATCAGAGCGGCACGGACATGGTTTTGGTGCTAGATATTATCAAGCGTCTCAAGGAGGGAAAAGACTGGGATGCAGAGCTTTTACATCAGAAAATAGTACAGGAAGCCCGTATGGAGGATCTTAAACTACCTGAACCGCCAGTATACTCACGACTGGATCGATATACCAAACCTAAAAACATTTCTTCAAGCAATAGCCCATCTCGTAAAAAAAGCAAATATACACTTTCTTCGTATCCATCATTTTCAAAATACTCGGATTCTACTTTAATGTTGCAATCTCATACCCCACCCAAACGACTTCTTCGTCATGTGAATGTCTTTCAAGCAATAGATGTAGAGGATATCAATGATGCTGCATGGAACTATGTTGCAGCGACACATGGAGGCGGTCCTCCTATTTCCATTGTTATTACTGATGATGTCACTACTGATGGAAGTCTTGGCCGCCAATTTAAACAGTTTGGTCCCATATATAATGCATCTATTTAAATTATTTGCTGAATAGATGGTCTAAACAAGCGGTCGATAAAATTAATTCTCGTCAAAATCGGCATGTCGATATCAATAAATCCCATATTTTTGAAATCAACTATTTATTACAGCCGTATTCACGTAAAATAGATTGCTAGTGTCGGAATACATAATAAGCAATATCATGTTTGGCTGTTCGCATCCTTGACATCTCTTCAATCCCCAATTCTCCTTTTTCAAAAACAAACATTATGATAGAGTGATCAGCATGAAAGCAACAGTTGTATTTATGACTGCAACCTTTGTTTTGTTGAGGAGTCCCAGCTCGGATGCTTCTGTTAAAATATGCCTGCTTTGCTCTCTAGCTGAACGAGAAACATCCAATATCATATAGTCTAATTCAGCCATCAACTTTGCATATCTGTAAGTATCGCGCATATTTCTTCTTAGCTCATCTAGTTTTGATCTAATATTCAGTATTCCAGAAAACAGTTTCTGTGGAAGATTGAAGAGCTTCTTCAGTAGTCGACCCACACGTCTTGGGAAATTACGGATTAGCTTAGCAGCCTTTCTAATGCCCTTGACGACAACGTATTCGATTTTACGATCAAAATGCTGGAGTTCGTATTTTAGTTTGCTCATCGATCTGGATACACTGTGTTTTGCTCTGACAGTTGATCCAATTGCTTTGGAAACTGCTTTGCCGATTTTATGACCGATTCTTGCTCCAATTTCAGGCGAATTGTCTCCAAATTCAATCAGCTTCCTTCCGAGTTTTTTAAAGCTATTCTTACTCTTGTGGCCATGAATTCTATGATCGAAATTCAAGTATGGGTCTAATTCTGGGTTAAATCCTAGGTTAAATTCTGGGCTTAATTCCGGGTTTAAATCGAAATGTTCACGGTAGGATTGTTTGGAGGATTTTTTGTGAGACTTTCTTGGATATGGAGACGATATCTTTTCCTGTTGAACTACAGTCTCGAATTCCTGAAATCCGGGATTTTTGAATTTTTTATATTTAATATAACCTTTGCGATCAAAATCTGAGCTTGAATCAGAATCTGAGCTTAAACCCGAGCTTGAGCTTGAATATTTGCTGTGGTGTTTTTTGGATTTTTTGTGAGACTTCTTTTTCAAAAGTGTAGTATCGATTTCTGTTACAAAACTCTTTTTCTTGTACTTCTTAGGCTTGTAATTCAGATCCGAATCAAAATCTGAATCAGAATCCGAACTTGAATCAAAGTCAGAATCAGAATCCGAGCTTGAATCAGAGCTTGACTCTAGATACTTGCTGTGGTGCTTTTTGGATTTTTTGTGAGAGGATTTCTTTTTCAAAAGCGTAGTATTGATTTCTGTTACAAAACCCTTTTTCTTGTACTTCTTAGGCTTGTAATTCACAACTATATTGAAACCTGGATCAGAATCAGAATCCGAGCTTGAACTTGAGCTTGAGCTTGAATCTAAATATTGGCCAATGTGCTGTTTTTTGGATTTTTTGTGAGAGGATTTCTTTTTCAAAAGCGTAGTATCGATTTCTGTTACAAAACTCTTTTTCTTGTACTTCTTAGGCTTGTAATTCAGATCTGAATCAAAATCAGAATCCGAGCTTGAGCTTGAGCTTGAATCTAAATCAGAATCAGAATCCGAGCTTGAACTTAAACCCGAACTCGAGCTTGACTCTAAATATTTGATGTGGTGTTTTTTGGATTTTTTGGGATACTTTCCTACATGAGACGATTTCCTTTCCTTTTGGGATACATTCTCGGGCTTTAAGGTGTCCGTCTTGGATTCTTTACGATTACCATCCAAATTGTAAATACTTTCAAAGTATCTTCTCTGTTCATCAGTAAGACTTTGGTCATGTATTCCTCCAGTTGTAGGTACCTTTTCCTGTGATCGAGATATACCAGATATACCAGATTCAGCAGAGACGCTGGCTTTTCTGGACTTTCTACGCTCATCACCTGAAGCTGAATTTTTTCTAGAGTATTTTCCCTGTCCATCGGTAAGATCTTCGTCAAGTACTTCTGTAGTCTTGAATGTCTCTTGCACTCGAAATTTACTAGATTCACCAGAAACGCTGTTTTTCCTGGATCTATGCCCATCATGTGAAGCTGAACGTTGCTTAAAGTACTCTTCCCATTGTTCGCTAATCTGGTGGTCAAGCACTTCTCCAGTTCGATGTTTCTTGTTGCCAAATCCAAGCCATCCCTTGACTTTTTTCATAAAACCTTTCTTTTTGGGTTTATCTTCAAATCCAGATTCTTGAATACCATTGCGCTCTTCCCATTCTTGCCTAATCTGTTGGTCAATCATTTCTTCAGTTCGATGTTTCTTGTTGCCAAATCCAAGCCATTCCTTGGCCTTTTTCGCAAAACCTTTCTTTTTGGGCTTATCTTCAAACTCAGATTCTAGATATTCCTTGTATTTTTTCTTTTTGCCAAAGCCGAATTCGACTTGAGGGAATCCGTCGTTTAGCTTGAGCTTTTCCTTGAGCTTTTTCAAAGCGCTCTTTTTCTTGGATTCCTTAGACTCAATATGAGTGCTTTCAATGATATCTATATATTGATCTGGATGTCTTTGTGAAACTCCTTCGCCAGCACTGTGACCAGCGTTCTCTTCACTTGGAAGTAATCTTTCCATATCGCTTAGCCCACCTCGGACTGCTTCAAAGACGTCATCATCCTCTAAATCAGATCTTAAACGTCTCCTACTAGTCTTCCGCGCTGTTACTTCATTTTCCGAGTCCGAACCAAGGTTCGATTCTAGATTTGAACTGTGTCGTCTTAAAAAGTTTTCTTCATGTTGCTTGCGTTGTGATTTTCGGCGATGTTTTTTCGATGTTTCTTGATGGGATGTTCCTGACTGTTGTTCATTACCAGTTGTCCAAACCTCAATCCCTAACTTTGCAGGAAATCGTATATTCAAATCGCGTGTTTGTTGTGGACTCGGGGATTTGTTTCCTGATCTAGTATTACGATATTCATCATCGCTGGATCGTTGTAAAGTACGTTTTTGCAGGGTTTGAGCAAAAGTGGATGCAACCAATAGAAAAACAGTAACAACCAATGGGTGCAACATTGTATTCAAAGGTCTAGTCTAGATGAAGTCGTATAAATGTTCGAGTGATAATCTACTGTAGAGTGAGGTAAACTGCTGAAAGTTGATGAAAATCAGATTGGTGTCAACATGAGTTTATATATTTGATTTGATGGAACGTTTGTCAGGGATACTAGCCCCAATAGCAAAAGGGACGAAAAGTAGCACAGTCCCTTTTTGCTAAAGCATGTATTGTACCGAAAAGTAGTCTTTGACTTGGCCCTGATTTCGAAAAATCTGTTCAAGCTCGCCCATCAGATCGTCTGTGACACATGTTTGGCTGGGTGGATTAGCCCTTGAGTGTTTAGCGACTATAACAAATCGCCCTAGTGTTTTGGTAGCATATTACTATTGGCTTAACGTGTCTAAAGGGACACAGTCCTTTGATATCATTTGATTGGTAGCCAAAGAGATTGAATCTTGTGTTTGGGCTATTGAATGCACCATATTATTGTGTACGACTTTTTTGGAACTCGACACAAGCTATATGCTTCAATCCATCACCCTGGTTCAATATTCCCACCATGAAACAGGGTTTATGGTCAAACACATGTTTCAACTAGCAACAAAAGGTATAAGTGGAGAGAGATCAAGCAAGATATTGTCAGTAGCCCTAACCTTTGATGTCTGCAACCATCGGTAGACTGTCTATTGATTTGAATGAGGGATGTAACCATCACTTGTGCCTTTTGTACCACAATGACAATTGGAATGTGTTGACCAGTTTTCTAAACGGCCTGCTGCTCCTTTCAATACAATACATCTTTCATTCGGTCTTGCTCCAACACAATCTTTGGTGTCTCATCTATATATAGTTTGTACGCCAACCTGAAACAATCGTACAATTTTGCAAACTGAAAATGTTCCAAAATGTTACAACAATCTACTCGATGCTATCAGAATATTCCCAAAACATGCCAAAATTGAGCTGTTGAAATATAAACTATTTTATTCACTCTGTTTTCAGTCATAAAGTAGCAATATAAATCCAAAGTTGAACCGTTTATACCACCAATGTAGATGATGGCAAAATAGTTGGACCACACAGTGCAATCAACCATCTTGATTTTTATTAAACCCCTCAGTTTTGCAAGTCAGATTCAACACTGATCAAATAGTTTTTAATGAAATGAATAGATTTTCGATTGCATAAATAATAGTCAGTAGACGACTCAGTAGTAGCATTCAGGACATGGTCGACCAAGAGATAAAATTTTACGGCCTTGTCTTTTGAACCATTCCTTGGTTCGATATATCCAATCCGAGTCAACCGCACGTTCGAATTTATCTCTAATTCTATACCCAAGATTTCTAAACCATTGACCAGGAGTCAGGTATACGTATGGATAATTGGGACCTATATTTGGAGGATACGGCATAGGAGGAACATCAACTGGACTAAACCCATTAGTGATATACCCCATTCGTTTATATAGATGTTGTGATGGAATAGGATCATCTCTAGTAATAGCCACTGCTTTAATAAATACCACCGATATCATAATCTTAAATATGAATGTAAGCCACATTCTTAACCTGCTTGAACAAATCGTGTTAGATGATACGATTCTCTAATGTATACCAAATTCTTGTACAAAAACTCAAACTTACTTTGATTATAAATAGCTAAACGATAGTCAATTTTTTCAACAAGATAAAAGATTCGAGTAGACTCTGATATATATACTCATGAATGAAGATGTTGAATGGTCACAATATTGTTTCTTGCACACAAAGTGGTTGGGTTAAAGCTTGGAACACGAAATGCATTTCCCAAAGTTGAAAGCACGAGATTAAAGCTTGAAGATACCATACCGTTTGCCATATGGATATTGCGGCGGTATTCTAGGACGACATTAACAACTATAATCAATCAATATTGAACACTATTGATAAAGATGACGACACGGTTATGGGAACAGACAACCCATTGGATGAATCAAGAGATGGTCAATCTCAAACAACAACCCATCCTACTGCTCATCCAAAAGACATGTACGCTAGACTGCAACCTTGTATTATGCAAAGAGTTGTATAAAAAGTACTTCATCTCATTTGGTGACAAGACGAGCTTACAATCTAAACACGTACTCTCAAAACCACATTCACAAACTCCAAAACACTGGATTGGGTGACGAGTTACAACAAACTCGACCACATTTTCGTGTGGTTGAATGAACTTGCACAAATGCTTTCCAATCACATGTTGCACATGGATGATTACCAACCATTTCATTTTACTCTATTCCTGCATGTTCATATTCTTTATTGTTAGCCATAAGGGGTGAAGAATGTGGGTTGGAATTGACATTTTACACCAAGAGAAATTGGGTACAAGAGTTTTATTAGGATTGAAATATGGAGAGTGAAGAAACTCAAGACGTGTTTATTGCTCAACTCGTTCATGTCGAGTACGTCCTTGTCTGTTATGAGACAAGTGTCCTTGTCCAACACTTCGTTTACGTAAAAGAATGACTTTTCTTAGAGCTTCTGTAAACCCAATCATACCCCAGAATGCACAAAATGCTGCTGCTAAATGTTGTGGATCATCAAGAGCATGTACACTTAGACACTGAGGTTTATCTACTCCATTAGCTGGAGTTTCTATCTGTAGGTTGAGAAGAAGTGGTCCACGTGGTTTGGGAGGTGTGTAGACAAACACTTTGGGCTGAACAGGGTGGTGAGCAGCAGATCCAGAATGTTTATGCTGACCAGATCGGTTTCCTCGTCGAGGTGCACGTTGATCATCACGATGCTCATGTCCAGAAGCAGGTGGTGATGGAGTATGCATGTTGCGGCTATGCCAAGATGTAGAAGATGAAGAGTGTGAAGAGCCTGATGAGCAGACTGAGCTGCGTCGTGTATGTTTTGAAAACGATTCGTTTCCTTGCGATCGTAACCATCCTGCAGGTGCATCGGGAAATCGTGTAGAAACGGATGTAGCGTGTCCAGCTGTATCTCCCCAAGATGATCGGGAGACAGCAGGGAGTGACATGCGATGGGATGTAGGCGCAGAAGGCATTCCTACTCTAGAACCAGACTGTGATGAGCCCCATGGATCAACAAATACAGGCGAAGCAGCAACCATGGAAAGTGGTTCAGAAGCATCTGTATTGGATGAGCCGCGTTGGTTATAATTAGCAGACGCTGCTGCAACACGCCAGGCAGAGTTTGATGAAGTATGAAGTGTAGGGTTTGTCCATGCTTGCGGATCTGCACCCCAGCCACACGTACTGTTTGAACGCTCATCTGTGCTCATACAGTGGCCAGTATCACCATCATTTGAATGTGCTCTAATATGCTCCACATTGGATTCTGTACGGAAATGACGGTTGCGTCGTCCAGAAGCCAATAGTGTACGCTGTCCGCTCATACCTGAATCCAACTCACGTGGATGTTCCAAAGTGGGTGTATTGTGATTCTTGAGCGGCTGTCGGTTAGAATCACAACTATGTTGAATGGTTGAATCAGACGAGTTATTTGTGGTGGACGTTCCATCTACTACTGCAGAAGATGGAGATCCGATGGGAATAAACGGAGCTGCACGAATAGCAGAAGCGCGCATGGATTTTGAACGTCTTCCGGATCCAAGTAATGCATTTTGAGCAGGTATTTCAGTAGTGTATGAATCCAATCCAGCAACGACAGGGTTTTTGATGGATTCACTAGTGTTGAGATCGACTGTATCATTTGATGAAGCAATTGTTTCATTGGTAGTCTCACAATCATTCGTAGTAGATACAGATGATTTCCATCCATTTACAGCAGTACCGCTTGAACGTTTGGAAATAAAACTTTTTTGTTGTGCTTGAATCTTTGATACAGACTTGGAATTCAAATTGTACTGACGGGTAGTTTGGTTTGAATCTGTAGTCACTGTATTGGAATCCAAATCGTCAAGGGGTTCAAAAGACTGATGGGTTATTCCAGTACACAATGCAACACTCCGACGCTTTTCACGAATTTTTTCTACTCGTTCGTAAAGTGCAGCTTCAACTTGATCAAATGTGTCAGTGGAAGCTGTGAAGCTTGTAGTTGAACGACGAGATTGGAGTGCACGCGATGTACGACGTGGAGAGGTTTTCAAAGACTGGGACGTCGACGAGTCTACAGACTCGATCGGATCTCGAGTCAAACCATGTGCAGAATGGTCAGGATTGGTTTTTATGGAATAGGAGACTGTAACGGCATACGCAAGCGAGGTGATTGTAGAGGGTTGCAATGAAAAGTGTTCTGGCATGGTCGACTGCAATCCTTTCCATGATCTTCCCATTTCTGTTGAACCAGTCAACGTATTTTCCACGTATTGCAGATCTTCTTGTTTGGCGTAGCAAGGTGGAGTCAATGGTGGTGTAGTGGGGCAATTTGAAACGAGTGTGGGTTCTGTAGTGCCAGAAAGATGTTCAGATGTTGGACTTGAGCAAGTCGGATCATATCCAGCCAGTTTGATCAAATCATTTTTTTCAAATGTACACTCGATATCGTCAGAATGATACGTTGCCATATTTTGAATATACGAACCACATAATTGATCGCATCCATCAAGAACAAGTAATTCCAACATGGAGCATTTTTGAACCAGTTGTAAAATGCTAGCAGGTGTGATTCTATCACAGCCCGTCAAATGCAATTCCTGCAATTTGCCACCACTGGTTGCAGAAGCACGAATGGCAATAACTTGAAGGGTGACATCTGTTATTTTTTCACAAAAGGAGCAATCAAGAACTTCGACAAGCGGACAGGTGTTGATGATTTTCATGGCACCATTGTCAGTGACATTTATGCAAGATTCCAAAATAAGTTCAGTAAGGGAAGGACAATGTATAGCAATAAATCTGAGGATGGTGTCGGTGACGGCAGAATTGCGTAGATTCAGATGGTATAATGGACGACTAAAATCAATCTGCATCAACTCATTAGATATGGACGTAGCAGCAGGTTTGCATTCAGTGAGATTTAGCTCGACGATGCTTGGACAGTTTGAAATGATGTTATAGAGAGAAATCAAAGTGACGTTGGTGAATGCCAAATCCAAGATTTCTAAATTAGGACAACTGGTAGTTAAAGTAGGAATAAAAGTGTCTGTGATGCTTGGACACCCGGGCAAGTCCACCTAGCAAATACAAAATCAGTACTTTTACACATACACAAAAGATCAAGTTGGAAATAGTAAATACCTGTCGCAGATTTATGCAATTGGCAGAGAGAGAGCGCACGAGGATATTTGAAATATGAAAGCAGTGCTTCATACGAAAGCACAGAAGCTGAGGACAGCGAGATAAAACTAAATCAAGATCGCCCATAAAGATACTATCAGCAGCAGCAGAAGAGGACAAGTCTAGGGTGGATATTAGGGATGAATAGGGATGGATGAGAGTGGATGCAGGCGAAGAAAGTAATTGAAGCAGACGCTCAAAGGATTGCGACGTGGCAAGTAATGGTGAGGCGTATATGGAAGCAGCAGCGAGAAGTGACCATTGACGATTCAAAGAGAGAAGCGATAAACGATCGCAGGCAGACGGTAAATAGTTGATGATTCTACGCATGACAGCAACAGGCATCATCACAGTGATTGAGCCTTGGTTGAGGTCTAAAAGGTATGCATCAGCACAGGCGAGCGACAGAGAAGACGAGTCATTTGAATCAATAGTAGTTGCAGATAAAGTAACATGATCCGACTGAGCAGCATGTGTAGTCTCCATAGTGTTATTAATAGAAAAGACTGAATTAGTGGCGGCTGCAGAAGTGTCAAAATGATGATAATCCGACAATTAAACTGATGATGGAATCGGCGAGTATATCGATTAGATAATACAATGATATATTTATTAGAAAAAGACCCCACAATCTATAGTTGAATAGTAGATGGTGAACTAGTATGAACAATAAATCAAAACTGGTAAAGAATTGAATAGAATTGTCAAGGAATTTAGTTGTCAAAGGGAGAGTGCGGCTGTGGTTGAACCTGAAACGACGCGTTAAAGGTTTACTATAATTCTGATGAGTGACAAGCAGGCAATGAAGAATGATAAGCAGCAGCAAGACAAGTAGTAGAGATGGAAAGTAACAAAAATGATAAGCAATTCAGTAATTAACTTGTAAAAAAGAATGGAAATATTGCGGAATAACAAATGGAAATATTGTCGAGTAATGAAACCAATAAATTCTGAAAACATCAAACTCAACTCGTCAGTCATAAAACCATGAACACTGACAGTGATGCTCACTCTAGTCTTGAACAGCGTCAGCCTTTACTTTCTGATAATCATGAACACACACCACCACTCACTACAGCTCGTCGCATCATCAACTACTTTCATAAACTAAACTTGACTTCTCTGTTGCTGCTGCTATTCGCTACTTTACTATTTATTCTTATAATAGGACTAACTCCTATACTGTACTGCGTCTATATTCCTTCTCGTATCAATTCGGCTTTGAATCCACCTCCAGCTACAGTCTCTTCTAGTCTAACCCTTCATCACTGTAATATTCAGTCTATTTCTGGTGATGTTCATCCAAACATCACTACAAGTCTCTCACTCTCGCTTACCATTCATGATCCTCCTCCATTGGATATGTTCATGATGTCCTCATTTCTATCCGTCACTGCTGTTGACATGGCAAGACCCTCGTCTGATCCTCTTTACAAGCAACACTTGGCTAGGCTACTGCTTCCTGAACTCGCTCTTCCTCGTGGTATTGATGATGTTCCTATATTGTACGATGCTCAAGTGGATCAAGTCAATATAGCTTTACTGGAACATCTTCTTCATTCGTATATGCGCTCTAGAAACACGACGGCTTGGGACTACACTGCTCAGGCCTTGTCTGTATTCACCATCCCGCATTTAGGCTCATGGACTGTTCCTCTTGTTCGACAAGGATCACTCTTTCCATTACCCTTGTCCGACTCGTTCCCATCCAACTCATCCTTGGACCTCACCTTTCAAGACCCTGATATTCAAACCATTCCTCCCGCTCCTGGATCTCCTATTTCAAGTCCTCAGTACCAACTTACTACTCAGATTGCATTCAATAATCCATTCCCCATTTCAATTTCTCCATTGGATTGGCTTGTATCCATCAGTGTCTATTCTCATGCAATACATCTGGCTGACATCACTCTTCCAGATGCAGCCATCTCGCTCACTTATGGAAGAAACGATCACATTACTATTAGGGTTCTCACTGACTCGACCACACATACTGTGTTGATGGATTTGATTGGGAAATTATCCGACGGTCAAGATACACTGCTTACATTTAGGGATTTGAAGTGTGTAGGATGTCCTTTGTGGTTGAATCGACTCATGGATTTGGTTTTTGTAGAATATTTAGTCAGGGCTGAGGATATGCCTGATACTATGCTGCAATCGGTCAAACGTCTTGAATCCACGCTTGCTCATTCCAAGCACACATAGCAGTTTACCCTATATTTTGGTATATAAAGTATTTTTTAAAAGTGTAAACCGTATAATATACAGTCTGTACCGTATAAACACATTGAAATTCTTGACTGTTTAAACATCAACTTGACTAGTTAGCATGCAGTGGTTTATCAATCTTGTTGCCAAAAACCGGTCAAGATCTGTAACAGTTCTTATCAGCACTCTCCCTGTAACACTAGTAACTGGATACATGGTCTACGAACGAGGTGAATTACTTTGTTCTCCTAGACACTCGACATGGTCTAACCCTGACATTGTATAATAGCTGTACTTGGAAAGAAACAACGCAATTATGAGGATGAGTTTGGTCCAGAGTTTCATAAAGGATTACGAAAAATGTATCATGATTTTAATACTCCTCAGCCTGTCGAGTCTGTACATACGTCATTGGAATAAACTCAAATTCGATTTTTTAAAAAAAACTAATCATTTATACGCAATCACTGCATCAAACCCAGATAGTCAATACAGCTTTGGACAGCATCCAATCTATTTATCATTTCCACGAAAAATTCTAATCACTAGAATTATTATTGTGTAACAGGAAATGGTTCAAGCAATCGACTTGAAAAAGCACAAGTGAACATCAGTCAATAAGGTTTGGGATTGCTTTGATGGCTATAAGCGTGATAAGTAGGCTCAGAGTATCATACATCTACATCCAGTTGAAGGTTCTGACCCTTTGGCATTATCTAAATACACAAGTTAGTACTAGTATGATACATGTATACAATCAAGTCATTTACCAGATGTTGATATATCGTTTTTGACAAGGATGTGTACAACAGTTGTATCACCCATTGGAATAGAATTGGATTCCACTGTACTATTCCATTCAAGAAACCTTCCACGTAATAAAACCTTGACACAACTAGGAGAAATAGGGGGAGTTTCAGTCGCCCAATCTAAACAGAAATGTTAAACTCGGTTGAAATCATGACAGGTTACATTAATGCAATGTAAACTACCTGCAGGCCATGAATTGGCAATTTTAATGCAAACTGATTCAATCGTATCTGAACCCGATACAAGCAAGTCGGATTTCTTTCCAGAAACGAGCAATAGTCGCAGATTCACTTTATCAGAAGGGATTGACAATCCAATGCCGTCACCCATTCTCAAACTGGAGGTTTAAACTTTTGAATGTGAGAACTTGAGTCGAAAATTGACTGAGTTTGAATAGGACAAATCCAGTCATGTCCAGTACAACATGGCATAACAGTGTACATGCAACCCAAAGTTGGTTATCAAACATGAGTCATGAGAGTCAACATCCAAATACCAAGAGAGAGTGCCAGGGACACAGTTCAACAACAGTATTATAATATCAATAAAAGTAACTGTCATGTTAGTATCAAGTAATAGAAATAAGCCAAAAGACAGTGTGCTCTTGGCATGAGCAGTGTCTAGACTCAAGAACAGTATTGTAACAACAACAACTAATCCAACATTTCATACTTTGATGGCAGCAAACTCTTGGGCAAACTCGTCAATAGTTGAAATATTCACAACAAGCCAAACTGTCGAATCTAAAAAAGTCAATCTGCAAACATTCGCAAACTATTCAATCTTGTTTATTAGGTTGGATTCAGATAAATTCCCTTTAAAAACTTGGCTGCTACTGGACTGGGTTTGGGCACTTTTAATAAAACTCCATCAATGACTTCGCTCACTCCAGTGTGTTGTTTGGCTAAATTACTAAATGCAATTCGTCTTAACATGACCAAATCAACTTCGTTGTTCACTCCAACAACACTTTGACGATGACTATTGATCAACAGTTTGACACTCGAAAGTAGTCGTTTTTGTGGTAGTTTTATATCAATTTCTTCAGATTTGCATAGTTTTACCAATCGGTAAAGTGGAAGACGTTTAATCCTAATTGCATGACATTAATAAAGGTTAGCAATGTATACTCGCATCAAATAGAATCAATTGCTCACCCCTGAGAATCCAATGGTATAAATGTACCACGTGAATAATTATTTTTGTTGTCTGACATGATTTTAGTACGGATAGTAATCGTTGAACTATACGTAGTCTCCTTGTCACTCTCTGCCTTGATCTCAGTGAGATCAGCTGCAGGCTCTTTGGTTACAGCTTTAGATGCTTTAAATGCTTCAAAGTCGGTCACCAATTCTGTACGTGACTTTGTAGTTTTGATCTTCAAGTATTTACACAACCCAGTTAGTTCTTGCATGGTCATGCCATCGAGCCTATAAATTTATATTCAATATAATGAGTTGACAAGTTTATACACGTTACTGTCAATACAAAGGGTTTCAGTTCATCAGTTACGTACTGGTTGTATAAAAAAGATGTTGGGCTATTCATTGCATTCACGTCAAGCGAGTCAGCCTTTGATTCATCCAATGGATCAGATACATCAGTGTCGTTTTGTTTTGCTTTACTCTTTTTCAAAGACACTTTTGGTTCCTTGGGTACTCTTGTAATCTGTGGTGTTGGTTTTTTAGATACCGATACAGCCCGTGGTTTTGACTTTTCGGGTAATAGTATAACTCGTGGTTCTAATTCCTCAAATAGCTTGGACAGTGATTTACTCTGAGGTATTGATTCTTCGGGTAGAAATACAACTTGTGGTTTTAGTATCTTGGATACTGTTGTGATTTGTGACTTTAATTCTTCGGGCAGCAATATAACTCGTGGCTCCAACTCCTCGAATAGCTTGGATAGCGATTTACTCTGAAGTCTTGATTCCTCGGGTAAAAATATAACTTGTGGTTCTGATTCTTTTGACAGTGATATCATCCGCGGTTTTGATTTCTTGAATGGGAATATAACCTTTGGCTCCAACTCCTCGAATAGTTTGGATGGTTTCAAAATATTAAGCATAAAGTTCAACTGAGATCTTGCAAGCTCTCCCAATCTACGATTTTAAATAATATTAGTCAAAATTCAATATCGATTAAATCCATACAACCATCCAATAGATTGTCCTACGTTTTAATTGTGGCAGGAACTGGTTGAGCATCCCGGAAAGAGAAAAAGTGCTTTAAAAGGATTGAGCCATCATTATCCAGCATATCAGGATTTTTTTGAACATGCTCTATCACTTGATCCATGTATTGAGACTTGGTATATGAATAAGACAGCTGAAGTAGTCTACATAGATTATGAATAGTATATACGTGAAGTTTGTCCATTCTAAATCATTCAAAATTAGCACAAGATCCACAAATACCAATTGATAAAATGACCATCAAATACGATACTTACACTTGCAGAAATGCCCTGGCATCATTTACATTCATTTGAGCAAGTGCTGGATCGTGTATATAGTTCCACTTGTGCATTTGTTTCATTACATCATTTAATCTTTCTGGATTTTTTTCAAAGAAATCAGTCAACAGACCAACCAACTCATTAGTAGATTTAGTTTTATAAAGTCCACATCCTTTGCCAAGTGAGTACAATTGATCTCTCTCAAAACTTGGTATTCTATATCAAGTTAAAATTCTTAGTACAGAGCAAATATGAAACCATTTGTAAAGAAATACGTACTGTTTAGCATACAACTTTATATTTGAGAATGGTGAACAAGTAAAGTTGAGAGTTCCGTCTGAATAAACTAGATTTGGATTCTTCTGCAGTAATGGCTCGACACACTCTTGAGCATACTTGATATTCTCTATCGCATAGTTTGACTTGTCATATTTTATTCTACAGTTTATAATATTTAAGAATCAAGACTTTACAAGTACAAATCAACACAAAGACTAGCGTACGATTGCAGTAATGAACAGGATTGAATAGTAAAGTGTCGAGATTGAACAGACAGAAACAAGCCAATACGAGAATAGAATGGCTTGAAGTTGTGTTTTGAAATCATTCGATTCTGCAGATGCGAGCAACAAGCAGATTCAAACATCGACACTTGAATTGATAATTTTAAAACCATTTCAAGAAAACTCGAATGAGTTGGATTCGATTGTCAAACAGTGTTAGAATCGCACTGTTTGACATTCCAACTTGCAGATTCTCTAAACAGTTTCAACTTGAAACCAATTCAATTGTTTTTAATTCTTTTAATTCTTTTAATTCTTTCAGTTCTTTCAGTTCTTTCATCAACTTGTCTTGTACAAAATCAAACACTGCAAATGTCATTCCATTATTCCATACTTTGGTTAAAACTCATCCAAACGATCTTGTTACTAAACTAAAGTTTCATCACTTTGCAAACCTGATCTCAATGGCTGCTCATGGCTTCTTTAAACCATCTCCAGACTCATTTCACTCTTTGATATCCATACATGATCGGATCACTACTGCTAATCGTATACTAGATCTGATGGAACATTCTTTAGTGTTTCAGGCATTTCATTCATCTTGCAATACAGGATTATACATTCATTCACCTTATCTACAAGACATATACACTCATATGATTGAATTATATTCTCGTTCAAAAAATATGTTGGCGTGTGAAAACATTCGAGATCGAATGCGAATACTTGGATTAAATCATTCAACTGTTCCCATCATCAGTCATCTCGTTTATGGTTACTCTCTTTTTGGAAATAAAGAATTGGCTTCGATTCATGCATGTCGTCTTCAACAACTCACTGGTCCCGATTCACCACGTCCGTACTACTTTATCATGAGAGCTCATTTTAATCATGCCTACAGTATTCAACTGGTTCAAACTTATCATGATATGCAATCAAAAGGCATTCGGCCTGATAGTCACGTTCTTGGCATTCTTTGCAACTATTTCGCAAAACAAGGCGAACTGACTAAATTTTGGCAGCATTATCATATGTATCAGAAACTCAACATCCCAAAACATATATCCATCTACAATCTTGCACTAGCAATCCAAAACCAAAATGGTGATTACTTGAAAACTGAAACCCTTTTTAAAAAAATGGTTGCAAAAGGTATTGCTATAAATCGACCCACTTTCGACGAACGATTCATTGCTTGGGTGGGATCTCGCAAACGTACTTTAATCTGGCGCGAATACGCTCATATGCTATCCAATGGTATTCTTCGTAAAAAATCAAATCTATCGTTTTGTAAATATCTTGGTAAAATCAAATCAGTACCACATATTCAATACTTTATTGAGCAAGCCACTGCAAATCAGATTAATGTATTGGACTTTTTACCAGCTTTGGTCAGTGGATATGCTGGACTGGGTGATGTTATATCCACTCGCCGTTTAATCATATACGCTAATCGGTATCTTACCACCAACAAAGTATCAATGCATGGCCATGAATGGGTTTTGAAAGCATATTGCATAGCTATGGATCTAGATGGTGCAACTAAATACTTGACCCGATCTGGAATCGAATTGAAAATGTTTGACTTGGCAAGCTTATACTTGCTATTTAAACTGGCAGTTGAACAATGTGGACCCACAAGTTCAAAAGTCGAGTTTGTTGCCGGAATGATCCAGTCCGTATACAAACATGTTTCGTTGGATAAATTACTCCAAGAATACAAAATAACCAAATGCTAAATCTTGTTTTTATTGTAATTGTCAATTGATATCTCACTATTATTCACGTAAAGTGTCGATTTGATGAATTTCTGGTGAAAATTTACTAAATGGAATGATTGCAATGGAAACAACTGTTGAATTACTCAAATGTGTAATGTTTGGTTTCTTGAACATGAACGTATTCAAGTTGTTTGATTGCATGAATTTGTGTTGAAAATAGTCAAATTCAATACTTGAATTACAATGAATTGTAATGAATGGTCACATCAAATGTGAACAATTTCTGTTTATAATGTCAAATATTCAACTTGATCATTGCAAAATAGTGTTGCATTTACATGAACACGATTATAAATGTCAATCAAATTGATTACAACTATACACATATGGTTTGTATACAATCAACTCAAATGATCGACGTTGACTGTATGTCATCATCGACTGACTCCAGTTGTGAGTTTAATCATCACAAATTTGATATGGTGTAACATGCTTACTACACTAGTTTCGTGCATGTGAATTGTATCCAATTACTACAGTATGACTGACATTCAAAGCATGATCAGTGCTATAGTGCCGTATTGCACAATCTCTACTTGTGCTCACTGAACCAATACAACGGCATTCAAAGCGTGTTGATTATCATGGTGCCGTATTACTCGACACGTTTTTGTGTTCGAGTCGAGTCGATCTATTTGGACGTGTGATAACAAGCTCACACAAGTCGTCAACCATCACAGTTCATCGCAGTATCGATCCACATCGAATTTGTGTCAATGTCACTCAGCCACAGCTCACATGTGTCGTTTATCACAACACACGTTTAGTATTGTGTTCATCCAATTGTATATAAATAGCAATGCAAATTCACATAGTCTATACAACTCACTACTCATCTCATTCAACTATCACTCGAGTATCACTCTTACTACTCGTCTTATTCTAGTATCACTCAGACACTACTCTCACTACTCGTACTACTCTCACTATTCGCATTACTTAATCTAAACTTTAATCAACATGAAATTTATTGATATCACTATAACTGCAGTCACTGCCATCGCGAGTGTCAATGCAATCGCTGTTCCAGAATCTGACCACGTTTTGCAAGCCAGATCGATCCCACAACCAAACGAGTCTCAAGTATTGCTCGAGCGTCGTTCACCTAGTAGCTATGGTGGTGTCTGGGGAGGCAACTCTTTTGTCCCATCATGGAATAATTGGAGTAATTGGCCTAGTTGGGGTGGTATGGGTGGTATGGGTAGCTGGAATGGTGGCTGGACTAATGGCTTTACGCAAAGATGGGGATGGTAATTGTAATATTGGCATGTCACCATTGGAATGCTACTAAACTTGATCTATCCGATATTCAAGCAATAACTATCCTATCTAAACTTTATTTTAGTAATAAATTATCATTTGCGATAAACACTGTTGTGTGTGTTTGGATGTGATCAACTGATGAATCCGGTTGATTATTACTTTCAATTGTGAAACAGCTGCTAGAACACTGGACTAATGTCACAACTGAAATACTATGGATCAAACACGTTTGTTTAAACACGTTTATACAAACACTAAGAGTCGGATGAAAATGCTGTTTCTTTCATTATCATGCATTTTTTTAGTCATTGTTTTCGCTGTTAGACTGATAGCCTTATTTTCAAAGCCTTTAACCTGTCGTTTTTCATTTTGGGCAACGTTTGATTCATTGAAACTGAACATTTACCTGTTTTTGCTTAGATCAGACTGTATGACACAAGTGCATTGCTATAGTTTGCTGGTATGGCATCAGAAAATGAATATTTGTCATTTAACTTGCTCATGAACAATGCACGTATTTTTTGAATAAACAAGTTTTTGGTTCAAACATCAATGTATTCATACTTACTAGTTTAAACTTTGACTGAGTTTCAAGCAATCGCTAAAGCCAGTATTAAAGTGTTATATTACACTGATGTTACACTTGGTTGCACTATAAACCAAATCAAGTTACCAACAGCCAATTGTATTTACCCGTGTTCACTAGACCGATATAATGCCATCCAGTGTGATGGTTGCCATAATGTCGCGTTGCTCGACACGCTCTTGTGTTCAAATAAAGCCAAATTATTTTAATATGTGGTAGCAAGCTCACACAGGTTACCAACCGTCACAGCTCATCACCATATCACATCAAGCTGGTGTTGATACCACAGTTACAACTCGTGTGTGTTGTGTTGAACACAGCATGTATAATATAATATAATATAGTATTGTGTTCATCCAATTATATATAAATAGCGGTATAAATTCACATAATCTATACAACTCATTACTCATCTCATTCAACTATCACTCACACTACTCTCACTACTCACTACTCACTACTCAGTATCACTCTCACTCTTACTATTCGCATTACTCGCATTACTTAATCTAAACTTTAATCAACATGAAATTTATTGATATCACTATAACTGCAGTCACTGCCATCGCGAGTGTCAATGCAATCGCTGTTCCAGAATCTGACCACACTTTGCAAGCCAGATCGATCCCACAACCAGAGTCCCAGACTGTGCTCGAGCGTCGTTCACCTAGTAGCTATGGCGGTGGCTGGGGAGGTAGTAATAATATGTGGGGTAATAACTGGGGCGGCAATAGTGCGTGGACCGGCGGCTGGGGTAATGGTATGAATAACTGGAACGGTGGTTGGGGAAGTAGTATGCAAAGATGGGGATGGTAATTGGAATACTGGCATACTGACATAATGTCACCATTGGAATGCTACTAAACTTGATCGATCCGACGTGCAAGCAATAACTATCATATCTAAACACTATTTTAGTAATAAATTATCATTTGCAATCATTTAAATTGTTAGTATTTAAAGTATTCTAATCTTGAATCCAAATTCATCTGGATATGAATGTGTTTAAATTGTTCACTTGACTGTTCATTATCATCAAAACATGTTGATCATCATAGTAAGTTATTCCAAACGTGGTGGCATTTCATTGATTGATTTGATGTAGTTGTCACATCCATTTTGAAAATATTTTACTAAAAAGTGCATATTTGGCAATCATAAAGCAAATCTATCACACAAGCATTGACCATAAAGCAATCCATTGAAACAGATTCAAAGGCTTTTCAAGCAATGCATCAACCACCAAGATTGCTTTTAATACAGATTGACAATATTATGCATCAAAGGCGTGGAATGCGAGCATCCACAGCAGCAAAATGGTCAAAGAAGCTCTAAATACTTGTGATTAGCAAATTATTCAAGAGTTGATAGACAAGTGAATGAATTACCTTGAACAGGTTTACAGCATGTTGGACATCTTCCACACCGCATGTTTCACATTTCGACTTTGATCGCTTTTGTACTAGCACAATAAGCCGAATACTGTTATCATCAATTCCTATACTAGATAGTTTTAGCAATGTCTGATCATTACAGCGTCAGATTAAACTCGCAACCTGAAAGTACAAGTCATATTAGTATAGAAATACATATTTATATGCCATGACAGGATGTTGACTTTTAAAAGTGTCTGATTGTGCTCTCATTCATGCAACTAAAGTCGGATACAGTATCGTCTGCTCTGTGATTCGAGATACTCAATGGGTTTCTGCCATCACAACAATTGTATAAACAACACAAGCCATTTGAGAATGGATACATGTTGAGTGTCAAAAAAGACAATGGTTGTTTGGCCGAGTGGTCTAAGGCGCCGGATTCAAGTCCCGGTCTCGAAAGAGGCACGAGTTCGAACCTCGTAGCAATCATTTTTACTGGTTTTTGGCAAGTTGAATTTTGATATTATGCTAAACTATTGATTGGCAGGCATGCGAACTACTTACTTTACTTTATGTGGATCTCTTGCTGCTAAAGGATTTATTGTTCTCGTGCCTGAACATTCAGATGGCAGTGCGTGTGCTACGATCCGACAATCTAATTCATCAACATCTACTCAACACGAACACATTGCTTATCTACGTCCTGACAAAACCAGTGTCTTGCCTGGTGAAACTACTGATGACTATTTGTTGCGTTTACGACGTGCTCAAGTAGAAATTCGAGCTGATGAAGTTGATGCATGTATCGAGATACTGAAAAAACTGGACATGGGTTCATTCGACCCAAAAGACAATCTAATTGGAAACCATGCAGAAAGTGGACCCTGCATAGATTCATTTAAAAGTCGGGTTGATTTTCAACACATGGTGATGGCGGGTCATTCGTTTGGTGTAAGGGTTGAATCTAATATGTTGTTATTGTATAATAACCAAATCTAAACATAACCCTATTCAACTGTAATGTATTGTTAATGATTAGGGTGCAACAACAATCACAGTATTGTCAAGACCAAATATGCCATTCAGATGTGGAATTATTCTCGATCCATGGATGTTTCCTGTTCATAATCCAAACGTAACAGTACCGTATCTATCGATCCAATCTGAAACATTCCATTGGAAAACTAATTTGGATCAAATGCGATCCATGATGGGGTTGGTGCCTTATTCGAATACTACGGATTCTACTGCCGCATCGACAGTGTTGACAACTTCAACATTGCAGCATCCACATACACGGTTTGGGTATATTCGTCATACAGCACACAATAACCCATCGGATTTTTCAGGATTGTTTCCAACAGTTATACAATGGGCTGGACAAGCAGGATCTGCAGACGCATTACGTGTTTATCGTATAAATGACGATTGGATGTGTGAGTTTATTGCTACGATATATGAGCAGATGGAGTTGAAACTCCCGCGTAGTGCAGAGTATAAAATAGGTCAAGAACAGGACGAAATGATTGCTGTTGGTGATCAAGCTTGGAATGATTTGTATTCTCGACTAAAGAAATAAATGTTTGGATTGTCAACCGTTTAACCATTCAGATCAATAAATGCCACCACGCTTGGAATAATTTACTATGATGACCAACATGGCTTGATGATAATGGACAATCAAGTGAGCAATTTAAACACATTCACATTCAGATGAATTTGGATTCAAGATTAGAATACTTTAAATACTAAAAGTTGAAATGATTGCAAATGATAATTTATTACTAAAATAGTGTTTAGATATGATAGTTATTGCTTGCACGTCGGATAGATCAAGTTTAGTAGCATTCCAATGGTGTCATGCCAGTATTCCAATTACCATCCCCATCTTTGTTGCATACTGTTTCCCCAACCACCGCCCCAGTTACCCATACTACTACCCCAGCCGCCGTTCCACGCACTACTGCCCCAGCCACTATTACCCCACATATTATTACCATTGCCCCAGCCACCATAGCTACTAGGTGAACGACGCTCGAGCAATACTTGAGACTCGTTTGGTTGTGGGATCGATCTGGCTTGCAAAGTGTGGTCGGATTCTGGAACAGCGATTGCATTGACACTCGCGATGGCAGTGACTGCAGTTATAGTGATATCAATAAATTTCATGATTAAAGTTTAGATTAAGTAGTACGAGTAGTGAGAGTGATACTTGATTGATGCTAGAATAAGATGAGTAGTGAGTTGTATAGATTATGTGAATTTATACCGCTATTTATATATAATTATATATACACTATATACACTATATTATATTATACATGCTGTGTTCAACACAACACACACGAGTTGTAACTGTGGTATCAACACCAGCTTGATGTGATATGGTGATGAGCTGTGACGGTTGGTAACCTGTGTGAGCTTGCTACCACATATTAAAATAATTTGGCTTTACTTGAACACAAGAACGTGTCGAGCAACGCGACATTATGGCAACCATCACACTGGATGGCATTATATTGGTCTAGTGAACACGGGTAAATACAATTGGCTGTTGGTAACTTGATTTGGTTTATAGTGCAACCAAGTGTAATATCAGTATAATATAACACTTTAATACTGGCTTTAGCGATTGCTTGAAACTCAGTCAAAGTTTAAACTAGTAAGTATGAATACATTGATGTTTGAACCAAAAACTTGTTTATTCAAAAAATACATGCATTGTTCATGAGCAAGTTAAATGACAAATATTCATTTTCTGATGCCATACCAGCAAACTATAGCAATGCACTTGTGTCATACAGTCTGATCTAAGCAAAAACAGGTAAATGTTCAGTTTCAATGAATCAAACGTTGCCCAAAATGAAAAACGACAGGTTGAAGGCTTTGAAAATAAGGCTATCAGTCTAACAGCGAAAACAATGACTAAAAAAATGCATGATAATGAAAGAAACAGTATTTTCATCCGACTCTTAGTGTTTGTATAAACTTGTTTAAACAAACGTGTTTGATCCATAGTATTTCAGTTGTGACATTAGTCCAGTGTTCTAGCAGCTGTTTTACACAATTCAAAGTAATAGTCAGCCGGATTCATCAATTGATCACATCCAAACACCCACAACAGTGTTTATCGCAAATGATAATTTATTACTAAAATAAAGTTTAGATAAGATCGTTATTGCTTGCATATCGGATAGATCAAGTTTAGTAGCATTGCAATGGTGACATGCCAGTATTCCAATTACCACCAACTATTCCACGCCCGGTTACCCCACATAGTACCACCTCCCCAGGGATTGTTCCACATACTGTTGCTCCACATATTGTTACCCCATATTTGGTTATTCCAGCCACCGCCATAGCTACTAGGTGAACGACGCTCGAGCACAGTCTGAGACTCGTTTGGTTGTGGGATCGATCTGGCTTGCAAAACGTGGTCAGATTCTGGAACAGCGATTGCATTGACACTCGCGATGGCAGTGACTGCAGTTATAGTGATATCAATAAATTTCATGTTGATTAAAGTTTAGATTAAGTAATGCGAATAGTGAGAGTAGTACGAGTAGTGAGAGTAGTGTCTGAGTGATACTAGAATAAGACGAGTAGTAAGAGTGATACTCGAGTGATAGTTGAATGAGATGAGTAGTGAGTTGTATAGACTATGTGAATTTGCATTGCTATTTATATACAATTGGATGAACACAATACTAAACGTGTGTTGTGATAAACGACACATGTGAGCTGTGGCTGAGTGACATTGACACAAATTCGATGTGGATCGATACTGCAATGAACTGTGATGGTTGACGACTTGTGTGAGCTTGTTATCACACGTCCAAATAGATCGACTCGACTTGAACACAAAAACGTGTCGAGTAATACGGCACCATGATAATCAACACGCTTTGAATGCCGTTGTATTGGTTCAGTGAGCACAAGTAGAGATTGTGCAATACGGCACTATAGCACCGATCGTGCTTTGAATGTCAGTCATACTGTAGTAATTGGATACAATTCACATGCACGAAACTAGTGTAGTAAGCATGTTACACCATATCAAACTTGTGATGATCAAACTCACAACTGGAGTCAGTCGATGATGACATACAGTCAACGTCGATCATTTGAGTTGATTGTATACAAACCATATGTGTATAGTTGTAATCAATTTGATTGACATTTATAATCGTGTTCATGTAAATGCAACACTATTTTGCAATGATCAAGTTGAATATTTGATATTTTAAACAGAAGTTGTTCACATTTGATGTGACCATTCATTACAATTCATTGTAATTCAAGTATTGAGTTTGACTATTTTCAACACAAATTCATGCAATCAAACAACTCGAATACATTCATGTTCAAGAAACCAAACATTACACATTTGAGTAATTCAACAGTTGTTTCCATTGCAATCATTCCATTTCGTTTAGTAAATTTTCACCAGAAATTCATCAAATCGACACTTTACGTGAATAATAAAAACCACGAATTGTATGATGAACATACCTTGGCTGGTAGAGACTGTAGTCCCGTTGAGTTGCAGTAAACTTGTTACTCTTAATATTCCTTCTTGTTCAAAGGTTTCATCTGATGCACTCAATCGGTTACTTTATGCACAGAATCATGCAGATGGTTTGATTATTGCAGATTCTACTCTGCAATCTGAAGGACTGGATTTACTTCATCCATATCTGACACCTTTGACTGGAACTTATTATTTATCTCATTCTCCAAACTGTTTTATTTACTGGAGACTCTGTCCTGGTCGCTGTTCTTTGGAACTCAAGAGAATATTTTTATCCAACGCTGTTGTTGCTCAGTCCATGTCAGGATCGAATTCATTCAACCAGACGAATGATTTGTCTGAAAGCAGTTTGTCAGAAACAACTCTTGTGTTGGAGTTTTCTGAGCCTTGTTTGCCTTGTCCGGGTTTCTTTCAGGATTCCGACACTCTGTCTGTTCATGTCAAGATCGTCACTATTTGTGGTTCTTTTTATAATATCGAATTGCCATTTCCGCATCTGTCCTGCTCAGATTCTCTTTCCATCGACAATGTTGTGTCTTATTCTTCTAGTTTGTTTTCTACGTTGGAACGAGTTCCTGTTTTGGTTCATTTTCCTGATGCTGACATGTTCACTGTCGCATGTGGTAATGGCTCGTTGGTGCATGTCACTTGTCCTCCCATGAATTCGATTTTAAAATCTCGTCGCAGTAAAAATACTTTTTCTAATGATAGCAATACTAGTGATGATGCTGATATGGACGAGTCAGATGATCCTTATCGATCTTCCTGTAAGTTGTAGTTTCTCGACTTTGATCCATCTTTAGATCAAGTTTATAAACTGATTGTATTTGTTTAGATGATTCTGGATTTCACCAAGTGGAATTGGTCGAGGCCACTTATATGTCGCATTTTAAATCACTTGCTCGTACACCTTCAAAATTGTTATTTTCTGCTCTTCGTAGTGTTGTTTCTGCCGATTCAAATGACATGACCAATTCAACTTTCAGTAATGAAGCAGTCAAGATTGGTCCGTTGACTTCGCCACAGCAGGTTATATCCATTGCTTCATTGTGTCTAGAAACTCAGCTGCTCTTGTTCACGTTTTGTCGTGATAGTCGTTTGCGGATCTGGAGCGCTGTTACAAAGCAATGCATCAAGAATATCCAAATAGGCATTGCTTGTAATATTGGTTCAAAAATAGACGTGTCCATTTCTACAGGAGCTTACCCTTCCACACCTGGATTGGCTCGCTCCAATTCGCTTCCTGCGACGTCTCGTCAGCCATTGTTGCCTGCAACGCCTTGTTCTGCCATCAAAGTGTTTAGACAAAAATCATTCAACAATAATGCAATGACTCAAGTTGATGGTGTTGTAATGTTCAATCTTGCCTGCTATTTACCACAAACTACCACTGGAGGGCAGGCCACGTTTATAATCTATTCAGGAACAATCAATTCCATGGGTGAACTGGTTCATTTTGAGCCCATTCACTCACAAAACAGTGGTAGTGATGGACAAGAATATCTTGTTGATTTTACTCTTTCACCTAGTAAAAATGGTGATTTGAGTGCTTCGTGTACTCCACAAAGTACAGATCAGTCATTTGAACATGACACTATGGACATGCATGATGTAAAAGACAGCTCACATCAGCTCGAGTTTGGAAACAAAATGTTGATTTCAAATTCTGCTCATGATTCTGAAACAGAATCTTTGGGTGAAGCACAGTGGTGGACTCTCTGGACTGTCTGGGATAGATCGTGTGCTTCGGTGATTCGATACATTCAAATTGATTTGCCTGCTCACAGACTGAGCAATGAACTGCACTTGAATCACGATCGTCATTCATCTAGTCAATTCGAATCCAGTCATGACCAGCCTGCGTATGGTCTAGTTGTAGGCCATCGCTGGATGATTGTCACCAGCTGTCAACAGGAATCTACTGAATTGCCTACTATAGATGCGTTTGATGATGAAATGATGGATGCAAATAGTTATTTGGAACTTTTTATGGAACATATCTTTGAGCCAGGTCGATTCTCACTTGCTCTTATTTCTGAAGCGCTCGATATTTATTCTGGTGCTGATCCATATAAATTTTGCAACAAAGCCGGTATTGCCACGCCTGACCTGCTTTATGCCGACGTCTTTCATCGTGCTATTACTACTATTGGTTGTACGATCGACTCTGATTTTGAAGAGCAAAATGCCGGAACATACTTTACTAGTTACAATCTAGCCCTTCTTGGTGCTTACAATACGTTTCTTTCTATTCTTGTTCAACGACATCAGCTGCATTCTGCACCTGCAGGAATAGTCTTTAATCCATACTGTAACACGATCATGACATTACAACGAGGACCAACAATGGGATTTTTGCGTGTTGCAGATGCATACGAGGTGATGACGTGGGGTCATTCCATGTCGCAATCTACACCAGCTGATAATCTAATTGCAGAATCTCCACTCTCACTACTTGCTGGTGACCAACTTTTTACTGGACATCTTAAATCTATTAGAAGCAAGTCACTTAGGACAGATCTTTTTCATTTTATACAGCTGCTCAATTTTGTCAATTCGGAGCTTTTTCCTCCTGGGTTTGCCATGGCAACTGAAACAGAGATCCTTACTACCCGAGCATCTTCAGATTCAGTTGTAGACGACTACGCATTTACTGTGTATAGTCGCTTATCAGAGCAAATTGAGCCAGAAGATCTTGCAGAAAAACTGGTGACTCTTGAACAGCTTACAAAAAATATTGGACATTTTCAGCTGCTAATTACCACGCTTTTGGATATTCTTGCACATCGGGCCATGAACGAAAAGGATCGTGATGAATCTGGTACAGATGTTCATTCATTTCCGTGGACTGCCTTGAATACTACGTTGAGTGATGGAAAAGGCACTAATCAAGATGGTATCAATAATGCCAGTCTATTTACAAACAGTATCATTGCAACTGCTGCATCTCAGATTGTATCCATGCGGTTGAAAGTTATCCGGCAGTCTGTAATGGCTCTTCTTGTACTCAAAGCACTAAACTTGAATGATTTGCATCATTATGATGTTCCCAGCAGCGTGATGCGTAAATATCTTGATGTATTTTCTGCTCTTTCATTAATGCAATGGCTATCTGTTCAGCAAGTATTGATACCGTCTCATGAGCGTGATTCATCCACTGCCCATCATTATCCAACTTTATCTAGAGATGTTTCAAAAGTAGTCGTTTCTTCAAACGCAGTTACCAAAGAGCACAAGTCGCTTATTCTTCACCTCTTGCAACATCATTACATCATTGATGTCAATTTGCCTTTATTACCACGCAATACATCTACAGGGTCAGATTTGATACTTTCAACTACAGTGACGGTTGCTGCCGAGTCCTTTTTGTCTTGTCTGGGTTTTATTGGTGATGGAGGATCTCAACAAATGACGCATGCTGTTGTTGTTCTTTCACGAAAGCTTATGGCATTTGGATACTTTGACATTGTTGGAAAATTATTTCCACCTCATATGCGATTCACACCAGCAATAGAATACATCAACGCTCGTGTATGGCTTGATGTACTTGAATGGGAAAAATCTGCTCGATGTTTCTGTCTTGCAGTGGGTGGTGACCCAACGCAAAGTGATTTGTCACTTGTATTTTCACCCCACTCACTTACTACTGGCTATGGTGAATACTATCGACACGTTGCTGGACTATTTTACGAGCGAGATATATTGGATCACACGGTTGTGTTTGCCAAGTTGGCGATTGGATGCATGAAGAATGGAGATCAAAGTGCAGAGGTAAAGGGACTGGTGATGCTAGTGTTTAAATGTTGCGTTGATATGGGCGACTTTGATGCTGCTTACGAAGCTATTTTATCAAACCCTGATTCTAAATCGTAAGTTTGACTTGAATTCAAGTGTAATGATTGATTTACCAATTAAAGCTTACGCGGTTTTGATATTATAAATTATAGACAGCGAGACTGTTTGAGAACGTTTGTGAATGCATTGTGTAGTGCCAACGATATGCATGGTTTGTGTGCCAAGTACAATTTTGGTCATTTGAGCTCAGAAGTGGAGCGTACACTGGAATTCAAAGCACGTACTGGGGATGTTACACTCTCTAAACACACTCCCAACTACTATTGCATCTGCTACACTTTTTACATTTATCGAGGTGATTTTCGTCGTGCAGCAATGGCCATGTATGCACTGGCACACCGTCTTTCTTCTATCCAACTTCCACCCTTGAATCGTATTGTCGAACGAGCACAGGTTGTGATTCAGATTGTTACTGAACAGGCACAGCATTTGCTTGCCGCATTGAACTGTTTAAAATTGGTAGATGCTGAATATGCCTGGCTGTCTGTGCCTTTGGCCATGGCTGGTCCAATCGATCGCGCTGAACGAAACGCGACATATCCAACCATTGATCTAGACGCTCTGGTCACCACTCAAGATTTGGTCATGAGCGACACATATACAAGCAATGTATCCAACACGTCTATCCAGCCTTTGCATATTATTGAAATAGAAGACATCACCAAGCAATACCATCTCACTCTTGCCAAACTCAATCTTTACAAACGGTTCCCTGATTTAGCTCAAAACACATTCTTTGTGCAGCCAGGAGATGCTTTAAACATGTACTGCCAAGTGGGATTATTTGACTCGGCAGTATCGTTTGCATTCATATTTGGACTAGGTATTGAAAAGGTGATTGTATCTCTGATCCATTTCATATATGTGAATATCAGACAAGACCGTATGGGTAACGGAGACGACAATTGCAATGGATGTGATTTGGATGAAGAGGTGGGGAGTTATACAAAACTAGATCGATGGACTACATTACGGGTTATACTACAGCAGTACGATAAACAAGCGAATGCGTATGCGTATCATCTTACTGCCATCACCACGATTCTCAAACAAGACAAGCTTGTGCGTCTTCCACTCTGGCTTACACAACCCTTTGAATCTTACCAATCTGATCGGCTTATTCGTATATATCTTTTATACGATCGGGTTGCGGATGCAGCAAAATTATCGTGTCGATACATTGAAGAAGAAACTGCACGGCTGCCTGACGGACTGGGTGCCATGAGCGGCAAAAGATGTTTAGCCGTTACTTGCTTAGAACATGTGATTAAAGCCTTGCACATGAGCAATGGATTGGATGATATGGAAGCGAGGGTTTCCCAGAAACTCAAGCTGTATTTGGCACAGGTTGGCATGGAAACAAATTTACTTTTAAGGTGATATGGAACAGGCTAAAGCCGTGTTCACTGCCAATAGTTTATACTTTTAGTTGGTGACTAAAACCTATGCGCAGCATCACACTCATTGAGATTGTTTTCTAATTCCGATTTGTATGATTAAAAAATTCTTTTACTGAGAAAGCAGACTCGTATACTGATAATCAGTACCAATCAATAGTGTATTGATGATTGAAACATGTCATTAGCCTTGGTTTGTTTGGATAGTTTTAAATACGATCATTTTGAATAAAAACGGGTCAATTATAGCTTAGCTCTCTTGACTCATGATGATACAGATTTTTAGTCATTGCAAGTGTTTACAATATATAACCGAACAGTTTTTTTCGTTAAATATCGGAACATTTGAAAATGGGTTGCGAGCTACTTCAATCATGATTGGCTCGCCAAAACCTCAAATAAATTCTGATAATTTTATCAATTAAGGTTGCTACCAAACATCACGTACGATACTTTGGGATCCCAAAGTGACTGTAATGGACTATCAACTTGAAAACCCTCCTCATGTGATCTCAATTTACCCGTCTTTATACTAAACTCCTTGCAATTTGAAATGGCTTAATTGGTTTCGGTTCTTAAAGTTTGGGTTGTATCATTGATTTTCAACTCTCTTTCTGATCATCATTGATTATTACTACAACTTTTAAACATATCTAGCTGGAAATGCAACCATTTGGTGATTATATTATTGATGCATGCACTCCTCAAAGACGGTCACCAAATAACTTTGAACAATTTTGTTATTCATCATTTATGCCAATGACCCCACAAACGCCAAATACACCAGCATCAGCGAGTCTGTTTATGTATACTTTGAACCAGGGTTATTCATACATGCCATCACCAAGTTTTGATGGTATGGAGATACGACAATCTGTACGCTTTCCATCTTTTTTATTCCTGAACAATTTGGAAAGCGAATCAAAAAATTCTGAGCACTTGCCTCGAAGCTGTAATGGTGATTCTAGCATAGTAAATCTGCGTAAAAATGATCAAGAGGCATGCAAAGGAGCGACTACAATAGTATCTTCTACAGTACGACGAGAACAAAACAGAGTGCTGTCCAGTCATGGCTCGAGTGCTATCAAGAGCATCACCACCAGTGTAAATCCTAGTTTATCTAATATGTTCTCGCTGGTTCGGGGAAATTCAATATCTGATACTATGACATCATTCACCGACGCAGATCGTATCAGCAACGTGAAGTACCCGACTTTAAAAAAATCTCGCGGCAAGCGTGGACCATATGCCAAGACCCGTAACAAGAAACTCGAAACTCCCATCAATTCCGTCACCCAACCCAAAGCTATAGCTCCAGCTATTGTAAAAAAATCGGTAAAAATACCACAAGTTCGCGATTCTAATATATCGCCATTGACTTGTGAAGATCAGCAGAATGCTACACGGTTGTATGACGATGTTTTCACTCCGACTTTGACTAAAACGGTCGAATCGGACCACCATAGCAGATTTATAGCTTTTTGCAATACGATTGAGAAAGCAAGACTTGAGTTGTTTGCTCCTGTCGTACAATCTGCTGCACTACAACAAAAAGGTTTTATTTCTGCAATCAGTAGTACAAACACAGCTCATACTACACGTGCAGGTTCAACAAGTACTTCAACAAGTACTGCATCGGCGTCAATTGTTTCTGCGCTTCCACTCCCAGACTGGGGAATACAACAGTTGAATACATCAACCAACTCAACCAACAAACTGTTTGATTCGTCCTTGATGGAATTGTTTGATGGGTTGGCTTCGCTCCCACAATTAAACGATTCTACATTTAAGCAGTTGAATGATATCGAGTTTCCAACTGTGAATCCATCCACTTTATTTAGTCTTTCTAATGCGACTTGTGGTTTAACTCATTCAGCCGGATCAGAATATGATTTGCATATTCCATCAACACCCACACCACAATCTACTATGAATCTTGATTCTAGTTTGATAGGGTATGATCAACCTCGAATTGAACAGCCTACTATCGATGATGTATCTCAACCTAAACGTTTAAAGTACGATTCACTTGATGGAGTACCCAATTGTTTGCTTCACACTCCATTGAACACTCCGAGTTTAAAAAGTCGTAAACCTCGGTCAGTTTATGATGATGGATGTATTGCTCGACCACTCAATGCATTTCTTTTATTCCGACGTGATCATCACAAAGAAATCAGTGCACTTAATCCGACTGTCACATTCGGTGAACTATCAAAACTGATTGGACGTGCTTGGAGATCACAAAACGATACTACTCGAACTCGGTATCATGAACTAGCAGTTGAAGTTCAAAAGCAACACCAAAACCTGTATCCTGGATTTAAATTTATTCGTCGACCCACTCGTGCAATTCGAAAACGAGCTGTAAACAAGTGATACGCTGAATGATCATTTTTCTCAAACTATAAAAGAATTCGGATATTGGTGACTCAAACAAGGTTGAATCGTATTGTTTAAATGGTTTGCTTTGAGCATGAAAATATGGTCATAGAATTAAACCGTATACTTGTGATTGAGATGCATATAGAATGTATACGATAATAGGGTTGCTTATTCAGCTGTCAATTGCAATAAAAACTATTTACAGCCTTATTCACTAATGGAACACTAAATAAGGGAGTCAAATGAATGATACAGAAAAGTTTGTATTGAGAACAGTTGAACTTGATGATGGGTAATAAAAACTAAAGTTTAATAGACAGTGTCCAACATATAATACAATCAAACTAAATCTCTAGCAAGAAACAATGAATATTCAACCATGAACTATTCACTGTTTCCTGTAAACTGTGTATATTGTGTGAAGATGGCAGTACATGTCGAGTGTGTTGAATAAGCGTGCTTGTGATAAAGGGACGATTAGCAACGGTGAACTGCGATTCTAGAACGACAAAGGGATGCTTGGATGAACGAGTGTTTCCAAACTTATTCTCAATCAACAGCTTATTATTGTTACAATGGGCCAAACACTTTCTCGACGAGACTCGGTCACTGCCACTTTAGATTTGACGGATGGAGCGTCTAGTACTGACAGTTTACAGGAGCGAGTGCTTGTGGTTGGCGGTGGAAACTTTGGCACTTGTTTGGCTGACCATCTTGCTGGTAATAGTGTCATGATAAATGTATTCTAATTTTATTATAGTAATAATTGTTTTCGACAGACAAGGGTAATAGTGTGACCATCTGGGCGAGAGACCAATCTCTTGTGGATGGTATTATGAACGACCACATCAATCATAAATATATTCCTGGTGTAAGTCATTTCAACTGTCGCATGAATGAACAGTTTGAAATTTGTATTAAATTCGTATGTTAGATTCAACTTTCTCCAGGACTCAAGGCAACATCTGTTCTAGATGCAAACACTATTCAATCTGCAACTGTCATTATCATGTCTATCCCAACTCAGTACATGCGGTAGGATTCTACGTCTGGCTTCAAAGTGTTTGTTTTGAATTCCATCTCAGACTTGGTTTATGTAGATCGATTCTGGAAAAGATTCGTGATCACCTCACTGTGAATCAATTATTGGTGTTTGTCAATAAAGGTATTGAAGAATCTTCTGGACTGCTACCAAACGATATTGCCATTCAAGTATGCGGTATCGAGATTGGCGAACGTGCTGCGTTTTTATCTGGTCCGAGTTTTGCTGCAGAAGTAGTCAAACGACAACCTGTAAGCATATCTGATTATCCAATGCACTCAACATATCAAACTATGTTCATTGACCCATCTAACGTGAATCTAGTCTTGTGTGTCGGTTGCAAGTCGTTCCCCATTAAGATCTAAACGCACACAGAGATTGTTTCATGCTCCACATTTCCGAGTGTATGAAATTCATGATACAATTGGCGTAGAAGTCGCTGGTGCACTAAAGAATGTCATTGCATTGGCTGCTGGTGCATGTGCAGGTGTTGGATTTCAAATGAATTCTCGTGCAGCTCTTATTACTCGAGGATTGGCTGAACTTGCTCGGTTTGGTGTTGCTTTGGGTGCAAATCCACTCACATTTGCTGGATTGGTAAACATAATTCTACACATCGTATTCACTCTGTACTCTTCTAACTCTTTGTTTTGAAATATCAATACAGAGTGGTGTTGGTGATCTCTTGCTCACATGCACTTCAGAAAAATCGCGAAACTTTACTGTTGGATATCGTATCGGTAAAGGAGAAACACTCGAAGAAATCATTACATCGTTGGGATCAGTTGCTGAAGGTGTAGCCACGACAAAAGCTGCTTATGCTCTTGCTCGAAAGCTCAATGTTGATTCACCCATTACAGACGAGGTGTATGCTGTTTTATTTGAAAAAAAACCAGTAAAGCAAGCCATGAAGGATCTGATGGAACGAGATCCATCCGAGGAAATGCGTGGAATTCATATTGAATAAACCGATATTTCAGATCATTAAATTGCAGTTGTATTCGTGCAGAATGCATCACTTTTCTGTATTTTGTATTAATTCTTGAATATTTGTTGTTTTGGTACCAGAAATTGTCATGTTCAACTCAATCAACAAAGCTCATTCTTATAAAACTCAAATTCCACTTTTTATTCTAAAAACTTGAATACGTTTTAGTTCAAAACAACAATCTTGAAAATACGATTGTTTTCATGACAATCGTCACAAGTGTTTCATTACGTGAATCGACCAAGAATTCATAAATTGAATATTTCCGACAAATCTGACATTTTGTCTGAATCTGACAAGAACCAATTGCTATCCAACCATGATGGTACAGTGAACTGAATATTAAACCTATTTAATATAAATTGTATTATCCAGATACTAGTAAATCTAACTCCAAAATCAACAAGTCATCTACTTCCAGAAAACCAGCAGGAACAACTACAAGACTAACAGGAGCGACTACTACTCTAACTAGTAAACCCCGCCAGCAACAACAGAAGCATCAGCAGCATAAGCAGCATGAGTTGACTCCTGACCAAAAACAAGAAATTCGAGAAGCATTCGATTTGTTTGATACTGATGGTAGTGGGTGTGTTGCAATGGGCTTTATTGGACATGCTGTAAATATCGTCTAATTCGTTGTTTGGATTTGGATTCAAATTTCAGCACTATTGATGTCAAGGAGCTCAAAGTTGCCATGAGAGCACTTGGCTTTGAACCCAAAAAAGAAGAAGTCAAAAAAATGGTGCAGGATATCGACAAGAGCGGATCTGGCATTATCGATTTTAACGAGTTTCTTGAACTCATGACTGCAAAAATGGTAACGTATTGAATCTGATTCCAATACAAACGCATGACTGATTTTCATGCATTATCTAGGCAGAAAAAGACTCGAAAGAAGAAATCTTGAAGGCTTTCAAGCTATTTGATGACGACGAGACGGGCAAAATATCCTTCAAGAATTTGAAACGGGTTGCCAAAGAGCTTGGAGAAAATCTAACTGATGAAGAGCTGCAAGAAATGATTGACGAGGCAGATCGAGATGGCGATGGCGAAATCAACGAAGAGGATTTTCTACGTATTATGAAAAAGACGGTAAGCGTATCGTGTTGAACAAATCTACCGAGTTTGAACAGTGATGTTGACTGTACTCATGTCTGCCTTTAGAATTTATATTGATCAACACTGTCGTAATGGGCTGATTGAAACAAGACTCAAATAAACTTTGATTTGTCCAAATACTGTTACAAAGCAAATGACTTGATTAAACTATTTTGCAAAAATAAACTGGGCATGAATTCATTAGGCAGCATCCCAGTCAAGATACATTCAGCGACGTGCATTTATTCGAGCAGATCGCTTGATAGGAACTGCAAAATCCTGGTCAGCATCGTGAGCAAGTCCCTGTTCATTGCCATTCGTTTTAATACCATCGCGTTGACCAGTCGTTTTGGAAGCAGCAACAGCCATCATACGCTCAAGTACATTGAGCTGAGTCCCTGGCTGACTATTTGAACTTGCGCTTTCATAAAGTGAACTCTTTTCACTTGCGGGTTTGGAAAGCTTGGTCATGCCAATAGGAGTATGTTGTCCTAGAACATTTTCCTGTTCAAAATCAACCGAATTGCGACGATGGTCGCTTTTCATCTCGTCTTCGTCTGTAAGCGCTTCGCTATCACTCAAATCAACCAAAGATACGCTATGAGACGTAGATTTCCTTCCAGATCTAACCTCAAAAAAACATCAATTAGCATCCATCTTTTCTCAATACTCTTTGTTTAAAAATCAAATCTACCTTCGTAATGGTGTTGATTCATTATTCTTGGACTTTAAGTTGAGCGGAGAGCGTTTCTTGTATGCAGAGTCGGTCGGTTTCCTTTTCTTTTTCTTGCTACTGTCATTGTCTGTATCGTCGTCATGCTCGTTGACTCCATTAGTGTTTTTTCTCCGTTTCACATCTTGTCGACGCAAAGGTGTAGATAATGGAGACGAATGGGACTCTCGTGTCCGGGATGGTGTGTCTGATACAGCAGTGCGTTTCACAGGCGTCTAGTTGACGCATTGATAAAAATAAACTAAATATAAATCCAAACAAAAACTTCGACCATTTACAGTAAAAATCAAATTCAACTTACTCTTGACCTCTGTGTCCGTTCCTTCAAATAACTTTGTCCAAGAAACTGGCGTTTGATATTCTAGACATGCAAAAAGTACACAATCAGTTTGCTAGAATATCTTGGCACGTATCACAAGCATGATACTTACAGCAGATGCGTCAGCAGAAGATAAATGCTCAAACAAGCGACTGGAAATAGGTAATCGTCCCTGCCAAGACTGCAGCGTCCATGAATTAGACGACGCACGATCGTGTATTAGAATTTGTGCCATTTCGCTCACAACATACAGTCCCTTGTTCATTCAAATTAAAAAAAGTTAGACACCAAAAATCAATGAATGTAAATACTAGACATCGAATCTACCTGTGAATCTGTTGCATGCTTGTCTTTAAGGGTTTTAATCTTGGTTGCAATGGAATAAAGCAAGGCTATATTTTCCGCTGTTGCAACAGTATCAAAAAAGAATCGTACATATCTATTCCAAAATATCAGTCAAACAAGTATGCCATCATTCAACCCTAAACCAAATGCATCTATCCAATAATACAATACCCTTCAGAGCTTTCCAGGTCATCGTGCAAAGTAGAAAAATCAGGATGATGAGAAGCCAAGTGTAGGAATGAACCAAATGTATTCTCTACCAACGGTGCTTGAGATGTGTCGTCACCTAGACAAATGTAGAGATTCAAAATAATGAGTTACATTTAAAGCATCCCAATCACCAAGATTCAACTTACAGACACGAACCGACTTTGCTCTTCGTGTGATAAAACTTCGAACCTGATGCATCAACATCGCATCTGGCTCATGAGCAATAAAAAATAGCATGACAATATATTCTGAAGGCACTTGTGTGTTTTGAATATACGTGCATAGCTTGATGACAAATGTGCTGCGAACATTATAGACTGGATCTTGAACAAGAAGGGACATGCGACGTGTGTCCATTGGGTCAAAAAGTGCTCTAATCTGTTTGTTTCGAGCAAGTTTTAGCATGCATAAACCTGCAGTTAACCGCAAATGGGTCTTGTACGTCAAGCTAGTTTATGCGCAATGACATCCAGTTGAGCATTCAAACCCCCAGATATATCATCATTAATTAGAATATTTCACAAAACACGGTAAAAATGTATACCAAACCCATTTTACCTGGTGGGATAGCCTTTGGTAACAGCCTCTCCAGAATTGTCTAGAATCATTCGCAACATTTTTAAAACAGATTTTGCCAAATCCATTTTGGACGCATCTTCTTGCTCGTCATTCAGATTGAGCAAAGGTTTGACAGCAAGTTTAAGTGACATGATCTAAAGCAATAAAAACCATTGTCAATTCATTACACCCTATCAATAGCTGATGTCAGCAAGTCTAAACAAGCTTGATACACATCATACTTTGATTTTTCCTTCTGGCGCCAAATCGTCATAGTCGACCCAATCAAGCACTTGTTCTGATGCCTCGGTTTGGTTCACCAAAATCACTTTTTTGATAATAAAATTCATAATAGGAACAACATTTGAAAGAAATGATGATTGATAGGCGTATCGTGCGGCAGCTTGAAGACATGCAAGTTTGGTCACAAGCACCGGATTATCCAATGTTAATTCAGGCAAAATAGTCTAAGAAAACAAGTCTATTAATTTACAAGAGTTTGAATGCATTTTTTAGACAGTATGCTAGATGTTGACTTACATTCACAATATCCACACATTGATCGTCTTGTCCACCCAGTGCAAGAACAATCATGGCACTTTTGGCCATAATAAGATCGTCCCCCAAAGCCATTTGCTTCAATTTAATAGTAAGCTCAGGCTGACTGGGTGCTTCTCCCGGAAACGTTTTGATATATCTGGTCAATGCCAAAAGCGCATCTCGAACTAAATACGCATTCAAAAAAATAATGCAGTTTGGTAATCTAGTTGGTATTGCAATCAAAGTTGAATACATATAGAATCGACACACCTGAACTTGTATCGGCTTCATTGACAATGGTCTCGATAAAACTTTGCACCAAATTCTTGTATACTCCAGGAAAATGTACCGAAATATCCTAAAAGCATCAATGCAACCCAAATAAGCATTTGAATCGTATCAAACTAGAACCCTCACATTTAACAAACCTTCATAAATTGCTTGGCAGTGGGTTCCATTTCCCGTATATCCTCATGGTGACCGTGGCGAATTTCCTGACATATACGCATCAGGCACTCAACACAGCTTCTGCCCACACCAATCAACGAAACTCTTCGAACCAACACTTCGAATACTTCAAAAAGCGCACCACCGTGTTGTGTGATTCTTTTCATCACTTCCTTTTGCGCACCAACAATTTTCTTGTATTCGCTTTGTGGATTCATTACAGTTTGAATCAACTGATATACTCGACGATCATTCACATCAGCAAATTTCATTAATCCGGCCGTTGCACGTTTTATGTCCGGAAAGGTTTGACCAAGATGAGCGACGAGCATATTTAGTCCATTTGTGATCTCCTTTTCGTCTGTATCCATTATCCCACCATTGTATTTCTCGCATTGCATGAGGTAAATCGTAAGTTGATAGACACTGTTGGATTTTCGTATAAGAAGGTTTTGAAAGGCTTTATACTGCTTGGGTGTGAGGGTATGCAGCACTTTCAGTATGCGTTTTGTGTAGGCTGTTGAATCGGAAAGTGGTGGAATAATATACGTCCATAAAGCTTTCTCAACCAAGATACTAGACCCATCACATGTCATATTCACACAAATACAATTCAAAACCCAAATCAATACTGTGAGTTGGATTGAAAACCAAACGTACTATGCCATTACAAAATATAGATTCACCTGATTTCCGATTCGCAAACATAGAGCAAGTCAAGAATATCGCCAGCAAGCCAAATAAACCTAGTCAATTCAATTGGCTTATCTACATTGGCCAATTCGCATTGACTAATTGAATGTTACAAACCATTCAGCAGAAATAGTTTGAATCAGTGGTTTGAAAAGTAGAGTTTTAATGTGTTAAGCCCAAGCCATTGTAACTTACCTGTAAACAGACATCAGATGATTAAAAAGTCGAGCAACAGTATCAATAGCCTCACAACGAACATTTGCCTATACATGATCGTTGTTAGAAAAGGTGCGTTAGGTTTGGAAAGCTTAAACGCTACATGAATAGAGTAGTCATGCGACATGACTTGCCTTTTTATCACGACAACGCAATGTCAGCGCTTTGAGTGATTCTTGATGGATTAACATGGGCAATTCTGTCCAAATACTCTCAAAAGCCTTGACAGTTTCAATACGCACACGCTCGTCGGGATCCAACAGTTTGTGCTGTAAATACGCTAGATTTCAAAACAAAACCACACATGTACAGTTTGAATCCACACCGAAATGCAACCATCAGTCTGAACACTCAGTGTAAACTTACATTCAAGTTCAGTAAAAGTGGATCGATGTTTGCAAATAATCCACACGGCATATTTAAGCCATCCAGTTCGGATTGAAACAGCCTTGTCATTTCGTCTGAAATTAGATTGTAGTATAACAGTTGCTTCATCGTTATTGAAATCCAACAATTGTTTAATACAAAGCAAAAGTTGGGTTACCTGTCACACCAAGCTTTCCACACTTGAGGATAGATTGAAATTAGATTTGACCCAGATTGTAAAAACATTTCTCCAAGCGAAGTCAAGGCCAAAGTTCTAAGAGGCAGCGTATCTACTTTCAACTCTTCTTCCAATTGGGGAATCACATTCAATAGAATATCAGGTGCAGATTTGTAGATCTCCAAAATCAGTCGATGTGTTGATATAAACTGTTCTGAATTGGAATCATCAGATATATCTTTTCCTGCTGCAATAAGAATATCGCTAAAATACTGACAAACATAGCGCTGCAGTTTGTCAGCAGATGCTTGACAAAGTTCGCATGCCATTTGATATGCAGTTGGAGAAGCAGTCTTGTTGAATGTATTGAAAGAGTATTTAGTATTTCAAACAGGATTAGATTTCCAGAATAGCAGCAAGATAAAAGCTTATTGCGAGCGTGTAACATTTTAGCAAACTCAAGCGTACCTTTTGAGCCGAACTCAACTGAAACAAAAGTGTATCAATCACATCGTGATGAAGAAACTCGGAATCATCAATCAACTGTTGAAGCAAATCCAATAAACATGCAATCACACTCTGTGACATTTCTGGTCTAATTTTTATAAAAAAATGACAATATGAGCCTGATTTGACAAGACCAAGCGTTCCAGAATTGACACAGATTGCTTACCGAACAGATTTAAATAAAGTGTTGAAGAATGTAATGACGAGTTCGTCAGCATTGAGTTCAGATACAAGAGTGACAGTTTTTGCAGAATTCAAGCATTCGAGTAACTCGTAACACAGACTGAAATAAGTGTATTTAGAATCGGTAATATTTGGAAGTTGTTGAAAGAAAAGAGCAAAAACAGACTGAATAGTTGAATCACGCATGAAATGAGTTAGATTTGAATATCGGACAAGATTATCGGACAAAAACTGAATCCAATCGTGAGAGTCAACAAGAGATTGAATTATAAACATATTTTCAAAAGCACCTTGAGTTGGGCTGTTGAGATGGGAACAGTTGGAGCATGTAAACGCAGCAACTCAGCCAGACAACAAGCAACAAGAATCCTGACGCCTCTGTCTTTGTGCTGAAGCAACGATCTAGACACAAGAGAAAGGCACACGGCAGAAACCGTTTGATGAGGAGTTATTCCAGTATTTTCAATATGTTTGAGTTCAGCGTGCAAATCCTATAAAACAAACGTGAATAAAAACGCATGAATAAAACACAACTGTCAATTCAAGACTTGCCTGCAAACGATAAATTAAATCAGTCACAGGAATTGGCTTAGTAATACTATTTGATTCCAATTTCTCATTAAACAGTAATGGCTGAGCTGCTGTCACAGAATCAATAGTAGATTCAATATTAGATTCAATGCTGGATTTCTTGAGTCGCTTTTTGTCCATTTTTGACGTCGACTCAAAATTCAAAAATTCAATTCAAAACAATCACATAATCACGTGGAATCACGAACCCTTTTCATCACTTTATTCAGTTCACTGTACAATCACGTGGGTTCACCTGATAATCACTTATTCAATTCACAATTTGTCATGTTCCAAGCATTCCCATATAATCTTCACATTCGTCCAAAACACTCTGCAGCAAGTCTGACAATCCAACTCGCGATTTTTCATCCGTTGACCCAACTTTACGTTGTGCAGCATTGGTTTCAGTTGTACTTCCTGGTGTAGATCCAGCTCCAAAACTATTTCCTGTTGAGGAATTCACACCACTGGTTGAATTCAATGTTAGTGGTGATAGATTCACTCCTCCACTTATGTCTGTTGATCCTACGCGATGGTTTGATCCCATTGATGTAACACTATTTGCTTCGCTTCCTTCTCCACCATTAGGCTTTCCTCCATTACTGCTGTTACTTCCGACTGATCCAAATACTCCCATACTAAGACCTTCTGATTGCAATGATCCCTTTCGAGGCATGACAGTTGAGGAATACAATCCTCCACGCTCTATACCCGTAGAACTATTGCTTCGATCTCGCTCGCTTTCAGATCCACTGTATTGTCGTTTTAATTCATAACTTGGTCGTCGGTATACTGGTCCTGTTATGCCTGTTGCAGATCCTCCACTAGCATTTGAACTTGCTCCTGTATAAGGTGATACACCACGTACATGATCAGGAGAGTAATCACTGCCGTATCCACTACGTCCATCATCACCACTAGGTCGTCGTCCATTCCGTCGATCTGCAGAAATGTGTCCTCCACTCCCATAACGATCCTCTCCTGATTGCTGCAGAGGAGGTGGTGATGCATGCACGGTCTGCTGTGATAGTGAGGATTGATACACATGGGGTTGCTGTTGTTGTGCTGATCCATACTTGTGTGGTGATCCAGTAAAATTATGTCCAGTATTGGGAGGTTTAGTTCCATATGGATGACTTCCTGATCCACTGGGAGAAGTACCGTGTTGTGGTGGCATGTAGTATTGAGCGTGATACGTTCCTGAACCACCACTTGCTGGTTGGAATTGTTGAGGTTGTATAAGTGGAGGAGGTTGATTGATGTTTCCTCCTCCACTGTGAGGGTTGGACATGGCTGGATAGTGCGTACGTACTCCAGCACCATAAACAACACCTGACGCCCCATCTTCAAACGTGCCATATTCCATCGGATAAGATGCAAATCGCATACGTGGTGGAGGCCCACCAGGTGGTCCGGATTGGCTTGGTCTTCCTCTCGGAACAGAAGGCGATCCCAATGGAACTATACCACTTCCTGAAGTCCCTGGAGGCGGAGGTCGACGTGTTGAAGGCGGGTTTGATATATTTGGATTGACTGGATGATGTCGTTCGTAACTCAAAGGTGGATGTTGATGTTGATGTGAGGGTGATCCATATCCACTCTGATGATAATCTTCAGGATGTGACTGCATTGAACCAGTGTATTGATTTTGCTGTAGTGATGGAGATGTAGATGAGGTGGATAAAGTAGGAATGACAGATTGAGAACCAGGACCGGTTTCTGATGTTGGCCATCGAGGACGTGCTGGTCGTTGTTGTCGCGGATCACCCATATAAGGAGCGCCAGATATTTGTTGCGGTACCATTTGTGACAAAGATCCGTAGGATTGAACGTGTCCACCAGACACTACAGGAGTCACACCACCCGGACCATGCAGGGATGGATCATGCCGTCTGTTGCTCGCATCCACTGGATCTCGATAATGCTTTCCAGGTAAATTTGAATAAGGTTGATTATGCAATGCAGATGATACACCAAATAAAGGTTGATTATGACCTGCATTATATACACCAGGAGGTTGATGATGCGTATTATAATGTGGTTGCTGTTGATGGTAAGATTTGTTGTACAGATGAGAAGGTACATCCAGTTGCAGATTTTCAGTCTTTACAGATCTGCGTCTGTACTCCCTTGTTGATTTTCTGACAGCAGATGCGTTTGTACCAGAAGTAGCCGAATTTGAAATGTTCATGGCATTACCAGCACCATTATTATTTAAATTGGTAGATTTCGAGTCAATATTATCGGGATGTTCTTTCATGGGAGAAGACGCATCATCATCCCTTTGACCATTACTGCTTTTACGAAACTCGCTTTTTCGTTTCTGAATTCTTCGTTTGGCGGGCTATAGTATGAAGATAAACAAGCGTATATCAAGGGTCAGTTGTGAATTCAATCCAACAAGATACAACACCACAACAGTTTTGAACCCAAACTAGACATATACGACCAGCAGTAATGAGATTGTTACAACATACACCAGCAATCCTGGGAGCAGTGGCTCTAGCCAAAAACTCATCAGCAACAATGCCAACTGCCTTTTCTCTTACAGCAGCCCCTTGCTCGGCGGCAAGAGGCTCAACAGCATCAATGACAATTCCAGCCAAGGCACGAGCAAGAGCCGCATCTGCTTTGGCAGTACGCTCAGATGGACCGAGACCTCGTTTTTCGAGAAATTTAGCAGCACCAACACAGGCGGCTTCAAAACACAGCGCAGGAGCACGACCTCTAACCATCCATCTTCCCCAACGAGCAAGTTGCTCGGTAATGTATGAACGCAACAAAGGCTCTTCCTGTAGTTCCTGATCTGAAAACACTGCAAGAAAGTCTTCGACCGACTCCAAAAAGTTTGGATCTTCAAGCGGTAACGAAGCTGCAACAAAAGAACTGGATGGTTGCATGGTAGAATCAACGGATGTCATTCCAAACGTATCGAGTAGTTGTTGATGTCAATGGGTTTCGTTGGTGATTTCAATGGTTTCTTGGATAATTTCAATGGTTTCTGATAATTTCAATGTTTCTGTTAATTGTTGCCATTTATAATCTTATCCAATTCCACGTGACTCTCACTGGTTCTTGAAACTATCGACTCCATCATTCCATATTATACTCAAGATCCAAGTTGCGTTCTACTCATCAACTTTAAATAAACTATCCATCATTTTTTGCTCAAATTATCAACTTTACACGTACTATTCTACTCTTTTATTCTATTCTCATTCGTGTCCATGAGTCAACTCTCTCCACAAGACCAGCAACATACCCGTCAAACTAGTTCCATTCAACTAAAAAACTCTTCATTGGAAGCCTCTACAACCCCTTTGAACCTTCAGTCTTCTTCAACTTCATCGTCTCGCTCACTGGATAGACTTCGCAACGCGTTGAAAGGATTTACCATCAATAATAACCCTGACTCGTCTATATCTCAAAGAGCAAGAAGGTTTTCTGGAGTCGCGAATGTTGGAAGAAGAGCTAGTGAATCCGTCTCCAATACAAAAGTTGTAAATATAGTATATCCTGTTACTGATCCAGAAGGCTTGGTTTCATCCAACACTGATAAGGATTGGCGTAATCTCTCAGAATCTTCCCTTTCCAACTCAGCCCATGCTGATGGATCTACTACTACTGATACATCAGTAAAATCTATACCATTAACAAAATCAATGGCTGTTTTGTTTGGTCCCATAGTACAATCTGCAAGATCCAGTATAGTAAAGCATGCTGATAAATCTGAATCCATTGTCAAGTCGGCTTTGGATCATTCTGTTCAAATCTCCCCTAAACAAGATTCAAGACAAAATTCTGGTACGTAAAGCTCACATGGGCAGTGAATCAAAATATCTAGTTGGATAACGTCATGCATTCGTTTGAACCTATAAATCATCTTATGATGTATACCACTATTGGATTTACCAACAAATTCAATTGTATAGGTAAACAGCGAATGCGAAGTCAAACAACCGTAAAAGTATCAAAATCACAATCATGCATTCCAACCCAATCCTTGATTTCATCAACCCTACCACGTTATAGTGTAGAAAGCTACGCTAGTCCAACAGCTGAAACTCCATCTTTGAAATCTAAACCATTGAATACGGATATTGTGTCGGATTCACTTGCTTTATTTAATGCGACCCTCGAGATCCCTAAACTTGTTGAACCACACGTATCATCCGAACCCATACGCGAAGGCCCAACATCCACAAATGGTGAACTTTACAATGCCACAATTGAATCAGAAGACGATGCAAATTTAGCTCAGTCTTATGTTGGGCGTGATAGCCAGTATAAAGTGTTTGGGCTCAAACGTGACTCTATAAAATCTACCGATACTCATTTGAAAGATCGAAAACAGTTTACTGTATGGTTTCCTGAAATTAAAAATGCGTTTGATGCATTCATCAACTGTATGTAGTTTATGTGGATGTATTGAATGATATATTTGGATTCTAACCCTAGTGATGCATTCAATGTTAGCTTATTCCTGTGCATGGGATAGAGAAATGCTATGGCAGGGTCGTATTTTCGTGACTGTTGACAGTGTATGCTTTTATGCTAGCTTGTTTGGACAGATTGCAAAACTCACACTGGATTACATCGACATTCAAGCAATTGAAAAGAAAAACACGGTTGGTATCTTGCCCAATGCAATTCGATTCAACATGCTGGACAACAAGGTACTGAATTGTAAACTCAATATAACCATTTTAAATTGATGGTTTAATCAGTGTTGATTTTTATATATAGCAATATGTTTTCACATCACTGCTGAAACGAGATGCTGCTTTTGAATTGATTGAATCCAATTGGATACAGTGTACTAACTCGGTAAGACTGACTTGCTATTTTCAAACCAGTCGTTTATTACTAATTGGATAGTTCAACTGTTAGTTTGAAAATGAGTTACCTTTGGTATACGATCGAAGCATTTCAGCAATGTATGGCGATGATATGCGATCTCAGCCCATATCTATACCAGCAAATTTTCCTGGTTTATCTGCTGGTTTATCAAGCTTAAATAATTCAGTAATAGGAATTTCAAACTTTAAGCACTCGACATCCGCGCTGTTTATTCCAGATCAAGTACCAACAATTCAATTTCCTGACTTGCAACGTCATGCTCTTTTAATACATCCCTCAAATGAAACTCAAATGGCCGGTTTATCTCAATCTACTACCAGGTACAGTTTAATCATTGAAAACGTAACATTTGAGTATTTAGGATTGAATAGAATGCTAAGTGATTCAACCTGTTTATTATGGTAGTATGGAAACGAGTGAAAATGCAGTGAATCTTGATAACTCGACTACTCCAGTGGTAAAAATGCTTCGATCAGGAACAGCGTGTGTTTCATCATCTGTATCGGTGGGCATTACTTCACCGCATAATATTGGACGACAACGACAAAATACAGATTCATTGCCAGAACAGTCTCAATTTTCTGATACTGATCCAGTTGATGCTGAAACAAGATTGACTCCTGCATTTTTATTGGTGAAAACTCAAAGTGTAACAGAACAGCTTATGGAAAGAATGATAGATGTGTCTGAACCTGGTCAAGGGTCAAAAAAGAAAAAAGAAGCATCTGACCCTGACGATAAAGTGATTTCCAAAAGTACTCTACAGTCTGTATCGATTGCTCAAAAAAATCTATATGAATGTGCTGTATGTTCTTGCGAGTCGCATTCTGGTATGATACTATGTGACGCGCTTGTAGATATGAACGTGGATGATGTGTATGCAATGATGTTTGATGGTGTTGATCCTGTTTGGTGCAATTCCTTGATTCAAGTGTTTAAATTTGATGGTAGGAGCTTGTTGGTTGGTTTAGTGTATGATTGCATAGTGTACAAACTGAGTAGCATTTGGAAATAGGATCGAGTTTTGGGGAGTGGACGTGTTCTGTATACAACAAATCTCGTGAAATCATGTACAGTTTATCCAAACACCATAGTTTTCAAAACAGTAAGTAATGCTTGAATGATGGTATATTTGCCATTATAGATTGAATTTATACTAACCGACTATTTAGCTGAGGAATATGGTGTAGCATGCCACGAAATTCAAATGGTGTTGCAATCTAATCAGCACAATGTCTATACCGTAGAGTCAAAACTTACATTCTGCGGACAACCAAAAACAACCATAAATGAAAAAACAGCATTGATTGTATCCGTGACAATTCGAGTGTGTATCACTCGCTCAGGACCAATGCAGTCTCGAGTATTGATCACCACTGCAATATCTGGTATAATATTATGTATTGAATTTGTGTACATTTTAAAGCATTAATATTCTGATTGAATTTGGAATACAGAATGTGCTCGGGTCAAACTAGATGAAGATCTGCAAGCATTGGGTACATGGATTTCAAAAAGACTAAAAAAAGCCAAACAAACAACTGTATCATCACTATACGAAAACTATGCACCTCGATGGACATTGAAGCAACCCATCTGGAAGTATTTTACATTGATGATTATATGTTCTATTGTAGTGATTGTAGTGGCAGTAATCTATCAGATTCAATCCAACAACCCAGAACAAAGTAAACACGGTAAACAAAGTAATCAAATGAAATCAGATAATCTACCATCACAAACCAGATCATCTTTAGCATCAACAGAGAGCGAGACTCGACAAACAAAAGATTCGACAGAAACATTGGTGTCAGTATTAGCCACACAGAAACAAGTACGCGTAGCAGCAATGCAATATCTTGTACAAGACATAACAGGAAGACTACAAGGAATGCAAGAACGAGTCATGAGATTGAATAAGAAACAAAAAACTGATTTTAGAAATGAATAAAAACGAGTCGACAGTTTGCATTCCAACAAAATACGAATTCAACATTTCAAATGTTTTGCAATTTGTGAAGTTTCAAGTCTGCAGTGGCAAAAACAGACTTCAAAGCAATTTAAATTATTAAGCGGATCTGCGATTTACTAAGAATTAAGATTGATACTGTTGTTGATAGTATGACAACAGAAACAGAAAGAGGTCGACAAAGGTCTTGTGTTGGTCAACCCACTCGAATTCCTCGTTCTGTTCACCTCATTCAATCATCCAAGTCTTGCACTCGTAGAATTGTACAGGAATCCAGCCATACCATCACATCAGCCAATGTCTGTCCTCAACAACCGACCATCAATTCATCACCCTTGTCTTTAAACACTTTGGAATCCTCAAACTCATTCAGTAGCAGCAAGTCTTCCATTAACCGCAACTCTTTATTCTCCACTACAAACTGTTATAAAAAATGTAGAGCAGACTCTTGTGTGTGTAAAGACCAGCCGTCATCTGCTTGCTGTCCTCGATTGCTTGACTATCACAAACTTGAATCTTCAACTGCGTTGGTTGACACCTGCCAAATTGACAGTCTGGATGCCGTAAATAAATATATAAAACTCAACGATAGTGTTCAATCTGCTACAGCTGATTCATCTCCACGTGACACAGATATGCTGCATAAATCTCCTCTTCCAAAGAGTAATCCTGCACAGTCTAAACCTCATAGTCATCACAGTTACACTTATCGGAATTTGAGTGTTGCTACTGCTCGTACTGACAGACCAGAAACTGATCATCTGTGCACTTTTACTGTGGAGATGGAAGATGCTGCCATGAATAAAATAAAACGGTCTGGCAGTCAGACTAATGTTCGTCGAAGTATCTTTTTTCAAGGACCCGACAGTCATGGTAAGAATGCATGTGTGTGTGTGGGTTGAATGTATTGAATTCTTATTTTAATTCTGTTTAGGTGTTGACGAAGACGACGAACAGTTTGTATATAAAGGGATTCCTGGTCCCAACTCTTGTGGTCATTCTCGCACCATTTCACAATTCAATCGTATCAAAACCAAACATCTTGCTGAATGGGATTCAATGTAAGCCAATACTACTGTTTTTGTCTTGTCAATTTACACCAAATCGCTTCTTGATTCTGATTTTAATCTATTAAACTTTTAGTCCATCTTCCCACTCTGCTGTACATACTCATGGCTCATCTCATCCATCTCACTGTCCCGATCTACGAGAAAAATCTTCTGCTATGCCATCTTCGCTTACTCAATTACGTGCTTTGGGATACCATCATCCCAAAGTATCCCGATCTAGTGTAGGGGATTCTTTCCCATCCACCGATCCTTTGCTTACTTTGACTCCTTCCAGTGATACAACATTGGTTTCGGATTTCGATGAGCAAACCCCTCTGTTCAATTACTATCAGCACTACCAACTCTCCAGAATCGCAACAGCTCAACAACTAGAGAAACTAGATAGGCATGTTGACCCATCTTGTTTTTAGTACTCGCTGACCCAACAGTCTTGATACTAATACCATGTCATTTTACCACTGTTTTATCCCATAATGTTTATAGAAAACAAATGCGAAAACGAACTTGATTTTCAGTATATTGATTTCCATATTTATTGCCACTTCAATCCTTGCGTTTTGTATTCAGCCATTGGTGATTCCGCAAGCTCGTCGCATTCAAAACATTGTCGCTAAGCCTGATTTGTTTCAGTTTGATATGCTTATATCTGCATCCAATTTCAATATCGTTCCTATTGATGTGTTCAAGGTCGATTTGGACGTGTATGCTTCTGCTAGTAAGTTTTATTACTGTCCGGCTATTTCTTACAACTGTGTCACAAATCTGGATAATTGACTCGTCTGGTTTCTTAGACTTTGAACTGTTTCTCCCTACACTAGAGGATGGTGTAAAACCTGCCGCAAACTCTGCTGAATTGGCCCCAGAACTATTGGGCCATGTTCGGCGTTTCAACAATGCAATAACATTTGCTCCAGTTTACGACTCTGAAAACCTTGTGGCTACTATTACTCTCGTTGATCCTAGCAGCACTGCGGGAAAAATGTAAGCGACAATGTGATTTATATACTGATGAATTCTGGTTTGATTTGATCAGATGAGCTTAAATTTAAAACTATTTTACATGACAGTATATACCTTAACCTGCCCTACGCATTGACAATCAAGGGCAGTTTGCATTACTCTACACTATGGTCACTTACTCATTACAAAATCCCCGTTTGTTATATTCATCGTATTGAAAATGGTGTCGTGGCACATACAAGCTCATGCCATCTTTCGACACAGTAAACGACTGATTACATTTTACTATTTTCATGACAGTTCAATTGTTAGAAATATAAATGTTGATGGTTTGTGCATTATATGATTGATTTTTAATGCAGTTGATTGCAGTACACGAACCAATACCATGCGCAAACACGCTGGTTTATATATTATGTTTGATAAATAAAATTTAAAACTGTCTTTAAAATCCAAGTCACATTGAATCCAAACTGTTCAAGCTCATTATTTTGACTAGAACCTGACTCGTAAAAATATGGTGGTTTAAGTTTACATTAGGTATGTGAAGCATACCTACTGAGTTTTCACAAACACTCGAGTTTGAAGTCAAATATACACGTAGAGATTGAGTTGATTTACATCAAATTTCAATACATCCTACATTTTGACACTTCAACTGTTTTTTACATACAAACCATTGAGTGATCAATATGGAAATAGTCGCTGCATTCTTTAGATGTGTAATTTGTTTTCTTGAATTAGAACTTGGACGTGAAATTTTAAAATACACGAGTTGTATTGAAAACATCAAAACAGTCGATTCAAATACCTGGATTAAAATAGATCTAGTGATCGTAAAATGTATGATTCTATCAAAAACATTTCAATTCAAAATGTGTTTAATTGTTTATTGAATTGAAAATATATCAAGGTTGATTTTTAATACAAAAGCGCAACGAATAAGTATGCATTGTTTATTACAAAGCAAAGTAGAGACTGCATGATACAAAAGCATTCCATTTTACGTGAATATGACTGAAAAATACTCGAGTCTCAACAATAGATGATAAAACGCGATTGAAATACGATGCTGATTCTGCATGCCAATTCAAGCGTATTTATAGGACTTGAAGCTAAAATATCAACCCATAAGATCGATTTTTTAAACCAGATCAAACGTCAGGTTTAAGTTTAGTGTTATAATCTGCCAACAATCAAAATAGAAAATATGATTTTATTAAGCCAAAATGTGTCAAGACTATCTTGCAATGTGGTATTATAAATCGCCAAAAACCATTATACAGCGCGATGGATTGGAGTGATTATAGCCTAGCTGTCCAACTTTTGAATCTCTGTTAGATGAACAGCTCAGAATAGTGCTATAATTTCAAGTAATTCATTATAATTTGCTCATGTATTCATTTATAGGCATTATTTTAAACTTGCTGATATAAACACCTATTTTATTCATTTGCTTGCCAACATTTTGGAATTTACTCAAATAGTTTATTTTAGCGTGATTTCAAAGCCAGTTGGTATTTCCATTCTTTCCCAACAATCATTTGACTGTAAAATTCAATTTTAAAATCAGTCAAAACTCAATACTACGCTAAACATATCTTGCGTATCTGTCATTTTTAGAGTTGTCAGTATGTTTTTTCCACCATCTTGCGTGCTGCCAAGCCCAATCTCACCTACCGACAATTGTGCCAAGCCAGCCGCCTTGTCTGATGCGCTATGCCTTTCTTCAAATTTTTCTACTGCCGATACGGTCAGCAATGCGAATATTTTGTCGCCCGTTTTAGACAAGTCGTCAACTATTCATTCGCGTTTTGATGTCAACGATGCTATAGCAGGTACAGGGCGTCCACCGCTTGCTCCAATTTCTGCTGACACTACTAGTGGATCAGCGAATTCTCTTAAAATAGTACTTCATGGACTTCCAGTTGAAATCCCATCCAAGACAGTAAGTCGGTTGATATTTTATCTTTTTATTGGAATCTGGGTTTTCATTCATCTTGCCATCTATATTGGGTGCCGAACGCGCCACACCAGATATCTAAGCGTATAGCCTAGATTGTAAATTACTTGAAAGATACAGTTGTTTACTTTATATTTGAACATCCTTTTTATTTGAACATCTTTTTCCACGTATAACGGCATAATTTTGCGCGTAATGCAAGCTATTTGAAGTTGAAAAAGTATAGCCAATTCATTGGTTAGTAAACTATTCCACCTGTATTCCACCTGGCTATACATGCCTATGTATAGTGGGCTTAGTCAATTTTACTATAGCAGTCACGATTTTATTGAAAACGTGTTGGTTGAACGTGAGTTATTCAACACTTGTATATGTCAAGCCTTTGTAGGTTTAAAGAGGACTGTTGTGTTTGAAGTTGGGCTAGCATTGTTCTGGATGAAATCGTAAACTATGTTGTTTAGTGTTACTCTAGCCATTATATTCTGGGGTTGGTTACGCGGGCCTGAGTACTTTCGTGTCAGAGCTATTTGATTTTAAATTTCTATTATACGCCGCATATCATACTATTTTAAAATTCTGGGGTTTAATATAGTATTGGTTAAACCATTATTAATCTATTATATGGTTTGACACATATTTCGAATAGCCTGACCGCAATAATTTCAACCGGTTGTCTTTTGAGTATTCTCAAGAAAGTAACCTCGAGGCACACGGTCATGCGTACAAAGGCGTTGTGTCTGATTCTGCCAATATTGGCACAGAAAACAAGACCACGGATCATGCCTATGTTGACTATGTTAGTCATACAGATGGCACAGCTGATAGTTCAACTCCCTCGCTGGTATCTCCATCTCATGATGAATCTCAAATAACCGTCAGCTCGTTCATCATCAAAAGCCATGAAAAGCCAACCCATTACTCTCGTTCATCAAGTGTATCTGCCTCTTGTATCAACTACAAGAAATTCACACGAGACACACTTCATCACATCAAGGTTTACCACGATTCATTGTTGATGCTTGCCGACTGTGCTGAAGCCAAGTTAAAACGATACGTGCCTCGATTTGGTATTATGGCGGACAAACATGTTCCTATTGTAAATGGAAACACGGCCATACCTCTTGAATTTACAATGATTGCAGCAGCAGTTGAACAGCCAGATATTAGCCAAAAACATACTGTTTCTCGCCAGATTTCGGATGTTTCGATTCTTGGTAGTAGATCGTCTCATCCACGACATGGTATTTCTCGGTTTGCACCCTATGGATATCGATTTGCAGCAACCATGAAAGATGGAAGTGTTTGTCAGTCACATGTTGCTGGGGATTTAGCTGATCGTGCCCGTTTGAATGGAGCACGAGGCACTCGCAGTGATTTGGTGCTTGTTTCCCATATTGGTGAAACGACTCAGCTGCAATCCTCTTTGGAGTATTGCGATGCACAGCAAGCAACCACAGGGATTCGACCTGGCCCATCAGATGTGCTCAAGCATCTACGCGAGGTTGGATTGGATATTGATTATCGCAAAGAAGGGAATGTAAAGCTTCAGCAGCGTAATGCTAGCAATTTTTACAAGCGTATGACAGAATATGCCAAAAAAATGCACAATGGCGAATATCCTATCAATTCGGATATATCTGGCTCTGTTGATGTAGGTATTTCGTCTATTGGCAATGGATCTTGCCACGATCCCAAGGAGTTTGATGGTGTGAATGCAATCATTGATGCTGCTGCTATGATCAAGGATAATTTTGCATTTACTGTTCCAAGTGACTGTTTTTGGACACCTTGCACTGCTGCCTCTGATGCCGTACCGGGTTGCCACGTTGAGCATTCCAAACTAAAGCATGCAGATTCTGCGGATTACACCACGTTGATTTCAACTCAGAATGTAGACGAAATAAGTGATGATGAACATGGTTTAACCATCTCGACCAACGCTGAGGCTTTGCAGACACACATTCAACTGACGACTGATTCTGAAACAGATTTTGATTGGGGTATGGATGATGATGTTGACGTTGATGACGGCGATGAAGAGTATGTTGATAAAAAGTCGAATCATGTTGCATCCCGTCGTCGGTCAATCTCGAGTGTATCGCCTCGATCCAGCCGGGTTCCCTTTTATAAAAAGTCCAGCAAGTCATCAATCAAGCAATTATCCATGTCATCGCTGCTGAATTCTGGATGTACAAATGGAGATCATTCTATATCTGTTTCTCAATGTACCCCACATCGTACCTGTGCATCTCGCGATCTTCCGATTGGCACATCGCTTGCAATGCGATCGCTATACAAAAAGGGACTATCTCGTCACTCGCCGTACGGTACACGATTCTCAGCCTTGATGGAAGATGGCACCATTCGAGAGTCCTACCTGGCGGGAGATCTTATCCATCGAGCCCGTGCCAGCAGTGGAAGGGGTCGCGGTGACCTCAACCTTGTGCGACATCATGGCGAAGCCAGTCAACTTGAATCAGCATGGACATTTTACAAACTCTACACTGCAGTCAACCATATTATTCCTGGCGCATCGATTGTTCTTGATCACCTTCGTAAGGAGAAACTTGATATCAACCATCGTGAGAATGGTGGATTGCTGTTACAAAAGAATGCAGGCAATCTGCACAAACGTGTTCAAGAGTTTGGACGTCGTAGAACAGATGACATGTATTATCTTCGTGAAGATGCGATGCATGTTGAAGCCGCAGATTTTGAAATGGCTCAAGCCCGTGCTATTGCCAATGGATTTGTCGAGTTTGATCTAAATGATTATTTAGCAGAGCGAAAGGGTGCTGGTGTAGCACCACTGTAATTCGCATTAACGAGTCATACTTGCTTTTGACTCTTCATTTGTGATGGTGCTGGATGAGTTGCCAGTGTAGTTCTATTTTTCAAGTTTTATTCAGTGGATCGACACTGTTGGCACTAGTATCTGACTTGGTTGCACGTTTGGGCCAATCTTGATTCACATTGGTATTGTACATCTTGTAGTTTTTTCAGTTTATTATTTTCTCTTTTAAAGTCAATCGTAATAGGATTGAAAGGATATTAGCATCCAGACAAGTGATTCTATTATCTATTAAAAAGCCCACACATTGTGGATATTTTATTAATCCATTGGTACGTGTTGAATTTAATGGGGGGTATAAAGAGTAGTAAGAAAATGATAGAATCAATGAGCAATACATGACAATAAGATCATTCTGCAGACAAGACGCAATTCAAGTCTGACTAAGTCGAAACAAGCAACGAGTAGAAATTACGGGTTGCACAAGTCAGGTGAGATTAGCCAGTTAACATCAGGTGAGCTTAACCAACAACATCAGGTGAGCTTAACTAATATTGCTGTTTTGTAAGAGTCCAAGTGGCTGTGTGTGGTCACAAGTATCAACTATAAAATCAGCAATTCATTGCCTTGATCCAGTTATCTGTGATTGTTATTCGTTGGTTTACTGCATTGCATCGCTTTGTCAAAGTGGTAAGCATATGTTTGTACTATTGTTGAGTTCTATCTTGCATTACATTCATACACAATGATGATGTGTTTGATTTTTGTATACGATGACCAAGTCGTTAATTTACTACTAGCATGATTCCAATGATTCTTGTAATGATTCTTGTAATGATGATTCCGATGGTTTAGTTGTGAAAACAGCGAGCTTCATTCCGTTTATTTTTATTGCGGTGATTGATCTGTATAAGCAATTGGAATCTAACGAGATTCAAGGGTGGATTTAACAAGGGCCAAATTGTATTATTGAAAGGATTTTTAGATTCAATCACTGGCTGGTACTATCTACTTGTTATCTACTTGATATCTACTTATCATCTACTTGATATCTACTTGCTTGTCATCATCATAGAGTTCATTCTAGTTAATAACTTGTTATTTCACAACTTTAGCCATAAAGAATACACTGAATCATGACCAACGCAAACACCCTCCAGGCACCTCTGGCAGTGACAGCTTCGCTTGCTCCTCCAAACGGAAAGATGCAAAAGGTCGCTGATGCTGTTGGCTATGCCAGCACCGTCTTTGCTGGAAAGAAGGAACAGATGCTTGAGGTCTGCACTTATGTCTCTGAGCGAGGCTTCATCCCAAAAGAACTTGTCAACAACGAAGTGTCTTGGTTCTACGGGTAAGCTTTTTTCACAATCCATTACTAGTTATACTCGATCTCAATCCATCATCAACTATCCATCTGTCCAATCCATCACCAGTTGTGATCGCTAGAGTCCAATGAGATTCATTCGACACGTGATGTTGTCGTGTCAGGTGTTTTGATTTCAGATTTGCAAAATGTGTCATTGCAACTCACTAATCATTCTAAACCCGTCAATTCTAATACTATACAGGAATCTTGGTATCGACGATGTGTATTTCCAGCAAGAGTCTATTGAAACTATTGCTCAGCATATTATGTCGTTGTATGCTGCCAAGATCTTTGCTTACATCAAGAATGAAAAATCGCTCGAGATTAACCTCGAGCGTGAAACCGACGAAGGTGCCGTTTATATTCACACTTCTCGTCCTGGTGTTTCACAGTTGAATGGTCCCAAGTACGAGTCAAAGATTGACGAAAAATATCTTGACGTGTCCACCAACAAACAGGCTTACCGTCTCGAATCTTTCCGCTCGTTTGGTACCGTGTCTTCTTCCTTGTCCACCACACTACGTTGCTACTTTGTGCGCAAGTGTGTTTTTGCAAAGTCTGAGCCTACTGCCGAGGATGAGAAAAACATCAAACTTGTCGGTGACAAGCATTTCCTTGAAAAAGCTACTGACAACACTCTTGAAATCTACCAAAACGTCATGAACCAAGTTCTTGTGCGCACTGGTCCCGTCATTGAAATGTTTGACGTTCCCAATTCTCGTGAAAAGCGTCTGGTCATTGGTTTCCGTCATCGCACCACTCGCTCCTTCTTCTCTGCTCTTTCTGATCTGTATCACTACTATGACTTGTTCTCTGCGCGTAAATATGTTGAGCAGTTCTCCAACGGTGTTACCATCATTTGCCTGTACTTGAATCAGATCCCCAATAGCACGGCCCCTCCAATCGAGAGTTCTATCTTCCAGGTCATCAAGGAAGCTTCCTTGATTTACTGTCTACCTACAACTCCCCTTCAGTCCTTTTTCCAACAAGGAACCCTCTCTGTCCAAGAAGCCATTTATGGTTATATTGGCTGGATCTTTTCCCAACACTTCCTTAACCGTCTCGGTTCTGAATTTACTGCCTTGAACTCGATCGCCGACATCAACAATTCTACTCATGTTGAAGTTCTTGACAGAATCAAGAAGCGTCTTCGTACCGACACATTCACTCGTGACTATATCCTTGATATCATCAAGCTATACCCCGACTTGATCAAACTCTGCTACCTCAACTTTGCCATGGTTCACTACATCAACCCTGGTGAAAATGATCTCAAGCCTTCACTATCGTATCAGCGTCTGCAAACCATTCCCGTCATGAGTGATGATGAGCTGCTTCAAACTATCAAAAAGACTGTACAAAACAACCACGAGTTTATGGTTTTTGAATCCTTCTTGACATTCAACAAGCATGTTCTCAAGACCAACTTTTACCAGCCCACCAAAGTTGCCTTGTCGTTCCGTCTTGATCCCAACTTTTTGCCTGATGTTGAGTATCCCACAAAACTGTTTGGTATGTTCTTTGTTGTGGGCAGCGAGTTCCGTGGGTTCCACTTGCGTTTCCGTGATATTGCTCGTGGCGGTATCCGTATTGTTCGTTCGCGTAATCGTGAAGCATATTCCATCAATCTGCGTAGCCTTATGGACGAAAACTATGGTTTGGCAGCTACCCAGCAGCGTAAGAACAAGGATATTCCTGAAGGCGGTTCCAAGGGTACCATTCTATTGGATATCACTCAACAAGACAAGCCCCGCGTTGCTTTTGAAAAGTATGTCGACTCTATTCTTGACTTGCTTCTTGTTGGTGAGTCTCCTGGCATCAAAGAAAAGATTTGCGATCTTTACAACAAGCCAGAGATTCTTTTCTTTGGTCCCGATGAGGGCACTGCAGACATGATGGACTGGGCGAGTCAACATGCACGCCATCGTGGTGCTTTCTTCTGGAAAGCCTTCACCACAGGCAAAAGCCAGGCTATTGGTGGCATTCCCCACGACACTTTTGGCATGACCACCCGTTCTGTCCACCAATATGTGTTGGGTATCTACCGTAAACTCAACCTCAAGGAAGAAAACACATCCAAATTCCAAACTGGTGGTCCTGACGGTGATCTTGGTTCCAATGAAATCAAGATTTCCAAAGACATGACTGTTGGTATTGTTGACGGTAGTGGTGTTCTCTTTGATCCCAAAGGTATCAATCGTGACGAACTTCACCGTCTTGCCACTGCTCGTAAGATGGTCATTGATTTTGATCTTTCAAAACTCAGCGCACAAGGATTCCGTATTCTCGTTGACGAGAACAATGTTCGTATTCCCGATGGTACTGTGATTGAAAGCGGTCTCAAGTTCCGTAACGAGTTCCACTTGGACACTATGGCGTGTGCTGACCTGTTTGTTCCTTGCGGCGGTCGTCCCGAGGCTGTTGATCTCAACAATGTTCACACTCTTTTCAAGCAAGACGGTACTCCTCGATTCAAGTATATTGTTGAAGGTGCCAACTTGTTCTTTACTCAAGAGGCTCGTCTTCGTCTTGAAAAGGCTGGTGTGGTGATCTTCAAGGATGCCTCTGCCAACAAGGGTGGTGTCACCTCTTCTTCTTTGGAAGTACTTGCTGCTCTTTCATTTTCCGATGAGGAATTTTTGGAAAACATGCAAGTGCGCAACAAAGTTGTTCCAACCTTTTATGCCGAGTATGTCAAGAATGTTCAGCAGATTATTGAAAAGAATGCCGAATGTGAATTTGAAGCTCTCTGGCGCGAAGCAGAGCGCACTGGTCGTGCCAAGTCGATTCTTTCTGACGAGCTTTCTATTGCCATTGTTCGCTTGAATGAAGAGTTGCAGCACACTACTCTTTGGGACAATGTTCCACTTCGCAAGGTGGTTCTCAACGAGGCTTTCCCCAAGACATTGCTTGAAAAGGTTGGCTTGGATACTCTGTTGAAGCGTGTTCCTGAAAGTTACGTCAAGGCCATTTTTGGTAGTTTCCTGGCTTCGAGGTTCGTTTACCGATACGGTGTTGAGCCCAGCCAATTTGCATTCTTTGAATTTATGGCTCCTTATTTTGCCAAGTCTGGTAATTAGGCGGTCAGCACATGTTTACCTTTTAAAACTTCATTTTTATCAAAGTACGAATTAAAATTGTGCTCAGTATTTTTTACTTTTTGAATGTGTTTGATGCTTGTGATTGGAATCATTGATTATATTTAATATTGAACGATTTGAACGATCTGAATGGTTAAACGGTTGACAATCCAAACATTTATTTCTTTAGTCGGGAATACAAATCATTCCAAGCTTGATCACCAACAGCAATCATTTCGTCCTGTTCTTGACCTATTTTATACTCTGCACTACGCGGGAGTTTCAACTCCATCTGCTCATATATCGTAGCAATAAACTCACACATCCAATCGTCATTTATACGATAAACACGTAATGCGTCTGCAGATCCTGCTTGTCCAGCCCATTGTATAACTGTTGGAAACAATCCTGAAAAATCCGATGGGTTATTGTGTGCTGTATGACGAATATACCCAAACCGTGTATGTGGATGCTGCAATGTTGAAGTTGTCAACACTGTCGATGCGGCAGTAGAATCCGTAGTATTCGAATAAGGCACCAACCCCATCATGGATCGCATTTGATCCAAATTAGTTTTCCAATGGAATGTTTCAGATTGGATCGATAGATACGGTACTGTTACGTTTGGATTATGAACAGGAAACATCCATGGATCGAGAATAATTCCACATCTGAATGGCATATTTGGTCTTGACAATACTGTGATTGTTGTTGCACCCTAATCATTAACAATACATTACAGTTGAATAGGGTTATGTTTAGATTTGGTTATTATACAATAACAACACGTTAGATTCAACCCTTACACCAAACGAATGACCCGCCATCACCATGTGTTGAAAATCAACCCGACTTTTAAATGAGTCTATGCAGGGTCCACTTTCTGCATGGTTTCCAATTAGATTGTCTTTTGGGTCGAATGAACCCATGTCCAGTTTTTTCAGTATCTCGATACATGCATCGACTTCATCAGCTCGAATTTCTACTTGAGCACGTCGTAAACGCAACAAATAGTCATCAGTAGTTTCACCAGGCAAGACACTGGTTTTGTCAGGACGTAGATAAGCAATGTGTTCGTGTTGAGTAGATGTTGATGAATTAGATTGTCGGATCGTAGCACACGCACTGCCATCTGAATGTTCAGGCACGAGAACAATAAATCCTTTAGCAGCAAGAGATCCACATAAAGTAGAGTAAGTAGTTCGCATGCCTGCCAATCCATGTGAAAACACTACGACAGGTAAACGATGAGGGATTGACGGAATAGTTGTTTGAGTGTCAGATGGATGAGCCAATGGAGTTTGCCAATAAGATGGAATTGTTACTTTTGAGGTTAATGGCGACACCAACATACGCCCAACAATCCAAGGCAAATTAAGGAATGAAGAATACCCCAATGCATACAATGGAGAGATGGGAAGCCAATGAGGTTTTTTACAACTATTGGAAGTAACAGTAGTCGGATAGTAAATGCGTACAAGAAGACCTCTTTTGTAAGGCATTCCCTTTATTTCTGATGAATCAGATTGAGCCAATGGTTTAGTCTCGATATCCATCATACCAACATTGAATGGCCCGTTATATAAAGGTAACTTGGCTGTAAAGGAGAATCCAGCAGGTTTGATCAGAGTCTTTGCAGTAGATGGAGTTTTTGCGTTCGTGGTCATGTCGTTTGTCATGAACATGAATTCATAAACACTCGACTTTTTATATCACAAACTACTCGAAGCAGTGGTTTCAAACTGCTTTTAGATTTGTTTCAAAAGGGTCGAAAATAAGATGGAATTTCTATTGTTTAAAACTTGAAACGATATTCGATCAAACTATTCAATGTGCTTTATTGTGTCAGGTCGGTACTTGATAGTCAATCCATTGACAGTTGACGTGTTTGTATTTATTCGATACTGGCAAAGTGAGATCTAGCAGCAGATATGTTCATCAATGTCACTGCAGGCACTATATTATAAATTGTGTTTAGCATATATTTCAATATCGTGTCGTTTGATTGTACTTACAGATAGTGGGATCAGATACGATAACCATGACATATGTGTTGGAAGTGAGTCCCTGCAAGAAGGCTGAGAATTTTGGTGTGCACACTTCCATGGTTTGAAACTGTGCTTGTGATTTACTACACATACACGTTAGTCGTACATTCCAATCCATAACAACATCAATACACTTTACCTGCAACTCAATTTAAACTGCTTGATAATATTGGATACTTTTTCAAATCGATGAATGTCGCCTAGATTCCTTCTGGTGGCATGAGAGATCACCAAAAACGTTGTACGTTCAAACAAAATCACTTCATCTGCATCACAATGCTGACAGAATGCATTCAAGTTGGTTTCAAGGACTTGCACATTGGGAATAAGTGACGTTACGATGGCAGACCACGCCTTGTAGAGCGTTTCATCCCAAATGGAAGTACCAAATGAAACAGTTTTTAATGGATGAGATCGACGCTTCAAATCTTGTTCTCTATCAAAAAATATCTAGACACAAGGGTTGAGTTGAGAATCAATCCAGTTTGAATGCTTGACAAGTTACCTGTTCACGCTGGTTTTCAGGGACCAAATCCATTTTATGAACTAGACAAAACACTCGAGCATCTTTAGAATGTTGAATCAATGCATCCAAACATGATTGATAGTAATGAATATCTCTATCGAATTCTCTCGATTCAACATCAAAAACATAAATCAAAACCTGAATGATTTAAAATGATTAGTTTGTCATGGATAACGACACTACTAGAACAACGTACTTCTACATTACGAAAGATTTGATCTCGTTGCGATGCAATATAGTTTTCCATGAAAGATTCTTGACCACCACAGTCCCATAGATTTAAAACCAAGTTTCCTAAGAATCTGACATGAGAGTGTTCGACATCGACTAGACTGTTGGCATAAGTAAATGGTTTGATTTAATGAATGGATTCATGACACTCAACTGGTTGCTCCCAAGCGACGAGTATCTCGAGCAATATAGTTTGCAAAGATGATGGAACGCATCGAGGTTTTGCCTGAACCGCTCTTTCCCATGAGCAACACCTACATTCCGATGGATTCAATGAATATTCTTTATTAACTGAATGAATGTATTTGCTAATAAAACATGGTGCAATGTATAACCATGTATCAGCACCTTCTTTTTCATGTTGAATTTCAGGTCAAGTTTCAACTCAAGATTTTATCCACTTCAATACAAAAACTCATTCAAATCTAAAAGATATTCAACTGTTTTATCCATCAATTTGTCAACTAATAAAAATGGTGCAACACATCAATCCCTTTAAAAATAAAAAAAATATTTTAAACTCGCTCGTGAGCCATGAAACTGTTATTTTGAATTTACATGGCGTATTTGCGAGTCCACTCTCGTGCTGTGGATTCATATCGGGCCCTATCAGTCTTGTACACATGAGCAATTTCAGGAACAAGAGGATCGTCTACATAAAATAAGGATTAGTGTCAAGACATTCAACCCATGTGTGGTACCAAGACTTACCAGGATTAGGATCAGTTAGCATTGAGCAAATGGACAAAAGAACTAAGATTCAAATCCAGATTCAAATCCAGATCCAGGGTTAGTATATGTGCAGCAAGGTTCAATCAAGACAAGCATGCTTGCCTTTAGATATTGTCAACGCAGGAGACCATTGGTCTCTTAAAATATCTAGACAAATGCTTCCATTACTGTTGATATTGGGGTGATATATCCTTGTAGTGAAGTTGACCTGAAAAGCAGTGATTTAGAAGAATTCGCTTCAAGACAGGTACGAGAGCTGCTTACCTTGGGAGGCTTGAATGGATAGTCTGTAGGGAAATGAATGGAGAGGAAAAAGACACCTCCAGAGTAAGGACTATCACTCTAAGATGGGTTGAGTTGGTAACAGGTTTACAAGAAGGAGCAGTCAAGAGCAAATACTTACGGGACCCATAATGGTAGCCTTGAACGGGATGAAACAGCAGTTTGCCACATTAGTAGGGATTCAAAGTTAAGAAAGTAGAAACATTTACGAATAGCCAGATCCAAGAAATTCAGTACAATACAATACCTGCCAGTGCTGTTGGATGAATAAGTGAGTTGTGGTGATCCAGTTATGATGACAAAGTAAGTCAAGAGTATAGTGTATAACAAGACAAGGTGACAACGTACAAAAAGGTCATCGCCAACAGGACCAGCACTGCAAGACGATGGTGGGTCTCTGCCAAGATCTGCCAATTCCTTTATAGTATTCAATGCAAGGTAGAAAGTAGAGCAGCCAGGGTGGTTCAGTAGTTTCAAAGTGTGTTAGTGACTAAAACAAGAGTTGTGGGACAAACAGATGAGATGGTGGAGCAGTAGATGGAAGGAGTGATGATTTGAGCATTGAGATGGACGAGCCATGAATGGATTCTCAACAAGATGAAATTGAATTCCTCAAACTCTCACTGACAGTGTCATGCAAGAAACTCAAGGTTAAGATTTATATTCAACTCAAGAGTGGTGAATACGACAAGCAGCCATGTGTTAAGCATCCAGACTAGTTCTACCTTGTTAATGCGCTTGAGAGCCATGTTTTGTTATTGTTTGAGTTGTAAAACGAGAAATTGTTTTACAAGGATAAATAGTCACGTGTAAATGATTTGGGGTTTGATTGCTATTTGTCATTGATTTTAGGGTCTGGAATTTTAGAGTTTGAAATTTTGTTGATTTTGTTATTCAACTCAAATTCTCGTTACTTTCAACTTATTACATGGTATCAATGCATCCTTCTATTCAATGTCAAGTGGATACTACTTCCATTACAAAAAATTATACTTCAGATAACATCAAATATCCAGATGATATTGCTCAATTGGACGATGAACTCGATGAACAAGACTCTTTATTTCCTGACATCACTATTCTATTCAACAATACATCGTATCCGCTATTTTCTACTACTGCTGCTCTCGTTCCAGATGACTACATTCCATTCTCTTTTGATTTGGACGAAGAAGATCTTCCTTCAAACGTTTTGCTGAATTCTCCTCTCTATTACCTTGTTAGAGAACTCAAACATGTATTAAACATTAAATCTGAACTATACGATGTGTCCATTCAGATTCCTCAATTGGATTTATATGCTATGCATCAGGTATCTTATGGTTGTTTATCTGTTTTTTTTAATTCTTGTTATTCATCATTCTTGTTTATTCTAGGATCTTCCTATTCTCAATCGATTGACTCTTCCTACTCTTATTGAATTCCATCAAGCTCGTCATTTTCAATCTGTAGGCTCTGACACTGCATCTGCTCTTCCATCACTCGAAATCATCCTGATTCAGGTAAACACTCTTTGATTTTCATTGCATTTTGACTAATGATTCAATGCTAACTGCTTGTCTGTTCTAGCATCCAACATCACTTAAACACCAGCTAAGTTTGCTTGAACAAATCTGTACTGAAGGTGGATTGGACTCGAACCCAATTGTGCTAGACTCGGACGACGACAATCTCGGTGATGAGTATGAAAATAATACACTTGCTTTATCCACTCCCATTCAACCGGTTTCTAAAGACTCGCATTTTCAAAAAAATGCTGCCGAAATCGACATCAAAGATGATCTGCTGATTCTTGGTGACCACTCATTACATTCTGATGGAAATCTTGAACACACTGCTTCATCTGTATTTACTATATCAACTCCTGGTCGCAATCATACCAATACTGTTGTTGATCAAACTACTGAAGATGAAAACGACAATAATGACTGTATTGAACAAGACAATCCAAAGACTCAAATAGAACAAACTTTGAGTTTGAACGATAATCATAGTGCATGTCTTGTCACTCAAATCTCAGATCCTACAGTCGAGGCTTTTATTTCTACTCCTCATCAGCCCTTGTCTGCAGATTCATCCAATCCCATTTCTACTACTGAGTGTGATACAACTCAAGTCTTGCCTACAGACTCTGATCTTGTAATACAACCAGTAGGTATAGACGATCATGCAAGTGAAGATGTTTTGGCAGACGCGAGTATGATTGATCCTGAAATCTTGGATGCATTTGACAGCGAAGTGGTCAATGATGAAATGTATGCTGAAGATATTGATAATGATGAAACCTATACTGAAGATATTGGTAATGATGAAACTTATGCTGAAGATATTGGCAACGATGAAACTTATGCTGAAGATACTGGCAACGATGAACATATCGATGCAGATGGATCTATTGCATTCACTACTTTTGTTTCTGACAACACTCTTCAAGACGTTGATAGTACTGTTCTTGAAAACACTGAAGCTCATTTTGAAGATGGTTTTGTTGCTGAAGAATTCGAGTATACTGTACAAGGCGATGAAAGCACTGATCAATACTCATCCAACATCAATGATGACACTATCGATGCAGTGGATTCTACGCTTATCATTGATTTGGACGTTGCTAAAGTGGACGATCATCAAGGAGATGAAGGCACTGATCAAGTATTTGACGATCCACTTGTAGAAGTTGAACTGGACAATATGGATGCGTTGATGGATGACATGGAGTATACAGAGGAAATCGATCCTCATGTCGATGAAAACGACGTGGCACTCGATGTTGATACAGATCATCAGAGTTTACAGAATACAGATCAAGCCAAAGACAGTGCAGATGCTCATATCTTGCTGGAAAAAGCGACAGCTGACGCAATACATGACACGGCTTTGGATGCGGTTTGTATTGATCCTACCAACAGCAATCTTGATAGTGAAGTTGATGATTTGAACGCATACAAATTCTCTTTAGGTAGCAAACGGGAACTCGAGCAGGGTAAGTTGTATTTCCAATGATTCATGTACATTTAAACTATAGCTTTTCTTATTTTTTATCCACTTTTATTTTAGAGCACGACGATGCTGCTGCAAAACGAGCCCGTGTTTAATGGATGCAATTACGTATGAAGATGTTGTAGCAAAATTGTGCATTGATGGATATAGCATTTGTTTTTTTGTATTCTACTATTCTACCAAATATTGGCAGCTGTGCGAGTGATATGTTTTGAGCATTCCCATTGTTTTCCTATAATTCTTATATTTGCCGTGATTTCTTGTGGTATAATCACCTTTGAATTACAAGGTTGATGTTTGCATTTTTCTAATTACTGTGGTATGTGGATTTAAATGATGGACAAGGTTTGTAATGTTCTTTTATAGCATTTCCTGGTGTTGGGTGATTCCGTTTGCTTTTATGATGATTATACTGTCAGTTTATCTAGAGTTTGATGATACTTGATGCTCGACTGTTTTAAATCAAAAATAGTGTTTAAACGTATACTGATTACTTGTAATGATCAGTATACGTTTATATTCAGCTCAACATGCATGACTAAATATGCTTTGTAAGGCTTTATCATTTCATGATCAAGAAAAATAACAAGAATCTGCATATCTTGATTTTTGGACTACTTGATGTAATACATGGTACACTTGCAATACCACCCTTAATACTATCCATCGATGCACAACTTTTGCTACTAGATCTTTTACGTAATGCATTTGGCATTAGTCTGACGTTTTCTAAACACATTTTCTGCTTCATATACATGCTTGATTACATTTGGAAACCAATTTAGTTGTTTGTAAGCATTTCCTGGCCATCCAAGAATATATAAATATATTTAATGGATTATGGAATGGATTTGAATTTGAATTTATGAATGGATTATGGAATGGATTATGGAATGGATTATAAGAGTGGATTTGAATTTATGAATGGCTTGTTCCAACTTTACTTTGTAATATTAAATCAGCAACATGTTTGTTTCAAATGCCATATTACTTTTGAGTATTGCATGCACAGTCTCTGCTAGCTGGCAACGTCGAGTTTATTACACGGACAACAGTTGTAAAGCCAACTTTGGTTATGGTGTTCAGGTTTGGGTACCTAATGCACCTTGCTCGTCACCCGCATCAGTGACCACGTCTTGCGAAATCAAATCCACTGACAGTCGAGCTCTTTCATCCGAAGGCACAGCCTGCGATAATCAACCTGCAACAGACAATGCTTACGTTCCATCCTCTTCTGATGCTGCGCTCGTTCCTGGTGCCAATTATCTAAGTGTCAATGTATACAACAATGCTCCAAATCAGCAGCCTTGTTTCTTTGATCCAACTGTACAAGTAGAACAAACTACTTATGCTGCTGATGGGAAATGCTATGCATTCGAGAGTGGATATTACTTTAAAGCTTCTTGTTCTGGTACAAGTGGACAAGTCCAGTTTTGCAAGTATGAAGGAGTCGAATTCAAAGCATAGTTGGCATGTCAAACAATAAGCTTTCATTACTAATATCTGATTGTTTCTAGTGACGCTGAATGCAAGGACTGCAAGCCTGGCGGTCCTTCGTTTGATAGCGGATCTTGCCAAGTGGGAACTGGTCTTCCCACTCGAATGATATGCTCTGGATCAAATACTAGCAATCCACTTACACCTGTCAATACTACTGCTGCTGCTCCCTCTTCTGCTGCTGCTGCTACAGGTGCTGCCACGGCTGCTGCTGGCGCGACTGTCTCCCCAGCCAGTTCTACTCATGCTGCTAGTGCTAAATCTGCTGCTACTGAATCTCAGGCTCAGCTTTATCTCACTGCCATCTTGACTTCTGGCTCTCTTTTGGCTGCTCTCTATGCATCCCTAGTCTAGTACTCTCTTACTCGACTCAATCCTGTCTGCATTCTTAATGCAATTCTTTAACAATAAACAAAATACTTTGTAGCTTCTTGTTTGATACTGCATATGCTTTGAAATAAACTCAATCCTTACAAATTAACAATTGAATTGAATTGTAATAATTCATTTCACAACTCGTAACACATGTGGTCGTTTGGCCGAGTGGTCTAAGGCGCCGGATTCAAGTCCCGGTCTCGAAAGAGGCACGAGTTCGAACCTCGTAGCGATCATTTTTGCTTTTGATTCAAATTTAGACATTTTTAAACTTGCATTCTTTTATAACTCGAAATATCATATTTGCACATCAAAAATCCATTTATTTCAAGTACTAGATTTAAAGTAATCTACTAAAATCAACATTCACATATTCGATGCTTTAAAGTGTTCCAGAGCCATAGAACGAATCACAGTCGCATTAGCAATACCAGTGGCCTCGACTAAATCACTAAACACAGAATCTTTGTTTTGTAACAGAACATGAGGTGCATCAAACTCGGCAACCGTGCCTTGATCAAGAACAAGAACACGATCAAACGCGGCAATCGTGTTCAATCGATGTGCTACACTAAATACCGTAGTGTCGCTAAAGTGTGTTTGGATTAAATCCTGAATCCGTCTGTCAGTCGATGCATCAACAGCTGCTGTTGCTTCGTCCATCACAAGTACCTTTGGACTGGCTAATATGGCTTTGCAGAGGCATATCAGCTGTCGTTGACCAGCAGATAGATTCGTGCCGTTTTCTGAAATCGTCGAGTCAAGCTTATTCGTCAAAGATGAAATATAAGTATTGAGACCAACTGTTTCCAAAGCACGCCATATCTCCTCATCAGTGTATTCAGATCGCACATCAAGGTTACTGCGAAATGTACCACTAAACAAAATCGGTTCTTGTGGAATAATCTGAAGACTCGATCGCAACGTTTTTAACCCCAACGTGGAAATATCAATCCCATCAATCTCAATAGAACCAGATTGTGCTTCAATGATTCTAAATAGTGATGCCATAAGTGTTGATTTGCCTGATCCAGTGCGACCAACAACGCCCACTTTTTCACCAGGTTTGAGAAACAACGATATTTCCTTGATAACAGGATGATCGGGCCTACTTTCATATGCAAGTCTCAATTTTTTAATTTCAATTGCACCCTTTGTTGGCCACGTCTTGGGTTTAGGATCTGTTGGAAGAGTACCTTCTGCCTCGGATTTCAATTCGTATGAGTAGTGATCTAATCGCTCCACGGCATTAAACATGGCCTCTGTTTTTCCCCATGCTGTCATGAGCATGTTTAGCGAGTCGCTGAGTCCCATCGATGCTACAAGTGAAACTCCAAGTGTTGTCGAGGTAGAACCACCGACACGCAATGTAGCCAACAGAACAAGCACAAACGTTACTGATGCCGCCAAAAGCTCAAGACAAAGTGCTAGCCAATTGCGAGCACCCTCAAAATACATATTCGAAACGCTACACTGATCCATATTTAGTCTCTGTTGATGGATAAATGAATCTTGCATGCAATAGGCTTGGATGGTTGCAATCCCTGTCAATGTTTCGGAAATATGAGCATTGAGTGGAGATCGCATAATAGCCACGAGTCGCTGAAGCTCTCTGTACGACGATTGAAAAAAGCGAAACAGTATAACAACAAGCACTGCTAGACAAGCAAATTGTGCAAGCAGGATAAAGGATGACGTGGCAATTACAATCACTCCTGCAATGACATAAATCATAAAATTCACTGCAGCTAATAGTGCTTCCGGCATTTTAAGATCAATCAATTCTATATCACCAGATAAGCGATTCAAAATGCGTCCAATCGGCTGGGTATCAAAAAATCCCATTGTCGTGCGCATAAGTCCATCCAAAGCAGTATGGTGAATGAAGACACTTGCTCGTTTTCCAGCAAGTAATACTAGCGTTGTCATGGCAATACTGGAAAGTGCTGATAAACTGCCAAGTAAGATATACATGCGAATGTATTCCTGGCTCGACAAACCAAGTGTATCTTCTGCCCACCAACCAAGTGCCAAATGAGTGCAAATCACCGATATGGTAGCAATTAAAACTACAATAGATAGTGACGCGACGTATGGAATACCACCACAGAAATTCATGTACGATTTTAATGTAGATAGCTTGATACGTCCCTGAAAATACCAATCATTAAATAAATTAGTCTTGTCAATCATAAACCAATATCCCAACTAAAAAAACTTACTACTATGCGTTCTTCCTGGGACGGGCTATCCTGCTTTTCAGTCATGGCAGTTTTAGTTTCAGCCATTTCTTCCACGACAATATCGGTCTCATTATCCAAATCAGATGTGTCAACGTGATGATTGGACATGATGTGCGAGAGATGGCTACTTGGACTTGCAATAAGATCACTATACGTTCCAGTTTCAACGACACTGCCTTTGTCCATGACAACAATCATGTCCATTTTGGGCAACAGATGGAGTTGATGAGTCACCAAGACAACAGTCTTGTTTTTCAATACTCCACAAATAGCATTGTCAAACACTTTCTTGCCAACATGTGCATCGAGAGCTGCAAGCGGATCATCCAGTAAATAAATATCAGCATCGTGTGCTATCGCCCGTGCAAGAGCAATACGTGCTCGCTGACCACCAGATAGATTTATCCCCTTTTCTCCAATTTGGGTTCCTAAACCAAATTCCATACCCTTCAGATCAAGCTCAAGACACGATGCAGAAAGCGCCATGGGAATATTGGCACGAGCCGATTCTTTGTTGAACAAAATGTTGTCCTCGATCGTACCAGTGATAATCCAAGGTTCTTGTGAACAGTATGAAATAGACCCATAAATATTTGCTTGGCCAGATACTTTGCACATGTCACTAATCAAAGCAGATAGCATCGAGCTTTTTCCACTACCAACGGCACCAACAACTGCTACCAAGCATTTTTGCGGGATATCAAGCGTAGTGGAATGGATCCGAAACGGTTTATCTATGAGTGATACAGTCGAATTGTCCAAATTCAAACTAGACTTTTTGAGTAGCATTTTGAATTTCTTGGAATTGTTTTTGTTCTTGGCTGATTGGTTTGATTCTCTAGCCGATTCCCAAATAAATTCAGCCGCTTCAAGTTTAATAGCAGTTGTACTATTTTCAGGTTGAGACTTGTGAACCTGTGATACTTCAGATTCTAAAACTTCAGATGAAATTAAATATGGGGCCATGCGTTGATAACTGACACCTGCTTGTGCAGCAGCACTGTGGCATTCACAATAAAAGCAATATTGTGAGTATTAAAATACATGGGTGACAGTAGGATCTAAAACACGGTACAACTTACGCAAAAATCAAAGTAACTTCGTTCATGGGTTTCAACAGCATGTTAAAAATACCAAGCGCAGAAAATGGAACATAGCTATGCATGTCACCACCAAGAGTAGCATACACGGCAAAAGCAACACCAGGAACAAACACCTCCTGTATCTGCAGCAAGCTAGTAATGAAAATGATCGATACACTAAACAGCTGTAATGACTTGGTTTGCAAATCACGCCAATAACGGATATGCTGTCTAAAAATTTCCTCCAGTGCACCGTACTTGATGACACGAATGCCGCCAAGAAACTCGCGTGAGATTGTAATGCGATGATCAAAAGTTTTGAGATATCCATTGACAGCCTTGGACATTGCCCCTCCCAAGCCCATCTGGAAAAGGGTAAAGAGAATGTAAATGCCTGCCGCTGACCATACAGCGCGTCCAATCAATTGCGACAGCAAGTACATGGATATGACAATGTGCAGTGGAACCGACCACATTTGATTAATGGTGACAGACAAAAAGACGGACAGTGAGCGAACATCCACATTGATCATAGTCAAAATCTTTCCTTCAGAGAATATCTGCCGAGATTTGGGTGATAAACGCAGTGCTTTTTCATAAACCGCTCCAGTAAGAAGCGATGTTACACGAATAGCAAGATCTACCTCGAGAGAGGTACGAGTACTATTAAGCAAAGCGATTACAAGTAAAATAGCCAAAAATGCAAATGAAATGGCCAAACCCGATCCAAGTAGCAACGACGGATCGTCTGGATTGCTGATAAATTTAAGTACCTAAACCCCAGAAATGATGATATACGCCAAAAAATTAGACCAGTGTAAAGTATTTACCGCCATAACCCAAGCAGCTATTTAATATACTGGGTATATGGAAAGTTAAAATACATATTTGCCAATACTCAAAATATGCAATATACTATTACAATTATGAAACATCAATCCATATTACACATGCCTGTGGTAGTACAATGTAGGGGAGACCTAGATTAATGATAATCGAAGCCAATCTCAATATCGCCAGAAATAACCTATCAAAGCAAAATTCAAAATAGATGGAAATGGTTAGCGTTTCTGCAGCCGTATTCACATAAAATAAAACACTAATGGATGCCAAAATGGATAGTGAACCGCCAATTTTGTTCATTAATACAGAAAATTGTTCCGTTTACGTAAATGTGGCTATAATTGGACAAAGGCAACGTAAAAAAGTATATGCGCTTACATGGTAGGATAATAAATCGCAAAAAGAGTAAGCGATAGATTAGGACATTTATAATCTTTTGGGTTACGAGCATGTTTTGAAAAGTCATCCCAAAACCGAGCAAATGACGCAGCAACAGTCACTGATTGTTCGCTTGTACTAATTAGTCCTAGGTCCTATTGGTACATTAAATTGAAATCAAGTCATGTTATCAAGGCAGTTCAACGAGTCGAAAATGTTTCAATTTAGATTTGGTCAACGCTAAATTCAAGATACAGGCAGACAGTGTGTCAATACAGAACTTGCCTGCTGCTCAAGTGGTTTTTTAGATCCAATTCGAATAATTGGAGTTATCCATGAAAGTGTCGGATAGCTCCACACATTGCGTGAAAGTCGATGGTCAACCATTTTTTTTAACAGGCCGATGGAACAGATTACAACCAAAAAACTAAAGTAGCTCAGATAACGGCCAAGACCAAGCCTTTTATGAGGTTTGAATCGAAAATAAAATTATGCGGCCTGTTGGCTAGGCAGTCCTTTGACAAACCAATGCAGGGTTGGGCTTTGTCATTCGAGTCGAATGACTTGATACCGCTTTTATATTGCCATTTATTTGATGCTTTTTCAACAGCTAATATTTGTGCAAGATTACAACAGGAATCGTTTCCAGTTCATAACAGATGTATTGGAACACAATTATACACAAGATTCCAGCTGACTGTTATCTCTATTCTCACGGCCGTATCCATGTAAAGTGGAGCCCAAATAAGGGTGTCTAGTAAACAGCCAACCCACACCAAATGTATTAGGCAATGGTGTCTTGAACTTTTCGACAAAGCTCTGGTTTTTCGTGTTCGGTTTTGTAAACAATCGGATATTCAAAGCATTCACATCATGGTTTCAATAGATTCCATATCAACAATCGAGCCCGATATATGGGTTGCAATGAGTCTGGTGATTGTGCAGTGCACTGCTATGCCAAACAGTGTTCATGTTTACAAAATCAAACTAGTTTTGAACAATATTGTCGCTGCTAGAGTCGATTTCTAGCAAAAAAGCACAATGAATATTTAACCACTCTTTCAAAGCAGTGAAAACTCGCTACAAGACTGTGATTCATGTCACGTGAATACAGCTGTAGTTTGACGCATTCAAACTTGGCCAAGCTCGACCAGTATATGGTTTTAAACGACAGTATAATGAAAGATGCACTGCAACTATTCTATAGATGGCATGTTGGCAAAAACAATCATGGCAATGACTTGTTTTTACACAAAAAATCATCTGTATAGCATACCCTGAATGCAGCTGTAATGCTCAAGGGTCTTTTTTAGATACATGCTGCCAAGGTAAGAGCAAAGCTGCATTTATTGTCTTCAGCCATAACCCATAGAAATTGCAATATACATGAATGCGCCGTAACTTATAGGTCATTACGGCCGTATTCATGTAAATAGAACACGAAATAAGGGTGTTTAATAAGTAGTCAGTCTCAATAGAATCATGATTCATATTAAATCTACTGGACAAAGTTTAGCTGGTTTTCACCTTTGCGTATTTTATAAGCAACTGAGTGGATGTTTGCATTGCAGTTTCAATAAACCACATCAACAACCGAGTCTAATATCTGGGTTACAATGGATGAATATGACGATCGTACAATGCATGGATATGCCATACGAAAATAGTATGTTTAAAACTATAGTTTGATTATGCGAATATCATATGATGGACCTGTGCTTGGAACAATAGTTGGGGTGTCTATTAAAGCCAATACAGTAGCAAAATGCAGCGAATGTTATCTATCCTAGAGCAAATGAAAACCAATATAAATGCAGAGCGTGTTCCATTTTACGTGAATACGGTTGTAAATGCCGCTTAGCTACACATGTGCCCAATGACTTGATTTGGATATTCTGGTGGCTTGATCAGGCCAAATGAAACGAATTCATTACATATCGAGTTTGTTGTGTATGGCTTGTTAGCTTAGTTTCACCTTTAGAAATCACCGCAGTTGGAATGTGATTTTGAGCATCCTTGAATAAACTGCAATGCAATATTGAGTATGTAGACTACTGAAAATAACCAAAAGTGACCTAAACCCAATTGACTATTATGCAGCTCGGATGTATTTTGCCGGAATTCAAGTCTCTTTATTGGCTGTCCCTTAAATATTCTTAGTTGGGCTGGGGATCAAGAGTTTCAAGTAACCATTTGAGGCTTGAGTGGCAGTGTCGTGCTTTTTATTTCTCATGGCAACCAGATATCATAATTCAAATACTCGAGTCAGTTTGTCAAATCCTATAATATAAATACTGGCTTTGATTTCCGATAAATCGACGATTCCCAGTTTTTTTGCAAACTTGCTTGCGTAACCGGCTTTATTCACCTAGACATTTTTACTTTTTAGTCATTCAACATGACCTACTTTTTGCTAATTGCCACGGCCATTCTTGGATTCGCCACTCAGTCTACGGTCGCTGCTGTGCCTGATGCTACCAAGTATCCATACAAATTTGATCCTGCTCCTGTCGATCCAAGCTGGAGTGCTCATTTCCTTACAGGAAACATACCAAACATTCCTCTCGCCACTGGTCCTGTTGTTACTCCTGATTTCTCAAAAGAAATTACTCGATGTGTAAACGACAATGACTGGGGATTGACCTTTGACGATGGTCCAACGTGAGTTGTTTCAAAATTTGATTTCAATGTTTAATGATTCTTATAGTAGCACCATTCATATATGCGCTTGATTGTCAAATAATTGGTTGCATTTCGTTCATGCCACGAATTTGTACTCTACATTGTGTTTATTTGATTGGTACCTTGCGGTAACTCGGATGCATTATTACATCCGTGTTCATGTAAAATGGAACACGCTCTGTATTTGTCTTGCATTGACTGCTTATATTTTGCTTTGGAATAAGCAGTGGTTGAATATTCGCTGCATTTTGCTACTGTATTGGCTTTAATAGACACCCCAACTATTGTTCCAAGCACAGTGTCCATCATATGATATTCGCATAATCAAACTATAATTTTAAACATACTATTTTCGTATGGCATATCCATGCATTGTACGATCATCATATTCATCCATTGTAACTCAGATATTAGACTCGGTTGTTGATGTGGTTTATTGAAACTGCAATGCAAACATCCATTCAGTTGCTTATAAAATGCGCAGAGGTGAAAACCAACTAAACTTTGTCCAGTAGATTTAATATGAATCATGATTCTATTGAGACTGACTACTTATTAAACACCCTTATTTCGTGTTCTATTTACATGAATACGGCCGTAAGCCACTTTTTGCACCTAAACCCTAAACTGACCGTTTTATTTGAATAGCAACAACACTCAAATCGTCCTTGACGCTTTAAAGGCTTCTGGAATTAAAGCAACCTTTTTCGTTATTGGCTCTCGTGTCCTTGATGGATATCAATGGCTCAAGGCTGCTCACGATGATGGTCACGAAATTGGCATTCACACCTGGTCCCACCGTGCACTGACCACTCTTACAAACGAGCAAGTTGTCGCCGAGTTGATATGGGCTGCTGCCATTATCAAAGAAGTTATTGGTGTTACTCCCCGATACTTCCGTCCTCCTTGTAAGAATATGTTGTTTTTGGTATACATTATGAATGTGCTAGTTTATGCAACAGAATATTCAATATTATTATTGCTTCAATACAAATCATGATAAATAGATGACTCCATGGACGATCGTGTTCGCGCCATTGTCAAAAACATGAATCTGACTGTTGTTGAATGGTCATATGCCACTGGTGATACTAACGGTGTCACAGATGTAGCCCAGCTTATTGCTGCCCGTGCTCAAAGCCCAACAAAAAGTGGAACCATTTCTCTTATGCACGATTTTGCTTACCCTTATGCTATTCAAGCTCCTGCAGCCATTTCCGCTCTTCAACAGTCGAGTGTAACTCCCAAACTACTTTCCGGTTGTCTCCAGGTTCAGGCAGTTTACAACGAGGCATTGTGGATGAATATTTCCCCACCAGTTTCTCGAAACGGATCTCAGACAGGTGCCAAGCCTCAAACAACTGGACCCAGTTCAAACTCGAGCTCATCTTCAAACTCATCTTCTGCTAGCAAGATCCAACTTCAATCTGCTTTTGCATCCACTATTTTCGTTGTTTCTCTGAGTACTATTGCAATTGTCTTTGGTACTGCTATCCTTATGTAATCGTTTTATCCTTTTGATTTCACAGCTGTATTCGCGTAAAATAGAACATTTTTGTACTCATGCATGAACTGCCTTTATTTTGCTTTGAAATAAACAATGGTTAAATATTCATTGTGCTTTTCTACTAGATATTGATTTGATAGACACTCTTGATTCTTGTGTATTTGGAATTACTCGACCATTTTTTAATTCTCGGCACAACTTGAGAATGGACAATATAAACTATATTCGTGATATTGCTCATTGTTGAACGATTGACAGATTGTGTTTAACCAGTGAGTTGTAACCTTGAGCATTCGTTCATGATACAATATTGTCCAGTAAATCGACATCAATCAAACACGAAACCGACTTTTTATTATACACTCTTATTTAGTGTTTCATTTTACGTGAATATAACGGTATGTAACAATTGCCAGATATAGCATCTATTAGTGTCATGACGTAAACTATGCTTCAGCGGCGCAAGTACTACTATTCTTTTTGTTTTTTGGATTTGCGATATGACTTTTGAGGAATGGCAGCATCATCATTAATTAACCACTCAAACTCTTTGGTATTTGCCAGCTCAATATTTCCAAGCTGCTTTGAAGTTGGGAGTAGTTTTGAAAAATCACTGAGCCGGTCGTACTCAACATGCAAGCCAGTTGCCACTTCTGCTAGTTTGCGATCTCGTTGTCTCCATTCAGATATCATCTCAATTTCGCGTGTCGACTCTTGACTTGTGACATGCAGTTTCATTCTTTCAAACTCAATTCGTAGCTTTCGCTCGGATTGGTATTGAAGTCGATTTTCGTGTAATGCAGTTTCAAGTTGTTCACAATGGGCTGTTTCAGAAGTGAGTGTATCTTGCGTAGATGCCAGTTGAGTCTGCAGTGTCTGTGTTGTATGTGTCAACTGTGCAATGGTATCTACATTACGCTGCATGGTAAGTTGAGCTTGCTCAAACAGATTCGATAATCGACGGATTTCGTTATTGCGCTCTCGAAGAATGTCGCTTGTTTCGCTTTGGAGAATCTCGATTGCTTCAGATAACTCGACTACCCTTTGCTCTGCTGCACTCAGCTTTGTTTGTACCGACAAATAATTTTCATTGCTTCTATTCAACTCGGTACTTAGCCGAGTATTGTCGCGTTGTGCAATACCTGCCTCTTGTCGACTCTGCTTTAGATTTTCCTCGAGAGAATTTTGGCTTTTTTGCATTTGATCCTGCTTCATTTTGAGCTTAACATTTGTGTCAACCACCATAAGCTGTTTGCTTTCAAGTGATTTGTAATCTCTAGTAAGTTGTGCGTGGTTAGTTTGCAATGTTGAAAGCTCTTGTCGCAGCTGCGCCTCTAATATTACCGCCTTTTCTTGATACTCTGTAAATGAGCTGTTGATACTGGTAAGCTCATCTTCCTTTTGTCTGAGATCTGCTCGTGTCGTCTTGATTTTTTCAGTAAGCTGTCGTTTATCATTGGACAGATTGGACTTTGCTGCAGAGAGTTTTTCAATCTGCTCATCCAAAAGCGCAGCCTTTTCATCAGCAACACGCCTCACCTGAGCCATTTCAAATGTCAGTACATTGACGTTGGATAATTCTCGATCAAGTTGATTCTGAAGATCCGTAGTTTGAAACATCAGCTGCTCCTTTTGTTCTTGAATCTTTTTGATGGTTTTTGAATCATCTATACGCAAATCACCCAGTTCTTTGATGCGAACATCTCTAGAAGCAATTTCTTTTTCGCACTTTTGTTCATACAATTTTGTCGATGCTTCAAGCTGATCCTTGGACCGTGACAAACTCTTTAATGCAGCTCCTAATTTTTCACTCTCAGATCGACTACCTTTGAGTTGCACCTCCAACTCTTTTTTTACAGTACTCCATGCCTCGCTCTCTTTGGTGATTTTGGCAGTCCGCAATTCTGCCTCTTTTTTATAATCATTAAACTGATGGTCCAGCAATCTCAAATCAGCCTCCAGCTTTGATTTTTGCATAGACAGTTGCTGGATGTTTTCCTCGGCATCGTGTAGCTGTCGAGTCGTAGTTGCCAATTCTGATGATATAACAATATTGAGTTCCTCCGACTTTTGCTTACCTTCTCCGCATAGATTAAATTGCTGAACCAATTCATCCAACTCAAACTCCAATTCTCGGATTTTTGTTAGCGAAATACTGAGTTCTTTGGCAGATTGCTCAAAATCAATAGAAAGCTTTTCAAGATTTTTTTGAAGAACACCGTTGCGTGACTCAGCCGCCTCTGTTCCTCGCTGGGCTTCCTTTTTTAAACGAGTCATTGTATCATCCATTGCTAGAAACTCTTTAAAAGAGTCTTGAAGCTTTTTTTTCATTTCTTCGACTGATTTCTCGGCTTCCTTGACACCAAAATCTTTGCTCTTGACTATTTGATGCATTGTTGCAATCTCTTCATGAAGCTGCAGGGTAAACGCAAAATCATAAAATCTATTAGATTCAACATATTACAAACGTGTCCAACATACTTGTGCATTCACTTACTTTTCGCTTTTCCTCTTCAGCATTAATTAAAAATGCCATCAAGGAGGAGACTTCGGTTTTTAAATGTTGAACATCAAGCTGCAGTCGTTGACTCTCGCTCTGTTGCCATTCCTCTGCAAACATGTAGAAATAAACCGATCGGTTGAGTGCGGCTCTTAAACGCTCAACATTTGCTGATTCCATCTGTTCCTTTCTTCCCAGACTAAACAATTCTCCACGTAGTCTCATGATTTCTTTATCTCGTGCATTTATCATGCGTTTATAAATCTCACCTGAAACAACATGACCAGAATGCGATGGGATAGTGTGTGTGGCATTCCGTTTGTGTATCGAGTTCATTCCAAGGTCTTCGCGAGCTTGGGATGCTTTTTGTTGCTGAAATACCCATCGATCTTGCTCTACTTTTTCGTGGGGATCAATGTACCCAGCCGGTTTTTTCACTGTTGGATCTTTAATAATATCAAAATATGGAACTGGTCGTTGTGGCATGGCATCAGCGACTTCGTCTATTAAATGGATGGATGTCAAGGCAGCTGAATTGACGTGCCGTGAAAGGCAATGGTCAAACGTGGCTAAAAGAGTATGTTGGCATTGCTTGCATACATTCAATACAGATGTTTGATTTGACGTGCTATCCAATTCATTATCATGATGCTCGTCTGCGTCTATTTCCTTGATATTTGATTGAAATGCGTTATTCAATACATACTTTTCAGTAGTTGGATCTTGGTGATGAATATGCTGCAATGGAGAAGTGGTGGAAAACAATGGGTCTGCTTCTGTTTGTAATCGTATATTATCGGACTGATTTTTTTGGTTGGATACGTAGTTGTGGGTATGTTTTGGTGATAGTATCGAGGTGGAGAGTGGTGGAAGTAATGGCGGACCAGGTAAAAAGTGGTGTAAGGCTCTATTACGCGGCTGAGAGAAAAGTGCATCCGCGACTTTATCTGGATTGACTGGTTCAGAAAGCAGCATTGGTGTTGTATTTTGGTCTCCAGATGGTCGACTGACGGTGGCATTTTCAATCTGCATCGTAATGTATTGAATCTATCTAAAATGCAGATATTTGCAAAGAGAAATGCTGCAGATTAACAAGTTTGATTGCTTCAATTTGATTTGAATTCAACAAGCGATAATAACTTTGCAGGAACAATTTTTGGCAAAGTTTTGATTTTAGCCTTTTAAATATCCCTTTATATAAAAGCGATACGTTTGTAACAACAGGCCATCTTGTATCTTTTCCAATATATGATTGATAGCACGATTACTTGAAGTGGATTCTCAATTTGATTACTTTTATAGCATTTTCCCAATATTTTATTGCCAGATAGTATGCAAGGCAAGCAGATAAAACAAATGACCGGATCACACGCTAAATATCCAGGTAAGGCACCACCAAACATCAATAGCTGTTTTGTCAATTGATAGTCAAATCACACCTTTCATACTCTCAATTTAATGTTTTATAATTGCATGATACGATTTTTAAAAGATTCAGCCCAACTACATATACCAGGCCAAGAAAGTATAGATTCAATATATTGGGTTCCAACACATGCAGACACGAACAAAATCGAACAGTCGAGTAAAATCGAAAAGATCATTTGTCCAGTACAGCAAAAGAGTATTAGTGCTTCTGTATCCAAGGCAACGACTCCACGAGCCTTTCATAAAATATACACTCCTACCAGCGGTAATACCTCGTCAAAAATTCATAGTATTTCAAAAACACAGTCATGGAGTCAACACGACTCGATTGTAGTGATTAAACCATCCGCGGCAGAAATACATTGTTCTAAAATAGGTCGGTCGGGTATCAAGAGATGCAATACAGAAACATCGTTTATCTCAACCCAGTCTGCTCCATCTATGACTGTATCTCTACCAATCAAAGCACCTCGCCCAAATGCACTGTATACACTGACAGCTAGCAAAAACATACGATACCGACATCGTAATTGCATATCGAGTGCTCCATTAAACTCTTTGAATCTTGACAAAACTACACATGCCAAACAAATACGCACATCATTGTCCAAAGCATCCTTGAAATTGAATAAACCAATCAAAACGACTCTGTCAATACAGAATGAACACGAAAAAATCAAAGGAAAACCATATTTCAACAGATCTGTATTCGAAGTGACACTTGAAACGCACGAGTCGATGCCTTTGTCCAAAGTGTCTGAAGCTGACGTGCGTAATAGAAAAAAACATCGAACAACTCAATCGCGTACAGCAGATCACAAACAAAAAACGTCAGCCAGAGGTTCATTGACACGATCTACTATACAGTCAAGAGATGCATCGTTTAAACATGTCGATGAAAAACCACCTATGCATATTTCTGATGAAATAGCAACAAAAGCAAATCATGACACTCACTCGCCAGGGAAAAATCATCGTGGTAGTAAACTGAATGTGGACTCTTTTCAAGCTTATAGATATAGCAATGGTCACACAAAAAAGTTGCGCAAAAAACAAACCGTTGCATCAAAAATAGAAACTGAACAAATGAAAAAAGATCACGATAGTTTCAAATTCAAGCAAGTAGCTGTTGTACCCACACACGAAATAGCCGCATACCCGAAACCATTGCTTTGGATACGGGACAGAGATGGTAAAATCCAAACTCTACCTTTACAGGTTGCACCCAGTGCATTTGGTGAAAGTCAGCCTAATTCTGGCTCTAATATAGCGGCTTCCTCCAAACATCAAACTCACCAACGTATTCGGCATCTACAATCCGCTGGAAAACACGATGTAGGCAATGGATGGAACAGTTCTACAATTGTCAAACGTCCACCAAAAAAGCCTATTGACGTAATTGTGCCTTTGCTTCGATCACCCGACACATCCATCGACTTGATAAATACCTCACAAGATGAGTTTACTCTTAAAAGTTCACCGTCACAGCAAAAAAACATTTTTCGGAGACAATCAGAAGTTAAACCAAATGGGGTTTGTTACCCAGATGTATTCGCACTCAATGCAGACCCTACAGCCAGACCTTTAAGAAGTGTATGGACGCCAACCGAGTTTAGTTCATCTCGTCGCGAAAGTAAAGTCAGACTTTTAAGAGTGAGTCGTGAGAGTGATGTGGGTATGCTCGACAGCATGTTTGATAACGTTCCAGGAGTGAGCATTACTTCGGGAAGTCTTGACACAGATATGGTCGCGGCAGCATATAAAGAGTTTAAAATGGAGACTAAAACTGTTCTACACTCACAATCCTCTGATGACGCAAATGATGAATATAGTGTCTTGTCAGATCCCACTCAATTGATTCCTTCACTTGACGAAACATCAGATTCGGAGGTGATTACAACAAAACTTCCTAGTCTTACAAACTTGCAGATATCAACTATAATCGATCCAGTACCAACCGAACTCTTGTTGAATACGTCTCAATCGAAATCCAAGCATCGTTCAAATTCATTGCATGGTATTGTGGCTGCAAGACGATATATACATACTCCAGTTGTACGCGCAAAAAAAATTTTACCTAGCCAGCATCTGCGACAAGAATTTGGAAAAGGAGAGTACATGAATATGCACTTGCATCCTCATCTCATGTCACCGCCGTTTCCTATTCCAAAAAGAGCGCAGATACTATTTGGGCCGTATGAGGATGGGTTATCAACAGCGGAAGCAGTTTTTTCAAATCGGACATACTATCATTGCCCAGAAATATATGGTTGATCCGTATCGGGTATGCCTGCCTCTGTAATGCAAATAGCCAAAACTATAAATGGATTGCTAAATAGTAACATTACAATTCCAAACGGAAAAACAACGAGCCATTTCAAAAATGAGCTAAATGTGTCGATTTAGTTATCAAAAAGCAGTGACGAGCCGTGGAAATGATTAGATTTATCAGAAATAAAATCCAGTGACGTTTGTAATGTAACCCAAACAACTGATTCATCCTCATTAAAAAATAGCCCCAAAAAGCAAAACAACTTGAAAAGTAAAGAAACAAACATTCAATCATTATTGATTCAACACTAGAGTAAATCAAAGTTCCCGCTGGCATTACACATTTTATCAACCACGTTTCAAAAAGAAACCAGTGCATGATAAAAATGGTTGAATCAGGCTGGAATAGATACCAAAAGTGAAACCAACACGAATAGTGGCTCAGTCGTGCCATGTAGCACCAGTGGCCAGTCCAATAAATGCAAACTTGTCAGTAGTGTCTTCAATCTGCAGTGTTTAAAGCCAAATAGAGTAATGGGTTAACATTATTTCACTTTAAAGCAGTCATATCAAGCTTACAGATTCGCCAACTTACAAATTGCTGAGTGGATTTCCCAGCACCGTGTCCAGCCTTGACCTCGACTCGCTCAATGAGTGGCTTAACATTGTCTTTAAGCGTATGCTGCAGCTCAGCAATAAACTTGTGAGAGTGAAGTGGAACACTGATTGTTTGAGAGCAGTAGATTCAACAAAAGTTGAATACAAATATTTGAAAAATATAGTATCAGTAGCTCATTTTTGACTATTTAAACTCGAGAGGAACAACTTACACCCTATCATCGTGATCACCAGTCATGATCAAAACAGCTGGATACTGCTTTTCTTTTTGAATGTTATGCAGTGGGGAGTACCTATGTTTATAGTTCAAACGGCAGTAGAGATAGTAAAGTAGATTGGTAAGAATGCTAGCAATATATATATATCGTGGATTTGCCAATAAAGATCTAAACTTACTTTTTCATAACAGCAAAGTCTTCAGCATTGTCAGGGTTGCCATAATCAGAAGTCCAAGCAGCACCAATTGTGAATTTATGGAATCGGTAGATATCCATAACACCGACTTGGGCTACAGCAGCACCAAACAGCTCGGGAGCCTGATTGATGCATGCACCAACCAACAGACCACCATTTGAGCCACCATTGATGGCAATTTTTTCAGATCGGCAGTAGTTGTTGGCAATAAGCCATTTGGCAGCCCATTGAAAGTCATCAAACACGTTTTGTTTCTTGGCACGGCGACCTTGATCGTACCACTTTTCTTGGCCGTATTCACCTCCACCACGAATGTTGGCGATAGCAACCACTCCACGCAAGTGCTGAACATAGGTCAGCCACGAGACAGAAAAGGATGGGGTAATGGAAATGTTGAAGCCGCCATAACCATAAAGAACAGTTGAATTACTGCCATCCAGTTTGGTGTCTTTATGAGAAATGATGTACATGGGAATTTTGGTACCATCTTTGCTTTCATAAAAGACTTGAATAGTTTGAAGATCACTGGTGCAAAGTCTAAATAGCAAATAAATTTGTGTTGGTAATCCATCGTAATTGAACACAAACCATCAAAAATGAAAACAAAATCCGTCTTACCCATTGACAATAGTCTCTCGAAACACAGACTGAGAATTGGTTTTGAAATCGTAGCGGTAAGTTGTACCAGGAGTCAAAAATGACGAAAACATGTAGAATATTTCCGAATCCTTTCTGCGTCCCTGCATAGCATTGATAATGGATCCTTCAGGTAAAGGAAGCTTAGTAGGACTAAGAAGACCACCAGTGTAAAGATCATGCACAAATGCAATATGCTTCACATCTGCTAGATACGTCACAATGAGTTTGTTATTGTCTGCAACTTCAATTGTAGAAATGACATTTTCAGTTTCTGGAACAACCTCGACAAGAGTCTAGAATTGATTATATTGAAAGAGTTGGTTGAAAAGTAATACACATCACGAATGATTGCAAGACTACAAAACGCCCGACATACCTTGTCAGTGCAAGTAACATCAACTTTAACAATACGATGTTTAGGCGAGTTTTTCGTAGTGGAAAACCAAAAGATTGGACCATCGTTGGTAACACTAGAAATGGAGTGGATAGGAATTTCAGGAATATATTTTTACGATACAGATTTAAAAAGATAAAACACTTACTAACGATACGATGCATCGAATGTACTGGATTAAAATGCAGATTAGTATCAATTCCAATTCATAGTTTATAAAATTAAAATAGGAAACTCACGTAAATACAGGAGAGAATACAGGCTTGTTGGAAGCAGACACTTCACCCTTGAGTTCATGAATATGAATAGCATTTTCAGGATTGCACCCATCGACAGTATGCAAGATTAAGAATTTTCCATCATCGGAAACTGTTACCGAACCCATGCGATCAGGATGGCTGGGATCCGTGTAAATCATCACATCGTCATCTTGACACGATCCTATCTTGTGATAGTAAGTGGAAGGACACTTGTTAGCATTGGTCTCCGTGCCTTTCTTGCCTGAATCCAGCGTGTCGGGTTTGACATATCTGCTGTAAAAGTAACCCAAATCATCATGAGTCCATGAGATGGACGTAAACTTTGCCCATTCGATAGGCTTGGGTTCGAAATCCGTAGTGACTCCATCTTGAGTTTCTCTCACATGAATGTTGACCCAGTCAGAACCACTGGCAGACAGAGCATAAGCAAAGTACTTTCCACTCTCAGAAAAGGCAAACGTATTGATAGAACTGATTGTAGTGTATGATTAGCATCTCATTCAACATCCAACAGTCTAGTCATCACTTACACAGTACCATCGACAGACAGAGTGTTTGGATCAAAAAACACTTTACGTTGAGCATCAGGACTCAACGAGTTCTGCTTGTAGAGAACTGACTGAGGCTGCAGTCCAGTGTTGTGAAAGTAATAGTAAGCGTCGCCCCTATGCATAGGACATCCGACCTTTTCGTAGTTGTAAAGCGCTGTCATACGATCTTTGAACTTGGATCGATAATCGCATTGACTCAGAAACTGTTCTGCGACTGCATTCTGTGCATTCACAAAGGTTTCGGTTTCTACAGAGTTTGGATCTTCTAACCAACGATAAGGATCCTATTAACAATAATATGTTGATCATGACAGTAATACACATTAATCATTTTAATACAATAACAGCAATATCACAACAACAATCACTTACAGCAACAATAGTTCCATGTAGATTGTCTTGGATAGAATCGTCACGACGAGCAGCTGGATAAGAGTATGCAGACATGGATCGAGTAGTAAAGATGGTTTTACTGCCGTATTCACGCAAAATGAAACACTTTTGAATCCATCTTGCTGCCATTTCCCTTATTTTGCTTTGAAATATTCAATTATTTCTATTCAACTTCACTTCTTGAATAAGCACAATGTTCATCTTATAAACTCTTGTATTCTAAAATCATACATTCGCGTTCTAGTTCACATCTCAAATATGCAACAGTTTCCTTGTTCATCGTTAAAGATTCATCAACTCAAAAAGATTCAAAAAACACTATTGTTTAGTAAATAAGATAGAATTCATCATTCCATAATACTGTGTGTTTTATACCCTTGCTCAGTATCTTGTTTTACGTGAATACAGCTGATACAACATGAGTTTGTTTGCAACATAATCTTGATTATTATATTATGCATACACTCAATGAACACTATTCTCGTCAAACATAATGATTTCATTTGCAGAAATGCTCAAATGATCAGAAACTGATCATTGTTTCTAATGAACATCATCCATTTGGAACATTCATTCAGATCCAAGTCGATTGCCTGCTCCCCAAGTATACCCACGCGTCGATCCAGAACTGGTAGTGTGAGCAGTGGTTCTACCTGCATTTCCCATGTTGGGAATATTCCCTGTTGTTCCCATCACATTCGGTGGTGGACCAAACCAATTTGATATAAATCCTGGTGCTACTAATAGTCTGTTTCCGCCACTTTGTTGTGGATACACCACATCCAGAAAGTAATACAAATGTCCAACTGCTATTCCAATAAGCGACATAAAATAGCCTCCTCCCATCAACATATTCTATAATCAGAGTTTAATCCATTGTTAGTGTCCAGTGTTGTAATGTTTGCGTGAATCTATTTCCACTTACAAAAACAATCAAGACCCAAGGAAGAAACTTGGCTTTGAATTGCATTCCAAACATAAATGTTACAATGGCATCACCCTTGGACATGGCATACATGTATGTTACTGCCATGCCAAACGACTCTGTTAATATAGGAAACTCGAAAAAGTATGAAATCACCTTGAAAATAATAGAGTTTAGATTAGCACAAACTCATTTGGATCTATAGAATCAAAGCAATACACACATCCAAGACACCCATGACAAACAAGACAAATGTAGCATAGTCTGCAGGCCGACTTGCAAAATGATCGTTTTCCAAACTAAGCGAGTTTTGATACAGCATAAATAAATGCCAGATCATTGCTTGTCCGCTACAATAGAAATGTGCAGTAAATAGCCTCCAAACCTAATAAAAGAATCCATGTCAACGTATACTCTACAATGCAAGCAGATATTCACGATTTGATTTCATGACAAAAACCTATAAAGCAATCCAACATCGCATAGGGATGAAATCAATGAAATGGATTAAAATCATGAATACCTCGAAACGACGAAAAACAGTATAATAATCCAATAGCAGTTGATCTGGCTTGCACAGTCCAGCCATGGCACCCAATGAAAAGCAAAAAGTGCAAAACACAAGATAACGAGTGACTGTTGGAATAGAATAAACAAAACTACGCAAGTCTTCCAACAAGCCAGGCATAGGAGCACCTCGATGTTGGTCAGCCATGATGTTGATTACAAGATTAAAAATGACAGAAATTCAAACTTGAATTTTTGGCCATAAATTTGGCCAAAAATACAAAATCAATTGCTTGAACATTCATTCAACTCGATTCCTTGACATAATATTTGACACTTTATTCGTGCTGTAGATTCAGATTCAACTCAATTTCATTTGTCATTCAGAATGGGTTCTGATTCAACAACTGGCTCGAATAATAAGCAACATCGAGTTAAAAACAACTCGACTCCAGCTGCTAGCAGGCAAAAACTATTTCATGGATTTTGTGTGGATTCTTGTCAACAATTCATTGCTAACGCAAACTATTGTTTTTTAGTCGTGCTTCAAGCGCATTGAATTCAAATCAAAGTGCTGGATTTTCTGTACGAACGCCTGAAGTTGACGGAGCTCCACGTCTTGCATTTGGTCAACAGAGACTCGCTAATGCCAATGTGGTTGCTGGAAATTCTCTTTATCAAATAGATTCATACTCTTCTGCATTGCATAGCGATCTTAAAGTTATTTTAAAAAAACTCACTAAACGAGACTCGACTACTCGGATTCGTGCTCTGGATGAATGCACTGCATTTGTTGGATCTCATTCCATTGATGATGTTAAACCCTTTTTACACTCATGGGTACGCTATGTTTCAAAAACTCTATTCATCTAAACCATCTTTGACTCACTGTCAATCTTGTATCATTCTTAGCCAAATCTATACGATAAATTGGCATTGGATGCCGACAGGAGAGTGCGCGAAGCAACTGCAAGGCTGTTTTTAGCATTGGTTAAATTGCTCAATAAGCATCTGGCACCCATCTTGAAAAAAATCATTGGTCCATGGTTGATTGCTCAAACAGATTCTAGTAAAGATGTAATGAATCTGTCAAAAGATGCATTCGAGGTATGTGTCAAACTTGTCCGTTTCTCAAACTGGTTATTTACAGAAATGCAATGTTATACTAACATCATCCACTATATTTTAGACAACATTTCCCAATAAACTGGAAAGTGTGCTTCACCATTGTCAGGCTTGCTTGCTTGCTTATGTTCGTTTCAATATTTTAGAGCAGACCCCTGAAGCCATGAGTGATTCTCGATACACTACACCAGAAGATATGGTTTCCAAACATGTCCGTGTCGTGTCTGGCTCGTTTTACATTTTGGCAACGCTAATTGGTACGGTTTCCTGCTACTCATTAGACATGATTTCATAGTGCATTTCTTCAAAATCCCACTGCTTTAGCTTTGGCTCATCTATTTATTTGCAGTCATTACAAAAGAATGATTCATGTATGCTTACATTGCGTAATTTACTTTATCTATAGCCACGCTTTCAAACGATAAACGATCTGTTGCAGAAATCGAATACAACTCCCTTTTTGATCATCCAAAACTATGGAATTGCTCAAGTCATGATGAACCCAATATTCGTTTTTCTTGCTATCAATTTATCCACGCCTGTCTTGAAACATCACCAGGTAATGCATCGGTTTATCACTTCACGATACTTGTACACATCTATGTATTATTTTGACATGCTACAACTGTCATTTGAGCAACTTTAGAAATCATCGAAAGTCGTCTAGACCTGGTTTCAACAACATTTTTGGCAAAGGCATTTTCTGAAAAAGTGCCATGGAATCATACTCAACTTTGGGATACTCTCATCAAACTTTTACAAAAATTCCCTATTACTTGGAAACTTGCATCTTCTAAAAAACCACTTGCAGATAAGCTTTTTGTATTTTTGAAAAATGGCGCATATGGTGGTGTCGCTCCAACCTATCCTTGTCTTGTTACTCTTGTTCAATGCATTCCTGAATCTGTGAGTCATTTTGGTTCTGTTTTTTCCAAATTGCTGTCATTTGCGTTGTATGATTAAACTGGACTTCAATCTTAACAAACTGCTGCTGTATGGTCATATTATTGATAGATTTTGGCAGAAAATGCATATGAATTTTTCTCTCACTTTTTTGACTCGTTCTGGAAAGGTCTTGGCAAAGTGAACCAATCTTTTTCTGCCACTTTAATTTCAAGCTATCTGGATTGCTTAACAAGCGTGTTGACCAGGTAAATTTTACTGCAAGCTATTTCCACAGCATTATCCACATTTTTGCATTTAAATAAGATCGACTGATTTGTGCATCTCATACATCATTGCATGATTATTTTATAGATCCAAACGGATTCCTTTTGATAACGCACTGGATCTTATAGCTAATGCTGGATTCCAACCCATTACACATCTTTTTTTCCCTGGAAGATTTCCTGAAACCAGGCACAAGTTCAAGCCAGAAGAAGTGGAACCTATTGTCGCTTCATTTATTGTCAAAATCTGGACAAAAAATGGCATTTCACAATCTGAGCGTATTTGTTTTAAAAGCAAGTTTATGGATCTGGTAGTATCTGGGTTTTGTATTGATGATGGCGCTACCAATCTCGATTTGGAGACTGAAAGTACAGCTATGCGCACACCAACAAAAGCAGATCAAGACCATGATGTTTTCTTTAGTCGCTTGGTTTCATTTCTGGTTACTGTAAACACTCTATCGCGATCTGAAAAAGAGCTTGACACTACTGCTTTTCATGCATTGTTTGATACAATTGTTCACAGCGTTACAGAGCACACTCTTAAATATCTCACCAAAGATGCAAGCTCTTTCAGCTATAATGCTTTTTTGGCTAAATTGGTTTCATCCTTTTCAAGTGTGCTACTTTCAGATGGGTCGGCATCTTCTGGTCAAATTTTCAAATACATGAATTCAAATGCGGTTGCAATGATAACTTCTAATCCGAGCTCTGAAAGTGTTTTATCTATACTAGCTACTGCAACGCATTTACTCGAGTTTTATGCTACTTCCAAAACTGAATCTTTTCAAGAAGAAATCCAAAACATGTGGGATCAGTTCATGAATGCCATATTTACGGTTTTTGATTTAAAACTAAGGTTTAAGTTGCTCCACGCACTTTGTATTAAAGTAGGTTTTTGACACGTTTGCGTCATTGTATGTATTGGCATTTCAAACCGCTACCTATTCTAATCAATTGACGAAAATGATTCAGGTAGGAAACTCTGGACTGTCTAAAAAAATTGAAACAACATGCAAAAATTTGGATGATCTTGTCGTGCTTACCGTCAGTGAAGGAAACCCGTGTCGATCACCGTATGCCGCAGAATTGGTGGCCTCGTTTCTAAAAGTTTCCCCCGAATGCAGCATTCTTTCTGACAACTCCATTCAAACCGTTATAAAGACCATCAAGAAAACGATTTTAACTTGCTCACTTTTGTATTTGACTGTCGCTGACAAGAATGCACATTCTGTTTCATCTCAGTCAATGTACCAATTATTGTTTTCGATAAAAGTACTAAATAGCGTTGTATCTCCGCTACCGATACTAAAGCGTCAGACTGCGCAACACTATTTTGCTCTTGTGTCTCCGGTTGTCATGGCTATCTTGGATATAGGCATCTTTCATCCATCCACTATTGCCAAATTTGTATGGACACCTCAACTTGATGCCGACATGGACGAATCCACTCTCATCAACAACATTATTGAAACGGCGAAAGCATCATGGGAGGGAATCATGTCGATTGTAACGTACACGGGAGGTCAGATGCTACGTACTGCATTAAAATTGTGGATGCAACGATGGCTCAAATCCTTTTCTGATCCTTTCCATTGCGGCAGTCCGGCTGATTTTATTTTTGAAATCAAAACGCTTTTGGGTTTATTGAGCGGAAAGGAGTTGATGTCAGTTCGATTATGGACTATTGAATACGCGCTACAGTCACAAAGCAAGTGGATTGAAGCAAGTTTGCCATTTTCTATTATTGATGATCGTCTTGCTATTTGTGATGCAATGTATCATACTGTAGCTGTGACCAAGGAACTCACGTCTGATGATACAAGCATGACAACAGAGAAAACCGCAAAGGATTCTGTGCTCTATGATCACGATGGATTATGTCAATATGCAAAAATGATTCTTTTTTTGATTGGTCTAATCAAGGACAACATGATTGAATCCACAACCGATTCCGCATGGCTGTGGATAGAACTGGTTCGATTTTCGATCATCAGTGATGATCAATTCCGCTTGATGGGTGCGTACCAAGGTCCAAAGTTGTGGAGTACAGAGTGTGCAATTTCGCCTAACCATCTTACACACGAGATCCGCACACTTCTTTCCAATGAAATCAAGCAATCTCAGATGGTGCTGGCCGAGCAAGCAGAGGAAATAGAATGCTTATTATCGTCATCGCTCCACACCTATGATACATCGATGCTGCTTGTTGCTTCTATACACTGTACTTTTGAAAACAAGACAAATACTTTGGTGTCGCCGATAGTTCGATTTGGCTACGCTAGAGTGTTTCAAGAAATGTGTCGTTTGGCTTTTTCCAAATACTTGACAGAGCCTGACGAGTATTCTGTTTGGGTAAACATTCTAAAAACCCTTTTAAAAAGTCCAAAATATTTCCAATGTGCAATAGCTTTAGGTACTGCTTTACGATCGTCACTACAGTCTACCAAGTTTTTCAAAAAAATTGTCAAGGAGATTATGGATGCTATTTGCAAATTTGATGGGCGTGCAGTGACGGATGCAAACTGTCGCGATCAAGTATACTGTTTAATCGTGTCTTTGAATGTATTGGCTGTGTCGCATGCGGTTGAAAGTCAAAAGTCAGATGTGATTACAGTAGCGTCTGCAGAAAAAATGCTGAGAACGATTCGAACTTGGTTGAATACAAATATTCCATCTGCTCAAGATATTCTAAAAGCCAGGTCTGCATCTACCAGTTTGGATAATTCGATTTCCGCTAGTCATCAGACCCATACCATTCCTCAAAACAGTCGATTGGATACTTGCATTCAAAACCACTTTTATGCGGTGGTAACTAAACTGCAGCTTATTTTAATTGAAGTTGGTTCACCGGGTATTGTGATGACCAAGTTTCTAGTTGATATGGTACACCACCGACTCGAGGAACTTGCTGGGTATGCATTATCGGACGAATTTCTTACCTTTTCCGATTGTGTTTTGCTGCATTCTACTCTACTGTTATGGCACAGAATACGCGATATTGCCTCATCAACCGATATCGAATGGATGGAGATGGTAGATATTGAGCTGTCAATTTCGCGTACTTGTTTGAAACTTCTTATTGCAATAAGTGAAAAAAGCAGTCAAGCAGAAAAAGAAGTGGATAGTGAGTTGTCTAGTCCAATGACAGAGATTCAACATTTACTTTGCGAGCTTATTAGCGACTTGGAATATGGAAAAGAATATACAATTTCCGTGATTCACCCTGACTCGATTTACCGAATGATGTTTGCACAAGACACACTTGTACAGTGCTTGGCTTGGCGTATGATGCATCAGTATACAATCCAAACTGTATATGCACGATCTGTGTTGATAGAAATGGGCACGTTGAAGCTTGCATTACAGAACTCTGAAACTACTGAAGATGGAGAATCACATTCCAAGGTTGACGACGAAATGTATGGAGATCAGCTTTCATCTCTACTTGTTGCTGGATTATTGAAAAATGTCAATGCTACTCTGCACTCTCACGTCTCGTTTGGATACTTGATTTCATGGATCATTGCGTTTGAAAATTTTGAAAATGCGGTAAGTTTTGTTTAATTTAAAGATATTGTCTGATTTTATCTTGTATCGATTGTTTTAAAGTGGCAATGGTAGTTTATGTTTAACATCAATGATTGTGTATGCATTGTGTAGACGTTTCAATTGAAACTCGGATACATGAACCAACTTCGAAGCCTAGATGTTGTTCCCAAGCTGCTTGAATATTGTTTTTATGTGTTGGGCGTGGGTGTATCTGGAGTGATGCCCTTTGATCTTACAGCATGGGATTTCCAATCTTATGAAATTGAAGGATTCGAATTGAATTCAGAAAACAGTTTGCAACTGCTTTGTGCTCATGTATATTGGCGTGCAATTCATACCGTGCCTTCTTTGGTTCGTATCTGGTGGCTAGAATGCAATAATCGACAGCTGTCGTTGGGTGTTGAAAGGTATGATACTTTACAATTTACTAAAGTTGTGTGTGGAATAACAGCTGTTTATTCCATGATATAAGACGGATAGAGAATGTTATGCACTAAACATGAATTTTACATTATGATTTAAGCTTTACAGAAAGGTACTATAGTCCCAAGATTGTTGAAATGGAGCTTAAATCGGCAGAAACATATGATACTCGGGACACGGAAGCACTTGGTATTCGTGTTTCAATGTGGTCGTGTGAAGTCACAGCTTCGTACACCATTGAAGATGCTGTTTTAGAGCTTGTGATTCAATTACCAAGTTCATACCCTTTGCGACTAGCACAGGTTGGAAGCGGCAAAGGAGGAGGTAGAGCAGCAGGAATCAATGAAGCACGATGGCGTGCATGGGTATTGAGTGTTTCGGCGGTCATGGCATCACAGAATGGAAGCATTATTGATGCACTAACAGTATTTAACAAGAATATTTCTATGCATTTTAAAGGCATTGAAGATTGTGCAATCTGTAAGTGAAATTTGTAATGGATTTGGATGACATTCATTGTCATGCTAGTTTTAAACATATTCTGAATCTGCATTACTACGATTAGGTTACTCTGTTGTCAGTGCAATTGATCGAGCATTGCCGAATAAGCAGTGCAAAACGTGCAAAAACCAATTCCATGGATCGTGTCTATACAAGGTACGTATTGAATCTATTTATTTTTCATACTATTAAACTAATTGAGCCATTTATGTTTAAACTGGAATCAGTGGTTTAAATCTTCTGGACAAAACACATGTCCACTGTGTCGCCAGCCTTTTTAAAGAAAATCAACAGTTGATTTTCATGCGATTCTACTGTGATTCTGACTAGATTTAAGCAATAAAATAGCTTTCATGAACAGTTTTGTAAAGTTAGAAACACGTGATCGTCAATGTCAAAATGATTGAATCAAATTCATCGTTTTGTTGACCATTTCCGACAATGTCAAAAGTAATGCGAAGCATCCTCAAGACCGGCGAGACTGGTGAGTTGGATAGGTTGCTATGGAGTGTTTTACTGGACTGATGTGTTCTGCTTCTGTTTTTACAGCCATCCGCACCAAGGAGTATCAGAATCGTCTTTTCTGGGAGGTGAGAACTTGTTTAAACGCTCACTTTTGGAGTCTTGATAGTTGTATGATTTCATCAATGACCTGACAGTACAAGTATGACTTGGCTGTCATGAGTAGCCGAGTCAAATCTTTAATTGTACAATTCGTCTGATTCATTTAAGAAACCATTGCTTGTTGAGTTGAATGGCTTTTGTAACTGACCTCATCTACTTGTTTAATGTTATCTAGAAGGACTCTCATATTCCAACCCATGGACGTGGAAAGAATGATGGTTTCATGTATGCCACTGCTCTGGCTTTGACTGCTGGTAGTGTTGGCATTTCTGTCAAATGCATCTACGATTTCCTTCACGTATGTGTTTTCTTGCTCATGATCTGGCAATGTGGCTTTCATCAATGTGTATAACCTGGAGTCTTTGTATTTACATCATTTCATATTATGGCTTGAACATCTTTATTTTGTACACACCATGCACTACTAGGCAAAATAAACGAGATACAAAGTTGTATTAGGGTTCACTTTTCTGTTTTTTGGTCTTTTTAGACTTTTTGGGTGGGTCATCTAGGTTAAGATCTGCTTGTGATCGTTTGAGCTTGGACGAGTGTGCCGTCTTGGACTTTTTTTTATCGTCCTGCCTATCTGCTTTGCTCCGTTTAGATTTAGATTTTTTACTACTTGTAGTGATAGTGTCGGTGGGTTCTTTTATCAGATCTATACTTTTACAGCCATTAGATGCGTCTTGGTTTTGTTTCTCCAACTCTGTAGTAAGGGTATTGTGTTGCACTTGGGGTTTTTCTGGCTGGTAGATCCGAGCACCTTTTCGTGCTGTTCTACCCTCGCATGCAAGCAACAAATCCTTGTCTGATACCTTGATTGAATAGTCTTTGTCAAGATCACTTTTTTCAGACTTGTTCTCACTGTATACGATGGATCATTATGGTTAGAATGTCTAATCACTCCATTGAACATCAAATCAATAAAGTGTATCTCGACCTTTTTACAAATGAGCCGTAAAGAAGTTTCTTTTCTTCTTGTCGCTGTTCGGCCTGAGATGCTTTTTGGACTGTTACCTCACCTTCATCGGAATTGATTTGAATCGATGCAGATGTTTTGTTGAATACATGATCCCTGATAAAAATAGAATTAGAAACCAAATGTGATTCAGATTAAAAATGTAGTTTAGGCTTACCACCAAGCGAATCCCCATTCACCAGATTTTGCACCAAGCTGATTTAAATGAAACATTGTTAGTATAAAACTTCAAAGATGGCAATGAAATGAGTAATCTCAAACTACATACACCATCTGTGTCGTTTTTTACACCGAGGGATATAGCTTTAGTGAGACCAGCTTTATAGTCGATGGGTTGTTGTAGGATTGAGTTTGATATGGCAAGTGTTGAAATAAGTTTTTTGTAAGTTTCCAGATTGATGTTGAAAATCATTTCAAATGGATAGATTCAGTCCAGTTTAGAAAGGTTGGTGTTAGTATATTGGCTCTCAGTCCAGCAAATTATAAATGATTTATCAGCAATTGATATCCACGACTATGTTGGGATGGACTGTAGGAACCATTGCGAGCCATTCACTTGCCTCCATTCGTTCCCAATGCCTGGCCTTGTTCCCAGCCATATTTCTTCAACTGTTTTTCAGCAAACGATACCATTCGATAGCGTTATGGTTTAAAAATAAATGGTCAAGTTTCAAGAATCCGTTTTGGAGTTGAACCTGCCAAATTTTACAGTCGTATTCACGCAAAACATTAAATAAGGGTGCAGTGCATAAAAGCAGTCATTTCATGGAATGATTCTCATCATTGTGTCATGAACTGTTTGATTTAGTAGTTTTTCTTGTGATGACAAATATAAAAGCAGTTGTATTCCTGAAATGATTTCTTGAACTAGAGCGTATCTGTGATTTTGGAATACAACAGAGGATATAAAAACAATCAATTTCTAACAAATATTTAACCTGTTTATTCCAAGATACTGCAAGATAAAGTATTTCATTTTACGTGGAGATGGCTTTAATTAAAATAATGATTGGTGGATAACAAGCCAACATTTAACCACTTGTAAAAATCCAATTCTCAAATTGGTTGGGTATGAATGCCCATCAAACGTATCCTGGCAATAATTCAAGTGATGACCACAATAGGGTTTGAGTGGTGAGGTGAAGGAACATGCAGAAAAGTTCCACTATGTCTGCGATTAGTCAAATCAACCGAATCGACATCTGAATGGGTATATGCACTACAGCGATCATCGTCGATGGAAGCAGTATTGCGGTAATTGAGAGTTGTACCGTTTATACTTGTTGAAATATTATGGGAATTTATACCCACAAGAGATGAACCCAACTCAGATCCATCACCACCCAACATGGCACCAGGTATTCCCATGACTGGATTGTAATGATGCCGTTTTTCTCGTTTGTATCGAACAACATAATTAAGCATAAGAAGAAACATGGATAATGCGGCCAAGCCAATGTTCCAAAAGTAACCTGCAATATCCAATGTGCATCCGACAGGAGGAGAACCCGGTTGAGAGCTGCGAATGGCAGGCAATGAAAACAATAAAGAAGCAATAACAGCAATCGTTGGTGGTTCAACTTTGCGGTTTCTAAACCATAATGTTGCAGCTAGAATGAATGCAGTGATGGATAAAATCCACATGATCGTGAATACCAACTGTTGATATGAAATGAGTTGAACGAATGCAAATAAAAGTTTAAATAGTTTGACAATTATGGAGTACATACGAGCGAGAAGAAGCGGGACGTCCAAGATCGATAAAAAGTGGCGAGAACTTTCAGCGTAGGGCTGACATCAGAATTGAACGATGCATCAGCTTGCCAGCTATTTGTGCTAGCCATGGTAGCCAAATAGATTGGAATTGGAGTTCTAATCAAAATTTTAGTAATTTACTCCTCAATACAACACATAATAACGATTTAATACTGACTGAACTCCCGTGGTAGAATTAACGAAACTTGCAGAAACCACATAGGAAATATTGTAAGTATCAAAAGGATAACGATTAATGTTTCCCGAGTCTATATTAAGCATTGCATCTTGTTTCCGGATGTACAGATTAGTGGGAAAGACAATGACTTGAGTATCAAACACGACAGTGATTATGGTACTTGGACGATACAAATCCCCAGATGTTGAACCCATCAAACGCCCACAAGGAATAACCGATAATCGAAGCTATTGAGAATATCAGTTTAGTAGAAATCAGCAGAACAAACGACACAACAGAAATACCTTGTAATTGAAGGATACTAAATCCAGATTAATAATAGTAGCAAATACAGCGATACCATTGAAATCAATCAAGTCCGTGACTGGGTTGTAATTACGCTGAGCATTGTCAGGATCTAGCATTAAAGACGAAATATTATCAGAATGCCAAGCCAGTAAAGGAACACAGACAGACAGCAGAATGGTTCCGCATGCAGCAAGTATCAGTTGGATGCGAGTGCGTCTTTTTACCCGACTCCAAGGTCGAAACAAAAACATGTCGATGATTAAGAGTTGACTTGTTGCAGCAAATTGATTACAACAATCATTGAGCCATTAATACTATCGAAAACTCAGAAATATCATCAGATTTACTATCAGAAATATCATCAGATTTATTATCAGAAATCATATGGCCAGATCCACTAATACTATCACACATTCAGAATCAGATTGGGAATCCTCTCATGAAAGTGAGGACTTGAGCTCAGACCATGCCAGTCTGATAGAACCATCCACAGAAACCATCTTATCTGGTGTATCCAAAGCCAGTGCTTCATCCTCAAATAAACTTAATCATACATTATCTACTTGCAAAACCCTTCGTTCTAATGCTAGTCATCCGGATTCTATTGATTCTAATATTCAAACCATCTCATCAACTCATCTTAGTCCATCCTGTCCTGAACCACTTGATCATCAGAAAACTGCTTTACATACTCGAATTCATCAGATATTACTTGATGCAGTTCATGCTTCAGTCACTAGAGACTTTCATCACAAGATACCGTCCAGTTTCCTTGCAGCTAAACAGAATCCTGATTTGATTGATGGAGTCGATATTAAAATCATTGATATTACATTGGATAAAGGTCGTTTATATTGTCCTATTCATGGCTGCAATCGTCACTTCAAGCAGTTTGAAGGCATGAAATATCATATATCAACCTTTGAGCATGATATACCAAGTTTCATCAAATGTTATGCTGCTGGTGCTACTGCTGGAAAAAGATTTATCTCGCTCGAAGCCAACATTGCAGATTCTTCAACATCCAAAGCCATGCATGAATCTGTTGCCTTGGTTGATTCCGATTTAGCTCATAGAACAGCACATATGACAGAAATCGATCAGATTTTAAATTCATCGGATTGGAATGTGGATCCTAATTCTCCTCCTATTATCCTTGGTCACTACAGTTGGCTCAACCTTGCTTCCCGTGTTACTCCACCTCTGCCAATTATTTTCTCGTCAAAAATATCTGCTCCTAAACGTACAGAAGTCCCTCTCAATCGTCTAGCAAGCATAGATGAACTTTATATAAACAGTCTCAATGGCAACCACCACAAATTGCATAAAATGGATATATTACCATCAAAAAAGCTCATTGGTATCCTTTCTATCGCAGAAGCAATTGTTGATCAAGATCTTGTTTCTGTGTCCAATTTTAAACCCCCTTTTGATTTAGTACTGCCAAAGTATGTGTTGATCTCGTATTATCGTGTTTATGAACTACTAATGCATGATCTAATCCCAATTTTTACTGCAATGCTTTATCATACCTATTAGAGATGTAAAATCCTATTTTGCAAAACAAAATGATCTTGAAGTAACCATTAAATCTGGACCATCCAATACAAAACATTCTATACCGCATATGACATCGGTATACTCTGGTATATATATTCAATTCACATATCATATTTTCGAGTCAATTTTTATTCAACGCTATCCATTCAACATCAGTTTTGATTGAATTACCAACACCTATTCATCTATGGTAATTAAACTATTTAGATTCTGGTTCCCGAAAACGAATGATTTTGAATGTTGGATGTTCCGTGTGGGGGCTAGAATGGTGTCCTGGAATACCTCGATCTCATAGTATGTTACTTGCTTTTAACTGATTGTATTTTTATTCCCTAGATAAAATATACGCACTATCATATAGTCTAACATGTGCATGCATTATTTAATTGATTGCTTTTCAGAATGTCAGTATTTGGCAGTGGCTGGATATCGTGAATTTAATGACAATCATGTGTTAAACGAACGGCACACAGTTGAGCAGCATGGCGAAACTTCCATGAGTGGTGCAATTCAAATCTGGAGTGTTCCTGCGTTTCCTTCAGAGAAAAACATACCAAAATTAGAATTGATTATTCTTCATAAGCGTGGGCATGTTTTACATTTAAATTGGTGCACGCCTGCTTTGTTTGTTTCTCCCAAACAAAATGTAATTCAATATTTTAAAATATGTTTAAATACTATACTAGAAACTATAGCCTGCGTGAAAATATTATAGTCTGCTAATTCTATTTTGAAAATGTGTTGATTAGTCTACTGGACAAATGGGCGTTCTTGCAGCGTGTTTTGGAGATGGATCGGCTGCTGCATTTTCAGTTCCACTTCCTGACTCATTTAGAGCTTGTCTATCCAAACAAGAGCAGACTGCGTATGAAACCCATCCCATAAGCTGTACGTTTTCTGATAAAAATACCAGATTCATTTTATTGCATTGTTTGGATTTTTGCCAGTTTCCCTTTGAAGATTAACAGAATGCAATCTACTCACTGTATTTTAGATGCTATTCACAAGAATAAGCTGGGACATAGTGGCTTGATACTAGACATGTCTTGTCCAGATATGCTTTTTTGGCGTGTCGCTTGGGGATCACAACACATTCTTGCTGTAGGATCACAAGAAGGTATGTTTTAATGCTTTATATATACTATACTTTATTTAGGTAGCGATATTTGATTTATAATTTGGTCTCGTACTACTTTTTAATTTATTATCCACTGTTATTTGTTTATGTAATTAAACTTTAGGTCGAGTGTTGATAGTAAATACAAAAACAGCAATTAAATCTGCAGACTTTGACATTGATCGAGGTAGTGATACGCTGGCAGTGTTAATGATTCAAATCAATGTTTTGATTAAACTTGTTTTTAATACTTACTTTACTTTTGACTATGTGTAGATGTTATTGTTGGTTTTCAAGCTCATGACTCTGCAGTTCGACATATGAGTTGGTGTATACTAGATAAGCAACCAGTACGCCACTTGATTTCCGCTGGACTTGATGGGAGAATTTCATATCGAGACATTTTAGATCCTTGGGCTCGTGTAGATATTTCAAGATTTAGAAGCAAGTAGAGTTTTGCAATATTGGATTATTCGTAGAATTATATACTAATGGTGGGTATACTTTGTGGGGTGTAATAGTTCCTTTTGCTGCTGTGACATGGATGAGTGCATATGACTCCATCATACTATCAGACACAGAGTATTACGTTCGAATCATGAGTTTGACACCAGATACTAAAGAAGAGCTGGATTTACCTAAAAGACATGCCAAACAACTGGCCTCTCATAATGCAACTATTTGGGTATGTGCTTGCTTCATGGTTTTCATTTGTAAATTTTATAATAGAATATTTATTTTCAATACGCCCGACTTTAATCCGATCATGATTTTAGCGAGTAGATGGATCGTTATTTTTTCCATTTGTGGCAAGTGCATCTGCAAATGGAGTTTTTATGCTGGCCTTTACACTAAAGCTAGGTCGAAAACCACGAAAGCCAATTGGAATCTATCGTTTACAATGTGAAGCTGAAAATACACATTCAGTGGTTTTTGATGAGATATGCTTGGAATCGGTAATGTAAATTGGGCGGTTTACATCTCTGTATCAATCTCCCATATGATGGTAGATATCTGACTACTGCGATAACATCACAGCTAATGATTCAGCAAATCATCTTGTTTCATATTTACTAATATTCAATATTTTTACCATTGGTGACGTTTAGTCTTTGTCTGAATCCGTCGAGATTCATCCAATATACAATGGAGTTCAGCAAGTAAGTGTAAACAGTATAAATTACCGTCATACTCATGTAAAATAGAATGCGTGTACAACCAAATTACAATTTTGGACATGCTCCTTCTGTTCATTTGAAACAGTGATGCATTGTACGATCATCAAGTTTGAAACCATATTCATTTATTGTAATCCATATATTGGACTTGATTGTTCAGATATGAGATTTATTTGACTTGCAATGTAAGCATTCATTCAGTCGCTTATACAGAATGAGCACAAAAAATGATTAAACTTTTTCAGAGTTTAGAGGATACAATATTGTTTAGTAAATTTTATCAGTCATTTTATTGAGATTGGCTGTTTATTATACACACTTCTTTTGTGTCTCATTTTACGTGAATATGGCGGTAACTGGTCAATGAGATGGCTAACCAAGTATACTAATTTTTATGACTATTGGTTTTAACTTGTTTAAATAGGTTCACTGGTGTCCAAATTTGTACAATGAGGTACATCATATAGATACAGAGGATGATTCTTTGACATTGATAGACGAAAAAACGTCTATTCAAGCTGCCAAGACACCCAAAGTTGGCACTGGACGAACTGGGAAAAAACCACATGAAAATAAGAAATCTCAAAGTAGTGGGAAGAAACCATCGATTGTGAAATCGTCAGTAAGGTCATCCAAAAAAATATTGGTGGCAATTCCATTGATGGAAAAACAAGCATTGAGCGACCAAAGTGCTGGTACTTCAAATACTAAATCTAAGCGCACTTCAACATCCAGCACAACTTTCTCTCGAGCTCACAGTAAAACTATGGATTTAGTTTCTGACAAAATCGTTGATTCAGCTGATGATTTAAATATTGATACGGCTTTAAATCAAGACATGCAATTGAAGAATATACGGGATACCACCATCGCGACCAACACAAATCCTAATAGACCAAAGAAACCACTGCATTATCTTGAAAATGGCGAATACTGTAGTGCACAATTGATTGCATCAGCTGGAGCTCGTGGCTGGGTTCGCATTGATGCTGTATTTTCTGGCCTTTCCGTAAAATAATATTTGCCTTGTTTAATTAGAAACCCATTTATATTGCGTTTTACTCTCACTCTGCAACATTACAATGCTACTTTGATCATCCATGGCTGATGACAATTGCATTTGCATTTTTGTAATGTTATTTTGGTGTAATAGTTCATTTCAATTAGCAATAAACCTTTTCAAACGACTTTATTTTAACTAGCAAAGCATGTGTTTGGCGATCCGATTTGGATTTTTGTATTTTCCATTCACATGACAATCTATGATTTAAAAAATCTATTATGGATTCAAAAAACATCCAACTCCTGCAAGAATCCAAGGTGCTTTGGCATCTACACATGGGATTGTAAGTGTTGCCACCACCTTTTGTCGCGTGCGATCCATGTATAATGGCACTTGTAATTTTCCTTTTGTTGATACAGATTTCTAATAAACTTATCAATTTAGTGACAAGACTATTTTACATTTGAAAATAATGATTTAAAGTTGTTTTACCTCTGCAACCCAGCCAATGTAACATGTTGGAGCAGTTACAAATATTGGATCGTTGACGTTGGCTTCGAGTAGTCTTTCCCCATCAAAGTTGCATCCTTGTAATAGTAGTCCTTGTACAGCAATCCTGAGTGGACAGTTTTTCAATTCATTTAGATTCCATTCAGATACTAACTGCAACGAATCCATTGGTTGGCGAACTACAAATAAAAATAGCAGCATGGCATAATATTGCACCGTTGTTAAATAAAGCAGTGCGTGTATATATTGGATTTAAAATAAAAGTTTGACTTACGTATTCGAGAAGTCTGCTGGCGTTGTGCATTCAAGAATGTAATTGGGTTAAATAAATTACACAAAACGATAGACTCCTTGATACCTGCACTTGCTGTATCGCGTAAAGTATCCACTGCGATGGCTTTGGATATAACGCTTCGAATATAAACCTGTGCTGACTCTGGACCTTCCCAAAGCTGCATCCATCTGATTTATTAAATTTGTATGCAAAAACAAGTTAGATGCTTTCAATTCAGGATATACTATGGAAAACAAAAAAAATATTTTACCGATCTGGTGTCTCTCCATGCAGCAAATTAGTACCGATTTTATAAATATCATTAGTAAGCAAGATGGTTCCACGAAGAAGCTTTGAAATATTTGACAGATCTGTGTGGATTTGCCGAATCAGTTCCAAAGCGCTTGAAAGTTCCTGAAAATATAAACATTAAATTCATATTAGAATGATGCGTATAATTGCTAATCCGTTTGATTTTTTATGCACGACTTGCCATATTGAAAAATGCTGGAATGGGGTCTGCATCTGATTGAACTGCCAGCTTTTTTTGGAGTAGATTGGTGGATCCGTTCAGCTAATTATATATTTAAAATAATAAATAAATCTACACATGATTAAATATGCTAGCAGTTTACAAATACTCAGTATCATACTTTTTTCCATAGTTGCAACAAAGGCATAAGTTCTTGGGACCATTTATCCTTGTTAAATTTATGCTGCTTAACATCAACATGCCGCTAAAAAATCATACCAATAAAATCAGTTGATATTGTCATTAAAGTACAACTAAAACAGCACTTACTAGCGTTTTAAGTTGCTCAATTACAGCTTGACTTGTAAGTTTTTGAAGAGTGCGATCGATATTTGCAGGAAGTCCAAAAAGTTCAACATTGTCTATTTCTGGAAGCTCCGTAATCAGTTGGTGGTAGGCTGCATACTCATTTGTACGCGGTAAAACTATTCCACAGTTTAATGAATAAAAAGTTAGAATAAGCAAATTTTAAATTCCAAATGATTTAATGAATCGACAAAATTTAAACTTGCCAAAATTCTTGCAAATTTTACGAGTTGGACCTTTCCCGTTGATAGTAAATACATCTATTGCATTGATTAAATATAATGTAAACAGATTCAAATTAGTTTACATTTAATAAAACTGGAAATTGCTAAACCGCTTGATATTAACTTACCATTATAAAATAACTGGTGCAAATATGTATGCAAAATAAGCGCATCATGATGATCATCAATTCGACCGCCGTAAATAGCATCTTGCAACAAACCATGCAATACTGCCCATTGAGGAGACTCTGACGTAGTGCACATGATCTTTACATCAAACAACATGATTACAATAGATCAACTCAATTAGTCTTATTTTAGTAAACAGCCCTTGCTTTACACTGGGTTTAACTTACATCGACAACGTCAGCAGATGATCTCAGATCTGCAGCAGAAAATTCATAAAACTTGTTCCACCCTTGTGGAATATAGTTTCGACGCTCTTGAATAACTGCGTGAAACCATGCCAAAGCAAAAAGTGCTTGTGCTCTAATCAATGTACCACGTTGAATAAACTCGGGAGTCCATCCTTGGTAAATTCGCTGCAGATTTTTCTTGACACCTGCATACATAAAACAGTCAATATACTGAAATTTAGACACACAAGTTTGTAACTCTACGCAATCTCACCTGGCGGAGCCTCTATAGTCACTTTAAGACAATTTTCCAAAAGACTGGCTGGGAATTTTACATGGGATTCCGATGTCATCCAAAGCCTAAACTTGGAGTGTGGTTTTAAAAACAGTAACTCTTTTTCTAATATTGGAACCCAATTAATCACAAGATGAATATTTTGAAGAAATATCCATCCGCCTTCATTGGAAGCTTTGCGGAGCAGTTCAATGGCCAGTTCTCCTTGTCCCTGACCCATCGATATCTAAGATTATAAATTTAGCACACTTGTTAATTTCCAAATTTAAACTTGTAACAAGCTTAATTAAATTTGCATACCTGATAATAGTTTTCAGCACCAACTTCTGTCATTGCCAAATCTCTTAGTTCCTGAGTGGGATCTGCACCGGATGTTGTAATAAATAATACTGGCTCGCTACTTATCGTTTCTTTATCAAAAAATTCCTTTAATTCAAGCGCAGGCGGTGCCAGATTATCCATAGCAAGTGCATTACAACTAAACGCTGCCACTATTTAAAATGTTAACAAGTTTGGCTAAACAATGCATTTAAATTAAACACGGCTTACTAGAAGTTAAAAGACGATCCGGTCGAAGGGCTTGCACAACCAATAATCTTTGAAAAGCACTATATTATTTTGAATTCCAAATACCACATCAGCCATCCAAAATATTAATAACCGGCGGTTTAGAATTATCGAAACTACCTGGTTTTTTCTCTAGGAAAGATTGCGTCACAGTTTGGACTAGAAATCCAATTTATCCATATTTCTTTATCACCAAATCCTAGCGATTGTGAAAGATTAGGCAAAAGAGTCTATGCAGCAACATGTTAGTTTGATTCACATTCAACGCGATATTCCCAACAGTTTAATACATACCTGAAGCTGTCTAAAATACGGCCTTCGCTCCTCTGGAACCCAGTCTGGAATTTCAATTGATTTTTCTTCTACTTCAACCAACACAACCTGACCAATGAACAGTTCCCATTCTTGCGGTCCAAAAAGGGTTGGATGTAGCTCGTGGATCATATACAAGGCAAACATTTGCTGATCAGCCTTGAAAATAGACCGTGAAATATATTCAAACGTCAATCGTTCCATGGTTGTCATGAGTAGCTTAATACGCAACTCGGTTTGATCCTGTGCCGTTGTGGTTTCTGATTTTAATGCTTTTTCAAAAATACGCAAAAATGAGCTCAGCGAAAATCTATACATGGTATTAATCTTTTGCATATCACTAATAACAAAAAAAAGTGAGCTTCCAAATGTTGATACAGGAGCAAATTTATCACGCTCAGAATCGAGCGACTCTTGAAGCTTTTGCGATTCTTTGAGACTTTTGGCAATAATGTTGCTTTTCTCCTTGGTTTCATTCAATGAGGTGAGAAGGGCCGTGTTTTCCAAGATATTTCCCTCAGAACTAGCCAAAGCCTTTAATAACTGATCCTCAAGATTTGAAAGCTGCACCTTAAGTTCTTCTTCTTTTTTCAGCAGATTCATTTTTTGAACTTCAAGCTCTGGTCGTTCATGCTTGAGTGTGATACCAAGAAGCTGGCCTGACAAACCAGCACGCGTAATAGTAAAGTTGATGTCATTCACATATCCAACAATATCTGCTGAAACTGTAAATGTTGATCTGCGTGTGGTAAAATACAGTTTAAAGTCAGAGTTGTAGTCGATCGTTTTGTCTCCGATTTCGATAACCAATCGAGGGCCTTGCTTTTGAAAGTCTCCGCGGATAAGAGGCATCAATACTGGTTCAATATGAGTTAAATCTTGAACAATCAAAGTTTTTCCAAAACGCACAGCCAGTTCCAACGATCTCATAAAGCTTTCATTGCTTTGGCTAATTATTTCTGGTTTTTTATCTTTTAAATAATGTTTGATCCACTCTGTTGCTTGTCCTGATGGATCAATAAGTAAAGAAATTGCGCGATTATTGAGTGTGATGATAGCGTTTTCTAATGAAAGTGTATCAGCAGGTAGTCCTTGTGATTTCCATATAAGCTGCTCACTTTCAGTATTCATAACTGTTATACAATTAAAGTTATTGATTCCAGTAATCTTTTCCCATTTCCGTACCATCAAATGACGCATATCTTCAGGTGCGCCAGCAAGGTACACAATAAATGCTGCAGCTAGTAACCCATTTCGAGGCAGTTTCTGGATTTCCTGGCCAATAGAGCTCACCTGAGAATTCCATCTATCTCCCTCTCCTGATAGTTTTTCTAATAGTCCTTGTGATCGCTTGATAATCCCCATGGCATTATCAAGACTAATCTTAAGGCTCTCTGCTTCGCGTGTTTTGTCACTGAAATCATCCTTAAGCGCCTGCACCTTTGCATCCACCGCTGATAGCTGATCCTTAAGTTTGCTCAGCCAGCTTCGAGATGCATCTAAAGTAGCTGAAAGACGCTGCAAATTTTGCTCCAAAGGAGCAACTTTTTCAACAACTGTAGAATATTGAAGATTGGCCTTGACCCATAGTGCAAGGGGAGCTGCAGCAACTGAAACTCGTCTAATAGTCGCTTCTTCAAAGGAACTTTGTTTTTGCTTAATAAGCTCAAAAACGGCTTCTCGGGTCTGTTTGGTTATACTATGTGCATCAAAATTCATAATTTCTTCCTTGATTGACCGTTGACCCAAAAATCCCTTCATACTATTCCACGACATATCCAATACACCCATCAAACGAAGTACACCCTCAAGAACATCTCGGATTGCTGGAGGTGGAGCACGAAGCGATCGAATTTCCGATAAGCTTTCTGACCGGATTTCTCCAACAGCTGCTTTGGCACTCTTGATAATGGGCTCTACTTCTGAAAGTTCTTTTTGAACAGCCTGTTTTTGAACAAGTACTTTTGTTTCTTCTTCTTTAAGAGAAATAGTTAGCAATTCCATTTCTTTTTTTTGCTCAGAAGCTTGCACCATACTATCGGTAATTTGTCCAAGAGCCGCGTCTGCCTGCTGCTGCTTTTGAGTCAGCTCTGTCTGCTGTCTTTTGGCATCGGATGAAAGTTTGTCGACATATGTGGAAGCTTCGTTTAGTTTTTTTAGCCCTTCTAATAGATAATTTTGTCTGATGCATAGTGAATCAAGCTTGGAAGAATATACTTGATTATACATGGCAAGATATTCGATAAAATGTTTTGGTGTTCCATCTCGAAAAACATTTGATTGGTGAATTGTCAACAACTCTTTGATCAGAGCATCCTTATCTTTGAGAGTTGTCAGTGAACCGGACTTGTTAAAAATCTCATTTGCTAAATACGTCATACTTTCATTGGAGAAAGCGTCCATCCATAGCATTTGGCATCGTGTGTAAAGTGCTGGATTTGATTCGCAGTTGATGATAAATTGCGGCAAGGCATGATCCATTACTAATATGACATGCAAATGTTTGCGCACACGGGATACAAAATACTCGTATACAGATCCTCTAAATCCAGCCTGGGAATGGCCGTCTTTAAGAGAGTTTAATATAAGATCCAACTCATCTTGAGCGTATATTCCTGCCACTTCTGACCCACTCAATAAACTATTGATCGATTCAATATATGATGGCTCTACAAGCTGATAGTCTTGCAACAAAAGCACTGCATCTTCTCCAGTCACTCCTGTAATTTGTAGTATAGCCTTTAAATCCGCCAAAAATGCTTTGGTTGAGTCACCACGCAGCACCTTTGGTGAAACAACCGTATATCCAAGATAAAATGATATCAAAAACGAAATATTAACATATGGAATGCCAGGTCGTCCTGCAAGAAGTAGCGATCCACCCGATTGACTCAAAACCCGTTCCATACGAGAAATTAGCTCTAGCATTTCTGGATACAACGATATGTGCAGATCTCTATTATCACGCTCATAGACACGCAGTTGTTTTGTTAATTTCTCCTTGTACTGATCCATTGTCAAACAGCCCAATTTTTTCGCAGTAGTAACATCAGAAAGAGAGCCCAGTTCTCCAGCCTCGGTGATGGCATAAATAATACCCTGCAATGTGCCTTGGTAGTTCCACTCTGACTGCAAGATCGAAAATAGTAGAGACTGAAAGCTTTGTCTAGCATCATGTCCAACAAGACGATCTTGGAATAGTCTTTGACTTTCATAAGCAATTACTTTAATAAGCTCGTTTTCATCGTTTTCTTGGTATACAAATCTTCCAAGAGACAATACTAGTCGCGAAATATCTCTTGGAGTAAAAACATAGTGCGAGTGCATGTCCACCCTAAACTTTTGAACTGTTTGTTCAAAAATACTTACTATAGTCGAAGCCAGTTTGGAAATACTTTTTGGATGCGACCAAACACGATGATTGGGCAAGCACGATTCCAGTACGGGCTGAAGCATAATTTGATAAATAGATTGAAGTTGCTCGCGATCAGTGTAAGATATATAGCAAACGCGGACAATAGACGAAAAACGAACACTCAGTTTGTGGCGACCAATTGTGGTTGATGGGTTCATGGATGCTACAATTTGGATGTTCTCAATGGATACCCATTCCAAAGAAGAATCATAGAATCCGCGGTAGGTGAGCAACTGTTGCAAAAATTGAATAATCTCGACAGTTTCGTACTTGTCTGGTTTGGGAAGATTAATATCTTTGAAATATAAAATCAGTCTTTCGCAGTCCTTGGGTCGAAGTACCCGTCCTTTTATACTTGTACTTGCCACACAGGTTTGAAAAAGACGTTGTACAATATGCGACGACTTGGTTTGTGAATTACAATGTATAATAGAAACACTTGTAGATTTGAGTTTTGAAAAGCAATGGCGAAGTAAAGTGTATTTTCCTGCTCCTTCGGATCCAACCAATAAAAGTGGATGTTTATCATTCAACCATGGCATAACCATATCCACTGAGCGCTGAAGATCTGGTGTAGCAATCACTGGTAGCCGATCTAGATCCTGCATGCAGGTGATGTCAAGAGACGCAGGTTCCTCAAGAGTATACGTCTCCAATTTTCCACTAGAAGACACCCAATAATCGAGTATTTTCTTTGGATCAGGGACTTGTTCGTTGGCCCATTGAAATAGCTCATTAGAAAATAAAAGTCGCTGTTCTAAAAACAAGTTTGAGCCAAGTCCACGAATCAAGCCAAAAAGAAATTGAAGTTTGCTGGTAGCACCGTGAATATGAGACAGACCATTCAATACCAACCCAGCTTTTGTAGTCTCAACAGCCATTTCACAATTTTGTCTGATCCAGATAATACTTTGGTAAAAGTAAGCTTTGATCCAACCCATCAGCGCGACACGAAGCGGCTCTGCCTCTTTTTCAATCCAAGAATTCACAAGTACGTTAATATCCAAAGTTTCATCGGAAAGATAAATCATACCCATGCGACTGACAGTAGCTGGAGATGCAAAATTAAGGTTGTGCGTTTCAAATATAAAATTGATATTAGGACCAAATTGGATACGCTCGCCATTTGGCATGGTCAGTAAACGATTGTCATCTAAAACAGAATTAAGTGACTCTATCCATTCAGGATCAATGTCACCGTCGGATATAATCCATGTATGCACGTCAAGCGCTTCTTTAACTGCTTGCCGTGAAGCGTATGTTAAAATGCCGTCCGTCCATTCTCGTGTATCCATATCCATGTTTCCTAAAAGTGACTGTCGGTCAACTGCCTTTGGGTTGGTAATGTGCGATACTAGTCTTTGTCCAGTTTTATGCAAAGCATTCTTGAGAAGTCGCCAAATTGTGCTTTTTCCAGATCCAGATGGTCCGACCAGTACAACACCCATACGCTGTTTGCACGCTTCATACAGTTGAAATACTTTTTCTGCTTGAGATTCAATATATATAAGGCCAAGCTCAACATAGGATTCTTGTAATGCCTTTTGGAGTTCTTGATAAATAATAGTATGAATGTCTGTTTCAGGAAAAATATCATTCATCAACATGCTAAAGCGTTGAGCATCTCCAAAGGTAAGCTTGGACAGAGTAGATACGCGAATCGCCTTGACCACGACGATCGCTTCTTCAACAGCTCCTACAGGACCAATCTTTTTTTGCTCGTGCAAAAGACTTCCGGCAAGCTCCAGTACAGCTTTTAATGGTCGTAAACCCCAATCGTAGTGCTGTTGTGCTGTCAGAAATTGTTTACATAAAGTAAAGATAGAAACCACTTTTTTTCCCAGTTCTCTTCCAAGATGAAATCCTTCTGAAAACAAAATGACCTCTGAAATCAGCTCGTTATTAGGATGAGTCATTGCAACTGATCGGAATAGCTGCTTGAGATTGTCTGGTAAACGTTGTCGTCCTCCATATCCTTTTCCCGCTGGATTTAATGTAACAAAAATTCCCGAATTTTTGTCGAGATCGACAGTCTTGCCCAAAAGCACAACGCTGTTTTCTTTGCGCTTAATCGCGGCTTGGATGACTTGAATTTGTTGGGATACTGCTGAAAGTACCGCCTCTTCAAGTCGGTTGAACTCGTCAAAACAGCCCCATGCTCCACATTTGACAAGACCGACAAAGATTCTTCCCATACTTTTGTAATCGATTCCCTCATCGCAGTTGAAAACAAGCACTTGTCTACCAAACAACACTGCGAGTGCTTTGACCGACTCTGTTTTTCCTGTGCCAGCCGGTCCAAAAGGATTTCCCCCGAATCCGCTCGACATTGCCTGTGTAAGAGTAAGATAGCATTTATCGGTGAGCGGAGTATGCACAAGCCTTGCTGGATTACCTTGATATTCGTATGTATATTCAAATTCGGCATTATTCATACGGATAACGCATGCGTTTTCACTGTTCAAATAAAAACGTAGTTGTCGTTGCCATTCCCAGTCTGTCACTTTCAGCAAATCTACTTTTTGAAGTTGCTCAATCACATCCAGAAAATGAATGATATCCAAAATGAGAGGCTTGATTTTTAACTCGATTACACCACGCTCAGTTTTATCGGCTACCGTTGACGAATCAAATGTCGTATATTTCTCCAGCTCATCGCGTAGCTGCTTTTCTAGTTGCTCAAAACCTTGCTGATTTTGAATACACTTTTCCACACTGCTTGTAAAATGCAAATACTCTGCAAGACAAATAATCTGTGAGGGATATTTGAAAATATTCGATTCGGCAACACATTCTTGAAGCAAGATTTTCAAAGTCGATTTCATCTCAATTTCAAAACTTTGTAGCCACGATTCGACCTCCGCAGTGACGGTCACTGGATTTTTGAGTGAAACAATCTCTCCGCTTAAACTCTGCATAGCGTCAATGGATGTCATCTCAGCATTAAATCTAACGCTAAATACACCAGCAAACAGCTTTTTTAGATGCGCTTGAATAACTTGAGGATTCATGGCTTGTCCCAAAATTTCCAAAAGATCGTCGTCTCCAATGAAATAGAATCGAGCAAACTTGGCACGCTTTTGCTCTAAAAACTCATTCAGTGCCTTTTGGCAGCGCTCCAACTGGTCCATCAAAGCAACCAAAATACTCCGTATGTTTGGGAAAAAGAGTATGGATACGATTCGTACATCTGTCATGATACTTTGTATCACGGAGCGAAAGTCCTCATCAATACGATAAAATCTGCTTTGCTCAGAAGGCAATGCTCCGCGACTAAAAATGGGTTCCAAATACACCCATCGCCGCTGAATTATATTAAGTTGACGCAAATACTCGTCCAATTCGGCAAGCTTGTGTTCCCAGGATTGTGCCTTTTCAGCAAAATTATTAAAGTATGGAGAGTCTTTCAATGAAGATAAAAGCGACTGGTTGTCACCAACCTGCGTAAGCGTCTCTTTCCAGTCCTTGATAAGCGATAGTTGATTTCCTTTTGCATCTTGATATTCTGTAAGTGAAAACTGCGCACCGGCTCCCCAAATATCAAGTTCCTGGATGGCTTCGCGAATAGCAACTTCGCCATTGGCTTGATTGTTGAGCTCTTTGATCAAGGAAATTTTCAAAACAATGGCATCACGTAAATCCAAAAAGTGGCCAACATTGAGCTCAGAAACAGTAATACCCTTTGGAACTGACAAAATTCTAAATAGTTCTCCCCAGTGTTCTGTCGTCCAGTTATCCCCGCGTAATAGTTTGAAATTTGGAACAACTTCCCGATACGAATCCAGATCCTTTAAAAGCTGAGCTGAAACAGCATCAGTTGGACGACTTTGAATAGTTTGGCTCCATTTCCCAACAAACTCGTCTAGTTGATGAGATTTTGCTCTAAAAGAAATCCAATCTTGAGCACGAATTTGGTCTAGCTCTTGAAGATACTTTTCGCATAGCCCCCACATCTCTTTTGACTCGCTCAGGTCTTGGCGAATCAACTCCATTTCTGAAAAATTTGGAGGTGAAACATTGAAATGTTGCGAATCAACCATGATTTGGTTTGCCGTCTTTTCAAGCTCTGAAAACTCGAGTACTCTTTCTTTTACAAATTCACCAGCTTTTCTGGTTTCTTGAATATTTCCTATATCGCTGGATTTAGGTTTTAATTGACTCCATCGCAAAGAAAACTTTTCCATTTCTCCCAAAAACAGCTGAACGCGACCATCGATTGCACTTCGCAGTATATTCACCTGCTCCTTGATCATCAGCTCGTGACTTTCCAGCATCAGCTCCAACTTTCCCCACTTGGCCTCCACAGAACTAGCATCAATTCCTGAACCTGAAACAGATTTTAAAAGTTTGTTTTTAGTATAGACCGCTTCAAAATGTGACTGAATAGAAAGTTTGCTTTGAGAGAGTTCTGCATGACGTGCATTTGCCTCTCCAATCTCTGCCATGGTCTGAGGGTGTTTGAGCAAAATGTCCATGCCTTTGTTGACAAAATCGTTTATTTCGGCTATATGCACTAATATAGCCTTACGCAATGCAGCTAGCATAGCATCAAACATCCGCTGTAAATGATCATCAATTGTTGCCTTGACTGAAGCAGTAGAAACGGTGATACAATCAACTTTGATGGTGGATGGAAGCTGCTCGGCATCTTTTCCCTTTTGTTTTAGCATTCGAAAATTGAGTTCCCAGTCAGAAATCTCTGTCAACGATTCTTGCACAAATTCATCAAGATCCACCGTACCCAACAAAACCCAGTCCTGAAAACTATTGTGCATTTTGACAAGATTTTGAAAAAGTAGTTCGGCTTTTAGGTAAACTGTTGATAGGGATAGCGAGTTTTGGTCAATGAGCTGATTAAACACACGGGTTTCTCCAATTCCCTTGAATACACTTGGTAAATTGATAAACTTTTTCAATTCTCGGTAGTATTTTGCACGAATTTCCTCAAACGTGGGACGAAACTGTAGTTTTTGCTGCTTAAATACAAGATCTACTTTCATCTCTGGAAGATTTTCATTAAGGTTTTCTAAACCAACTTGGTACTGGTACTCCAAGGCCTTGTAAAGCTGGTAATCCCAGTGGTTTCTCCATGTGATGGTCAATTCAGGGGCAATACCACCGTCTTGAATATGAAGAATAATGCTACGGATTTCATTAAGAGTTTCTTTCCAAAAAGCTTGATTTTTAACAAGATCGATGCTCATCAATGAGATAATGTGATCTGAAATAACGACATGGTACTTGCGAAGTCTACGGTTTTCTGAAGAAAGATGTTCAGCAGCTGCTTTTAGTTTGAAAATATAGCTTTCCAGCTCTTGCGGATTTTCCCAGTTGAGCATTCGAGATCCAATGGAGTTCGATTCCTCATCAGCTCCACCAGAAACAGATGGATTTTTGACGAGTCGTTCAAACGCAACTGCAGCCTGTAGTAGCATTGATTGTTGGCTTGGAAGCATTTGCTGCTCAATTGTGTTGTAGAAATACGCAACCTGCTTCAAGACAACACCGTGTCGATATAACTTTTGAGCAGAATCAGCAGACTGCTGGATTTGAGCAGAGACAGGAAACCCCATTGCAATCAAAAGCCGAATTTCTCGAAATAGTGTTACTAAATGATCTCCATAATTAACCACTAGTTTTCCACTAGAGTAATCCAACTCCATAAGTCTGCCAAACTGAGATGGTGACAATGCGCTATCTTTATCTTTTAAATCGTTCATGGTTTGCAGTGACCATACTTCAAACTGCTCACGCTCATATTTACGCAACTCATCATAAAGCTCGCTGGAAAGAAGTTGATATGAAGACTTGGCTCCAATCAATGATGTCACAATTTGATTGGTTTCCTGAACTTTGGTAATGGCTTGACGAGCCCAGACAATATCTGTGATAAGATTAGGAAAGTTTCGACCTTTTGGGGTATTTGAATGATGTGAGCGACTTTTAAACTCGTTTTGAATCGATTTAAGGGAAGTTGAAAGTTGACCCAGAAGCATTTCACGCTCGGCGACGAGATGGCGAAAAATGGTTTCTCTACTAACAAGATCGCGATATTTTTTAAACTCGCGCATTAGCTGTCCAGGCTGTGTTTGTAATTTATCAAAAATACTAGCAAGTCGTTGGGCACATTGTGTTTCGGTTGGTTTAATAGCATGGTTGTACTGAGCAGTAGCAGCCTATAAAGTATCAAAACATGATTTATATGTAAAACTATTAGTGCACACATGTTTGTATTCAAACGACCAGTCAATCGCCTTTAAATAAAAAAACTTACAGACCAGGCCAATTCGACTCCCTTGCTACATTGAAAAATGTTCAATCTTGAAAACGGCTTGAATATATTATCTACTTGAATGTCTTTGCTTTCTTCAGATTGAACAAGATCCATCATAATATCATGGGATACTCGAAGAGAAATTATTTTACTGATACGATCACAAAGTTCGTTAGCAGAATGACTGTAAAATGGTTCGTCACCCCATGGGTTTGGTGAAAACAAAGCCCAAAACGTTCCAGTAAGAGACTTTAAAATTTCAACCCATCGGCCAAGTGCATCGCTTGCCAAAACCAGCTCGTCTTTGATCTAATGTAATTATTTTGATTTAATACACACATGACATACTATGTAAAAAATACTCCCGATCCCACAATTATGAATTCATGGTTACCTGTGGCAATGGCTCCATCATAACTTCACGGTCACCGATTTTTGCTTGAATCACACCAATGATTTGCTCCGATATAAGATCCAACAGATGCATCATTCTAGATTTTGGATAAGGCGAGTATTCATGTTGTCGCCTAATAAGTACAACACATGTTAGATTCAATACTATTCCAATTGCTATTGATTATGTTTGAGCAGACGTTTGCTTGCCATAGATCATCCAACGCATCGTGACTTTTTTCCACAAGCTCCATGAGTGTTGAAAACGACTCGTTGCTACACATTTATTAAAGTGTATTAGAATCTGCAATTTATATTCCAAAATAAACCATTCACGCACAGTTGTTTATCAAAATCAGCCTTGAGTGGCTGTAGAGTGGTACTGAAATAAACTGCCCGTTTACACTCTGCAGTAGAAGCGTCTTTTTTTAAAGCCATTTCTTGCCAATACGTATATTCATCATTTACACTGGCAATGGATTCAAAGCTGGACTCTGTTATAGTTCATACAATAGCATTTCAATTAGAACGACAAGCATGCATTGTATTAGCAATCAATATATTGATACTCGATTAGACTCACCAAGAGATGATTTCAAATCAGATGTGTTACGAAGAGTACTGGCTAATCCTTCGTCGAGATCAACCAAGAGCCGTTGTAGTTTTGAGTTCATTCCCCATTTTCCAGTTCTAATTTAGATATTTAGAAATCGTGATAATAAAAATAAGTTGGTACCATTTGTTAAGCGTATCATGACATCATGCAAACAAATCTACAGCATACTTTTGGAGAATTGGAGCATAGACTGAATGCACGGATTGATAGAGTGTATTTACGGGTGTGTCTTGCAGTTGAGTAACCCATACAATTTCTGCCATATTGGCAGACGTGACTACTGCTGGTCTTGTTTTAGAAATAATAATGGTTTTGAAGGCATTGTTAATGCTGTCCAAGTCAATACTGCATGTCACTGCACCAGTCTAATTTAATACAAATAATGAACGAGGCTTGTCAGCATGGCATCACAGTATGAATACTAGAATAAGTAGCAAATTCAGCAATTATGTTCCGTTCATATAAAAACGCAACAAGTCGTTTATTCACGTCGAGTTCATCAACTAGCAAAGCTGTCTGCTTGCATCGAATCATCTATATACTTGAACCGTATCTACTACTAGCTACGAATGCAAGCCCAAAAAGACACAAATTCATCATATGTGCAAAATTGCTGCTTCGTCCACCACTCCAGCAAAATAAACTGTAGCCTACATACCTCAATGTTAAGCGAAATGGCAACCATAGATACATTCACGTCTCCAATAAACTGCTGTAGTTCTTTCGATGACCCTATTGCCTCAAAGGGTCCGTTGACGTTGTCATTTGCCATATGAATCCCCACCAGTTTTTGTATCCATACACTAGCTTCCATGATTGGAGCTGCTGTTGATTCAAGTTTTAGTCGCGTATGAAACAGTTGGAAGACTTGAATGTGGTAATTGGTCGCGCTATAAAAGTCCGACATTGCATGTTTACATCAGTCTACAATTCACGCTGCCAAATATAAAAGTGAACCAACTGAAAATAAACATGGAAATCTAGATCAGACATGAAAAACAGTACAAGTATAGCTCTCATATCAAGACACTGATCTAAACTCTATCACTTGTTTGTTTATTAAGCTGCTAAATTGGTCATTTCACAAGTTACATCTTGGCAGAAATTCCAGAGTTTGGGACAACTGTTCGGTGGGTAGACACTTTTGGTTTCCTACTTGTAAGAATAGGGTTTTCTATTTTTCTAATCTCCATTTGGGTCCGACACAACTGAGCACGTAAAATGTCGAGTTCAGGCAAGGGAACAGGCAAGGGTGGTGTCCATGTATTTGCTTTTTTAAACTTTTCGACCATTTGAGTAACAGATTCAAGCTCGGGACCATATGGGTTCTTTTTCGATAAAAAGGATTTTAGTCGTTCAATCGTCTCATTGACAGTGAGTGATCTCCCTGGAGGAATGGGAGAGCCGTTGGAAGGAGTCACGCACTGCATGTCTACTTCTTTTCGCAAGCAATGATCGACATCTACTAGGGAGAAGAATGCGACATTCTACTCAATAAAAAATTTAAATGAATAAATTATATCTAGCTATGCTCGTAAGCATACTACACTCTATAATGTAAGCCATACTCACCAGAGGTAAATCATGCAACCCAAGCCGACTTGAAAACATAGCGCGTGTCCATAAGTTACTGATGTGCAAAGCAAGACAGGCAAGATCAACATGCTCATCTTTGATGATATAACGAACCTCGTCGTGGATACTAATCAGAAACCGGCCATCAATATTAAGTCGGCGCATAAGATAATTCATGGAAATGAGAAGAAGATGCAAGTAGTCTACTCCTGATGATTGAACTGCCCAATTGATTCGACTTGGCATAAACTTGATGAAAAAGTATAAATTCACAGATACCATATCAGTCTTGAATGTATCAAATAAAACTAAAGTACGTAACATACCTGATTCCGAACATTTTGAGGCATTAAAGCATCTGGAATTTGACAACCAAGAATAGGTGTACGTGGATCAGAGTATGTTGCAATCCAATCCAATGTATTAAACATCATCGATTCTGTACCGCCATGCCATAAATTATCGAACCTGCCAAGACTTCTATGTCGCCGACCCTTGGTGCTCTTGTAAAGTTGTTCTGCCTTTTTTTCAGCCATTTCTCGTGTCAAATTTGAATTGCCTTGCATGAGCAGCTGAACTGCATATCGAATACCAGCTCCATAAATCCGCCCATAGTTGAAGACTTTGGATTGGTTACGTGAAATACCAAGAATTTTTCCAGTCGTAGAATGCAAATCAGTGCCAGCAGCTTTTGCACCTTGCAATGTCATAAACCCAATTGCAGTGCTACCGTGCTGGCCAAACTGTGCATCTCCAAATACTGAAGCGATCCACAGTTCTTCACTATCCACATCTGCACCCACGAGTGAATATCCTTTTGCAGGCATTATCATGGACTTGACCTCTGAACCAATACGATTTTCTTTGGCGTTAGATGCAGTCATCCACAACGGCTCAACAGCTCGACGAGTAATGGTGCCCATGGGAATAGTGCAGGGTAAAATTACACCAATATTGTCGTCATTTGCATGAGAAGCGTATCCCAATGGTTGTTTAGCCGAATCCCAAACAATAAACTGGCCGTTGATGCGTGCACGAGATGAGATCCAATATGTGCATTGTGCGTGTTTTTCAAGAATATTCTGTGCCTCTGGGACTGCAGACGTAAGTATTCCCTTTTCAAAGTGAGTAATATATGGTTTAGACAACGGATTTCCACAGTTTTGATTTTCGCCATTTGTATGGGGAATGCGAAAATATGCATTCTCTTCATCAAACGTGGCAATTGGATCATAGGCTTTATCTTTTGGATCCACGCTGAATGAAAGTTGCAGTTTAAGACATTCTGAATCAGGGGGGATATCCTTGACTGGACGACGATACATCCATCCATACGCACGACAGTATGAAATAGGAAATCCGTCCCAATTCATTCGAAGTAGATATGGAACAATGCGCCTGCTTGTACTCAGTAAAAGACGCTTATTACTCGAATCCCATTGATCACAATACCATTTAGGTTTGTCTATCAAATGTGCATCGCCCTTGGACTTGAATGGACGAGCAGGATGCACTATAGATCCATCTTTTGAAGAGTACTTGGGCATGGTTAAACGAACTTTTTTAGGAGTCCAGTCTAAAAACTTGAACCAAGGATCGTTCTTGTAAGCTTCGCCTTCAGCCAAAGCCAAAGCACTTTCTGCCAAAGCAGACAAATCATGCTCGATGCTCTGTTGAGTGTTGGAGCAAATATTTTCACAGCGATCCACAAATTGTTTCCAATCGGAAGTTACTGTCAAGTAGGATTTGCCCATATGCAACACGCCAGCAAAGGATGCAGGATGAGGGCATTTTACTTCGAAACGCGGAAACAAAAATCCAAAAAGCTCGTGAGTGACCTTGACATCCTCTGCACAATAACTCATAAGAGTTTGAAAAAGTGCCGGATCATCAAACTGTGACATATCTGAAGAAGAAAAATAATCTCGTACGGCCTTGTCAACTTTACGCTTCAAATGCAATTTTGCCACTTCAAAAAGACTATTTACAGAAGTTTTTGTAAGCCATGGATTGGCATCAGCCAGCTCCAAATCAGTCATTCCATTTACCAAGGGTGAAGGAGGAGGTGTTGCGTATTCGTCTTCAAATTCCATTTTGTCTTGAGCTATTTTTGATTTACGGTATTGAGTCCAAAGCATTCTCTGCTGAGAAGACATGCCAGAAACAGCACAATGCAAACTCATAGTATCAATCAAGGCGTTTTTTGTTGACTCAGATTGATACTCTTCCAAGATACGAGCACGATCATAGGATACATTGTGACCAACAATGATTCGAGGAATGTCAGTTTTTCCAAAGGAAATCAGATCCTGACATGGCTGTACACCACCACAGATTGCAGGTGAGCACCACGAATACCACGAAGTAGCAGATGCAGCAATGGCGATTGTAGGAAATAAACTGATTTTATACATGACTTCGACATCAAAGACAAGAGCTTCCCCAAAAGGCGGGTGCTATTCAATAGTATGATTTTTGATATATTAGTTTAAATGATTGATTACAAAGAAATCAATACCATTATGGAGGATTGAGAGAATATGAACGTATATTCAATTGAGAATGTAAACAATATGCTGATAATTGGTTCGAAACACGATGAAATTCGATATGAAGAATAGTTTGTAGACATCAAACAAGACAGAATATAAACCATTAAATATTACATTTATCAAAGTAGTGGATCCATCTGAACTGTATTGAGTCCAACCGGCAGATTTAATCCAAGTTTTGGGCATATCAGGCAGATTGGAAGCAGCAAATTTACGAGTTTGAGATAGATAAGGTTCAGCCTGTTCCAAAGAAATGATTCTAAAATGTTCTTCGATAGTAGCCATGGATGGATCGGTGTAAGCTGTAACGAGTGGAGGGAGTGGCAGATCTATTTCGGGAAGCGGAGCCAAATTTTTGCCAAGAAGATCATGATCAGATAAATGTTTTTTTGAGAGTTCCAATGCAGTCTCGGCCTTGGTAGTGGAATGAGTTGACAAGGCAACAATGCGAGGTTTATTGTCACGAGCAACGATCTTGGAAGTATTGTCAGAAATGGCGGTTGATTTATTATAGTATTTGGGAAAGACTTGACGATAAAGGGAATTTGACAGCATTTGAATGCCAAGTGGATTGAATCGAGACGAACTGTTAGAAGTGCAGTTTGAATCTGAAGTGAATGGAACATCCTGAACAGGATTGTTTAAGTTAATATTAGAAGAGAATACGACAGAGTTATAAATACGAATGGAAGAGCGACTGAGTGATGAGTCGGAAAGTAACGTTTGATTTTGACGAATGAGTCTGGAAGAGTTTGGAATATAACGAAAGAGTGACCTATTATATAACCAAAGTAGATGAAAATGTTAGTATGAAGTAGATATGCAAGATACTGCTTGAGGATGACAAACCAGTTAATTCGATGCATTTTATTGGTCGTATTTCACGTAATGAAGTTCAAATTGCCGAATTTTCTCGTTTAAAATTCACATCAAATTTGAATATTAATTCAAGCTGAAGAATCTTTTAATAAATTGTATTCTTGTGTAATTGGTAACATGAAACTGTTTAAATTTCTGTTTTGAATAATTCGAGTTTTTAGAATTCAAGAATAACTGAGTGAATTTGGTATTCAACAAAAAAGAAATTCAAAATTTTAGTTGGATTGTATCATTATGACGTATTCTGTCTTTATTAAAACCAATTTTAAGCAACATATTCTGCTGTTGCTTATTCCAGAACAAAGTTGGAATGTAAAATGTTTGACTTGACAGAATTCTTTGAAAATACTTCATGACCACGTGACTGTGGAAACTCGTAATTCGATAAATGCGAAGTTTACTCGATAAGAAATGACTGATAAAACGATGAGTAGATCTGCGTTTCCTGTTGAAGGTTTACTGCCAAAGAATGAGACCGAAGCTGCCATGTTTATTTCCTCTAATCCCGAGATGGATGGAAGAGGAACCGTCATTGCTATTCTTGACACTGGTAACACTATCAAATCTCATTCATAAAGCATTCATGTTAGATTGAAGATGGTTAACTTGAGCATTCCTTGTTATTCTCAAATTTCCTCGTCTAATTAGGTGTCGATCCCGGTGCTCCCGGTTTACAAGTAACCAGTCATGGACTACTGAAAATAATTCATTTGATTGATTGCACCGGGTATTCATTGCTTTTTGGATTACAATCCATTCCATTCAATTCATTCCTAAAATGACCTTCTAATTCAGTTTTTATATTCTACAGTGCTGGTGATGTTCCCTGTTCAACTGTCGTTGAACCCACTCCGAATGCTGATGTCACTACATCTTCATTGGGTACCATTGTTGGTCTTTCTGGTCGTACTCTTACTTTAGGAAACTGGAATTGTCCTACAAACAAGTTCCGGTTAGGTCTGAAACACTCTTCTGACCTTTATCCTGGCCCACTTGTGGATAGACTTGAAAAGGTTTTTGATTCTCAACCATGTACGCATTCCATGTGGATTCTCTAACAAACTGCACTAAACTTGATTCAGAGCTCAAAAGAAAAAACACTCATCAGTCATCATGCTCTTCTCACTCAAACTGAAGCTCTGGCTGTCACAGCCGACAATTCTACTGCTACGGATGACAATGCCATTCTAACCAAGAATGACCAAAAAGCTCGTGTTGAAGTCTTGAAAGATTTCATGAAAAATCACGAGGATCCGGGTATTCTTATGGTAACTTTACTCGAGTGCGCTAAGCGACCCTTTCATACTATTACTCACTCTTGTCATTCTAAAATAGGATTGTGTGGTGTTCCACGATGGAAAAACCTGGCGTGCAGCAATTGATGTCAACGAGACTGGAGATTTGACAAATGTTACAACATTGGCATCCTACTCGGAAGAACACCAGCATCTCTGCTTTGGTGACGATTCAATGCTCAATTACTCTGTCAATATTTACGATGAGGGTCAAATGCTTAGCATTGTTACTTTGGCTGGTATTTTATTTTATTTCCAAACTATTTAAATTCGTGCATACTTTTACGCTCCAATTATTCATCACACTGATCACGATCTCTTAATATTTGATCTTTAAAAGGTTCTCATGGTACCCACGTTGCTGCTATTTCTGCCGCAAACTATCCCGAAGACTCTCGTTTGAATGGCGTATGATTTTAATGCTTTGATCCATCATCACTCTGCCTTCTACCAAGTCTATTTACTGATTCTTTTGCTATACATCTGGTTAAATCATAGATTGCTCCAGGTGCTCAAATCGTTTCTCTCAAAATTGGCGATACCCGTTTGGGTTCTATGGAAACTGGCGCTGGTCTGGTTCGTGCTGCTATTGAACTTGCGCGCTTAAATATTGATCTTGCCAATATTTCCTATGGAGAAGCTGCTGCTATTCCAGATACTGGTCGCTTCATTGAATTACTTCGTGATGAAGTCATCAATAAAAAAGGTTGCATTGTAGTCGCCTCTGGCGGTAATGCTGGACCAGCACTGACTACTGTGGGTGCTCCGGGTGGTACTGGAAGCGCTGTTATTGGTGTGGGTGCGTATGTCAGTCACTCCATGATGGATGCAGAGTATGCTTTATTAGATAAAGTTGAAGAGCGTGCTTACACTTGGTCTTCGCGTGGCCCATCCAGCGATGGTGATATAGGTGTTGACATCTTTGCTCCTGGCGCTGCCATCACCAGTGTACCTCAATACACGATTCAGCGTTCTCAGCTAATGAACGGAACATCCATGTCTAGTCCAAACTGTTGTGGATGTCTGGCACTTTTACTTTCGGGTCTAAAAGCTAAGCAAATTCCGTATACTCCCTATCTTATCAAAGCTGCCATCCAAGCCACTGGAAAAGACATCAAAGATCCCTTTGGTATTCGCTTTGTTCAGGTACAAAAGGCATGGAATTATTTGACTGATACTGCTCAAGGCTATCTTCCATCGACCCTTCACTATGCTATTACCATCCCCGAAAGGGATGATGCTCGTGGTATATACTTGCGCGATATCGTAGAAACAAGCGAATTGCAACAGCTTGCTGTCAAAGTGAGCCCTGTTTTTCCTCGCAAAGACGAACCTTCGCAAAACCTGTCCAAACTATCCATGGAAGTCCAGGTTTTACTCAAATGTTCTGATCGCTGGATTTCGGCACCTAATTTTGTGCTTCTTAACAATTCTGGTCGTGCATTCAATATTCGTGTGGATCCTACTCAACTTCGTCCAGGTTTCCACTACGGTACCATCACTGGATATGATGCCAACAAGCCAGAAGTTGGATCTATTTTTACCATTCCCATTACGGTGTGTAAGCCTGAGGTCGTCACTAGCGCGCTGACCGAAACTTCCTGCTATGTCAAATATGATTCTTTGAGCTTTAAATCTGGCGATATTCAACGTCACTTTGTTCACGTTCCTCTTGGAGCCAACTTTGCGGGTAAGTGTAGAGTAATTTGGTGATATTTAATTTTGAACATAATTCTATAATATAATGATTGGATTCTAAGTATTTTTGTGAATACTTTTCATGGTATTAGAGCTTATTATGCGATCAGAAGGACGCCAAACTTCAGCCAACTTTTATGTCCACATGCTGCAGCTGCATCCACAATCTCGCTATCCAATGTACGAAAAAAAGTACACCTTTTCACTCAACTCTGTTGGTTCTGGAGCAATGAACGAAGACTCTGTTTATCGCAAACACTTTAGTGTGCTACCAAATGTTACTATTGAACTTTGCCTTGCGCAGTTTTGGTCGAGTCTGGATCCATCAACCGTGTCGGTTGAGCTTAAATTTCATGGACTTTTGGCATCTGCTTCCGCATCCACAACTGGTGGGAACGGTCTTTCAAGTGGAAGCGGCGGTGATCTGATGTATATCAACCCGGGAAGCAATGGATTTGCCCGTGTAGATATCACTGCTCCTGTTCGCAACGAATCTATTTCGCCCAGTATATCTTTAGATACTCTTCGCAAAAGCATACGTCCAACTGATTTTACTATTTCCCCTCTCAAATCGCGCGATGTACTGCCCGATACTCGTCAACTTCATCAACTCGTGCTGACCTACTCTACAAAGATAAATGAGAGTGGTTCGATCACGCCCCGCTTTCCCCGCATGAATAACATGCTCTATGACTCCTCTCTTGAAAACTTTGGTTTGTTTGGTAAGTACAAGTTTGTCAATCACTGCATCCAATCCGAGCACATCTATATTCTTTGTATGCTTTAATCATCCTGTTAACAAACACGGGTTTCATTTTTTCTAGTTTTTGACTCCAACAAGCGGACAATTGCCTTTAGAGTATGTTTTTATTTAATTTGAATATCTCATTAATATTTTTTGATTTCTTGATCATTGTTTATTGATTACAACCATTCTATGTTTAGGACATTTACCCCAAAGCGATCAAAGCCCTGGAGGGTACATATACGTTCCGCGCTCAAGTTGTATCTCACTCTCTTGACGTCCTTGAAAAGCTACAGTCGATGCCACTTGTGTTGGATATTGCTTTATCTAAATCAGTGTCGCTGTCTATTTACAACTCATTGGCTGGAGCCATCTCTGAAGACGCAGCAATGTCTTACAAACGAAAAACACTTTTGCGTGGACAGCGTTCTGTATTCTGGGTTGGAGATATTGCTTCTAATTCGGTTCCCAAAGATGCCAAGCATGGTGATTTGCTTGTAGGCAAGCTTGATCTTACCTCTACTAAAATTGATGGAGACTTGTACCCAGTTGCCTATCTTGTTTCTCCCGAAATCAAAAAAGACGCTTCCAATGACATTACGTTGGCAGGTGAAAAAGAACCTATCAAGGAAGATGCTACTTTGATTACCGAGGCAGTCCGTGATTTGGAGATTTCGTGGATCAAAAAACTCAAGAGTGATGAAGAACGAAAACTGTTACTTTCCAAGCTTGAAAAAGAAAACCCGACTCACTTGCCACTTTTTAAGCAAAAACTAGAGCAGCTTACTGAAAAGTCTACTCAGTTTTCCTCTGCAACCCCCATGTCGGATGAGCTTTCTTCTCAGATTCTTGCCACTACGCTGCAGATCATTAACATCATTGATGAAGGCAGCGTTGCCAAATACTTTGGTGTTCAACATGACGTAGCACAAGGTGGTGAAAAGATGCGTACGGAGAAATCGGAAATGGAGGCAAAAAAAGAACTACTGATCATGGCTTACAGATGGAAATCTGCAGCTTATTATAGCATGCTTGATACAACCAAGGAGCGCGCAGAGCAGTCCACTCTTTTTGTTGAAGCTTTGGCTAAATACGCTGAATGGCTTCCTTCCTCCTCAGCTGCCGATGGCTATTACATATTGCTTTCTGCATGCCGTAACAGACTTCGTGGGCATCACGGTCTTGCCCTCAAATCGCTCAACAAGTTTATTGCCGATAGAAAAAATGTGTCTACTGAAGAAGCAGGCAAGAATCTCTGGAAGGCTGCTATTGAATTGCGTGTGTCCATTCTTAATGAGCTCGGATGGAACATGTGGGCTGACTACGAGTCCAAGTGGAAATCCTTGAAATTCCCCACCGAGTATGCTTCTTTTTAACTAAAACAATGAGGTGGGAGCATCTTCAAAAAATGTCATCGGATTTGGATCTAATTTTGAATACTGGCCTTTTATAAATACAGAACGTTGATCAGTCTTTTATGATTGGCTATTCTAATTTTTAATCTCTAATAGATTGCAAATATATGACATGATTGGAAGATGGAATGAATTTATTGTTTATTTGATGAATAACCCGGAAATTAAATGCTATTGATACCAAAATCAGGCAATAACACGTTCATTGACATTCGAATCGGGATGATGACCGAGTATCAACAAGGTTGCGAATCAGCTTGCATTCAAGCCAAAAAATCGTTATTTTCACAAAGTTGACCCCATCCCTGTATATTCATATCTGATACAAATTATAGTGGGGACAAAACATTACAGATGTCTAGGTATGGATTGAAAAAATGGATGCAAAAGTGCTTGTTCGGGTGTTAATCGTTCCTTGGGATCAATTCTAAGTATACGTTCGACAAGATCGATAAATTGTGCTTGAGAGTTGGAATCTGCCAATTCTAATCCGCCGTCATTTACTAGCAAGGCAGCATGAAATCCAGCAGTAATGATCCCTCGCAAGGTTTTGTTGGATGCTCGAAACTTTTTGCTGGGTAGGAGTCGGTATACACCACTACGTACACTTGCAAACATGCGGCTGACTCGTTTTGGAGGAGATGTATCAATAAAACTAGTTGGTGGCATGCCGATAATATCACAGATGCGACACATTTGATCGTGTTCGTCTGTGCCAGGAAAAATCGGATTTCCTGTCAGTAATTCCACAAGAATGCACCCAACAGACCACATATCGATTGCATGCGTATATGAATGTCCCATAATAACTTCAGGTGATCGATAGAAGCGGGACTGAATATATGTGTGTGCCTAAATACGTCAAATCAAGTATGGGTGCATATTTATGTAAAATAAAAATTAGGACATGTGAGTACTCTTAAATACTAAACCGACTTGTCAGTAGCTGAAAACACGGTATACCTTTTCATTGGCAAAACATGAGCTTCCAAAGTCTATAATCTTTAAATTTGCTTTTCGAGACTCGACTATCATGATGCTATTTTACATAAAAATATTAAATGGCAATATTGGTCACCTCGATTAAAAATCAGATACTTGAGCAAGGCTGATTCAGACAACAGAATTGTGATGGACAACAAAGGCGGCAAATCGGAAAACCATGCGGGTTTATTTAAAAACAAGACTTACTTTTCTGGCTTAAGATCGCAGTGAATAATTTGAATATCGGGTCGTGCCAAGAATCTAAGGCCGTGTAGAATTTGTTTTGAAAATTTACGAACTAACAGTAGTGGAAATCCAGAGAACGCTCTTCGTTTGAGAAGTTCGTATAAATTCAATGCTAAAAGAGGGTATACTATACATAAATGATTCTGATACATAAAATGACCTTTCATCTTGACTATGTTGTTTAGTAGAATTAGAACTTGCTAATGATAAAGTAAAACAATTTTTATATTTGATGCAAGTATTTAGAGCATAAACTCGCCTACCTAAACAATTTGAGTCTGTAGAATCTTTGCTAGAAATAAGTTGCAGCAATTTGATTTCGATTTGCGCTTGGTTGGTGAATGCACGACGGTTTTTGATTATTTTTATAGCGACATGTTCTGTATATTGCATATCAAATGCATATACTACTAGTCCAAATGATCCTTTTCCAAGCTGACTAAGAATATGAAACCGATTCATCCAGATCTCTCCCTCCTTGATAATATAGTCGTCATTTTCATCATCAAATGAATTGTTCTCTGCTATAGTTTTGTTGCGTTTCGAATTACTGTCATCAATACTAATTTGTCGTTTACGTTTAAAATCGCCTCCTGGCGTCTAATATAACAAGATGAAAATGTAAGGCAAGCAAAGCTAGAAATCACCAACATAAATACAAAGATACCTTGATTTTCTCGTAAGTTTCTATGAGATTAACAGACAGTTTGCATATCGTGCTATTCTTCCATGGCCTAATGGTAAAACTTTGTGCGATGGGAGCAAAATCAGATAAAACTGGCATTGTCAATTCAGCCAAATTAGCTGCGTTGCCAGAGATGCTAGCAATACTTTCTAATTGATCAAAATTAGGTAGTCTAATTTCATTGACATGCGAATCATCGAGTTTGGACAACAGCACGTTTTCTATTGACGAATTCTTGTATATATTAAGTTGGGGTTTTTTGAAGTTCACTACATCATTAAAGTATGACCTGTGCATGTTTGGATGTAATAGCAATGGCGAAGATTTCTGTGAGTAGATTAGTGATCCAGATGCATCCTTTAAATGAGAAGGAAATAAATGCCGATTTTGTGTTTCATGCAGGAGTTGATTTTCCTGAGCTTGACCATTTAGCAATTGTGATAATTCAGAACATAAACCATAAGAGTGATCATTTTCCATAGTGGTTGAGGAAAGAGAAAGGGATGCGGCTGCCTTTAAAAGTGGTGGAGATATAGGATCTACATGAATACCAGTAGAAACAGATGCAAGCTGCTGCGGGAGTATTTCTGAAAGCGTATATGGCTCAGCAGCAGGAGCCGCAGAATCATTTAGATTAGATGGACAATAGTCCGGGTTGAGATGATCACATGAAGGAATCAAGACAGTTTCAGTCAACACAGTAGAGGATGGATATGATGGTAAAAGCACTGGTAGAATACTCGACATTTCATCCAAAGATGGAATAATGCAAGTCGGAGCTGACGCGTCTTCAGAAGCGGAGATTGGAGCACAAGTAACAGCTACAAGATTGCTGGGTATCGGAGCAGATATGGATGGAATAGAAACAGAAAGTGATGTTGGTTCAAGAAAGAGTGAGCAAGCAGTCTGACAACGAGTTGCAGTAGGAATAGATAATGGCGTTGTGTTGAGTGGTAAAGTGATTAAATGCTGACGAGATTCAAGAGTCGGTTCGTTGACTGCTGCTAATTTATCTACTGCTTTTGGCTGGAAAAAAGCCATATAAACATGTAGTAATATTACTAGGGGCTAAATCTGAAGACTACATTTAAAACCTAATATTAATAAAACGAAGCAATGAAACCCAATTCAACAGTGACATCTTGTATTAGAGAATATAAACTAGTGACTGTTGTAATCCTGGATAGTGTTGCTATACAACGGTTAAGAACACTCCCAAATTCACTGTACGGTCTCAACAGCAAAATGAGGTTTTTATAGAATATCTTGTAATATTTTGTATGGAATCTATTACAACTCTAAAGAACGGTTAAAATACAGGAATGAAAGTGGTACCTTGTGCAAAGAACTCCAATGCAGTTACTATGGCTGTTGCTAATTAGCCTTTGTGTTAACAATAGTTTCTGCAGTGGTTGATAGTTGCAGTTCTAGTAAAAGTCTAATCTTGGCCAGCTTTCCATCGACACGTCATGAGGTTGAATCTTGACAAAGTCGATTCTCAATAGTAGAACATATCGCATATTCAACTCTACTAATCATCTGTTCGTCTTTATTATTATTTATTTGCGTTTTGCATGCAATGGGCGGGGAAACGTCTTGTTTTTAGATAGTACAACCGTTAGTGTCCGATGGTCTAGATATCCAAATATATACCCCTATATGCCATGAATTACAATTTCAAAGTTTAAAATGGTTTTCAAGGCCATCAGCACACTCGTCATCTATGCATTACCTGGTCTATCAATGAAACCAAAACACATTCCACCTCATCCGCCTGTGCATTTTCTCCTGATAGTCCACTGACCTGAACTGCTGCAATAAAGATGGCTAATGGAATGTTAAACACATCTCGGTATGCTTGCTGGAAATATTTTACACTAGTAGTTTGGAAAATAGGTTAGTAATGATTATACCATAATCTTTGAAAATCCAATTTAACCTCTAATCATTCTTATTTTAGATCAAATATTCTCACCTAGATTGAAAGAGATTGCGATACATTAGTAATACGACACGTTCCTTCATGATCATGTATAGACATCGCTTCATAAACCAACTGCGATGTCGATCCAAAACCTTGATATATTCATGATAGTTTCCTGTTTTTACATAAAAAATCAATTCGATAAACCGCTCTGCAAGTCGATATTTGTACAGTAATTCGTTGGAAGGTAAACATCCGCGTACAACCCTTGTCACGATCTGATAAGACAAAATAGTTCTAGCCCACAAAAGCTGAGAATGTCAATATCGGCATGTATAATCATGATGCAACTTGAAAAAATACACAAGACATTAAGAGTGAAGAAAACAAGGAGTGGTTCACACTGATGACCGACCTTTTAACGTGCGGGTTTTCTATTGTGCACAACTGAGATGATAATGAAAGATACTGATCTGCCTAGAGAGTAAAAACATGCATACAGTTTAAAATCAGCCGCGACATTATACCCATCAATGCTGTCTGATACAATAGCGTATTAAAAACAGCGACAATGCACGCACCGTAACAAAATCATGATAGCGCAGCTTCAGCTTGCCTAGTTGAAAGTAATATGCAACCTGATCTGCCTTTGAGAAATCTGTATAATTGAAAGTTCGACCGACATGCATTTCGATCTGTGCAATTACTGTTGTACAAACATGCAGTTCTCCACTTTCAAATGACATGCGCAAAACAGCATTAGCAGCCGCTAATAAACCACTCTCGGTTCCTGGCTGAACTCTAAATTACTCGAAAGAATTGAAACTGTGAATTCAAATCCAAACACAATGGTCGAGCACATTCACCTTACCTTCGTAGACATTCTCGAATAAAGTCGTTCAATGCAGTTTGAACCAGCCCACATTGAACCGGAGTTTTTCCGTTAGCCTTGAGCTGGCCGTCTAAAAGTAGTGCCCGTCGAACAACAAAACTACAGACGGCTCCAAAAAGTAAACTATGCCATGGTGCAGAGTATACATTCTTTGTAAAGTGTCTATGAAAGAAGCCAAGACATGCAAGCCAGTTTAGTGATATGAGAAACATTCAACAGTTGATGCATGTTTTAACATATAGACAAGTGTATAAAATAAAGATTGACTTGCTTGAATACATCGTCGAGCTGGAGAGGTCTTTGAATATGAGATTCAGTCATATATCTAACATAGATGCTAAAAAAGTCTTTGAATGGCGAATGCAATCTGCTAAAAATACCATCAACGAAACCCTAATAGTTGACAATAAATAAGTTAGTAATGCAAGCTATTTCACACAACTTGTATAACATGACAGATCTTATTAGTTCACACATACAAAATGGGATACTGCCTGTAAAAGACTCTCTTTTGAAAGCATGGACAATTGAGTGAATGCGACAGAGAGTGCATGACCATCTTGATACTTCAAACTGTTTTCAAAAGCCTGCACAATACTTGACAATGCTTGCATCTACTTGACGTTTGCGATGATCACAATTGAAGATAAAAGGGATGAGAATGAAGATAAAAAATAAATTGTTGGCAACCATCAACATTTTTAAAGTTCAATAGAAAAGCATAACGAATATTCAGTCATTGCTTATTTCAAAATAAAATTACTTCAAGATAATACAAATGGTTTCAATTCCAATATTGTTTTAATCACAAATGTATTGATTCAATAAGTGATTGAGCTTGAAATGTCGATTCTTCATTTTTATATTAATATAAAAACGTAATTTGTAATTGTACATTGTTAGATACTTGGAATTCACCATGTCTGATTGTCTCTCCTGTAGACTGACTTTGTTGCAAGAAGCCATTCACTTATGCCAGATGAATGATTCTCAATCCTTATGTATGTCCATCATCAGTAAGAAAACCGGCTCTGACCCTCTCTTGGTCCTATATGGACAGATTGGTCCAAGATTGAACACTGATCGAGGAAAACTGGGGTTGCAGTTTGTAGATGTTAGTGGTAGTCTTTGTTGTAGTTTGATGACTGGAGATACATCGTTGATAGGATGTACTGTTTGTGTCTGGCAATGGAACTTGCTGCTGCTGCCCAAAGAGAATGATTCAGATCAAACTATCCATGATATGAACTATAGTGGAAATCATACTATTCAAAAAAACAAGCACACTGCAGATATGAGCAAATACTATCTTGAAATCATATCCGTATCGCCTTGGTCAGTTCATGCTCATGTACTCGACAGACTTGCAGAGTTTACGTTTGATATTCCATTCGATACTATCCTGCATCCATCAGCTGCAAAAGTCTACGCAGTAGATAGTACTCTTTCTAAAACCATTTGCATCTCATCATCTACTGGTCAATGGCAACTTCAAGGCATGGCTATTGGAAAGTCTGGACTTGAAGTCACAAAGACACTTGCTCATTGTTTTCTGAGAATGAAGCTTTCGCATCGGATAGGATCTACTCGACTACCATTTGATAACGAGATCGTCATTATCATGTTTAAAGGTCCTTTACTTGAGATGGTTTCTAGCACAGCTCTCTTGAGAATTGGCAATGAATACTCCATCTCCAATCTTAAACCGCAGAAACTAACTTTCCCTAAAGGTTTATCTGTTAATGTTCTCGCGTTTGGACCTTTATCAAAAATCACTTCAATCAGAACCTCCATAATAGACTTGGATACCCAAAGCAGCTGTCAAGATTCGCCAGAAACATCACCCAGCTCTTTGTCAGGGACTCCGAAAACTACTTTGAGAATTGATGCTGCATCGCATACTCGGCTAAATCATCCTGGGCTTTATTGCCAAATAGTTGAAGGATTCGTACAAGAAAGTATCCGATCTTGGCGTAATTCAATGATTACATATACTGGCTACATCACTACTGTACTAGATGGATCGCTACTTTTTTTTCAATTGGATGCCATGTATAATCTGATATGTACATTTTCGACACTGGATATACCTCATACTTCATTACGTCCAGGAACTCAGATTACTGTGGTAGATGTACACTTGATTTTTAGTTCAGCAACTGACCCAGTGTTTCTTGTCATGTGCGATCTTTCTAAATTGCAAGTCATATCTTGGGGTCCTATATGTGCCAATCCATCATCCTCTATTTGTTTTTCTGAAAAAACATTGAGCTATACGCGCAGAATGTCCTTTGTAGATCTAATCTACTTTCAGCTAGTAAGCCGGATTATCTCGCAAGTCTGTAGTACGTCTGATATTTTACTACCTTCTGCCATGGCGGATTTGGGGCTGCACTATGCAAGTCTTGCCATTCTGCATATCTGTGGATTTATCCCACTAAAGGCACCAGCCCCACAAGTTTTTCTGTGTCATGACCAGGCTTGCTCAATACTCATTCGGCAGTCGGATTATCCATTTTTCATTTCTGTAGAGGATGCAAACAATCACCTTGAAGTCGCAGTATCCAAAATTCAACCTAAACCTTTTGATAATAGCATCTTGTCCATCAAAATCAATGCAAATGATTTCAACTCATCATCTTTGGCATGTATTGGAGCACTAAAGGTGAACCAAACTACAGGTAGATTGGCGTTGGTATCAGGAAACAAAAGTCAAATTTATATACACATACCACCATCTAGTTTGTCAGTAGATTTGACCTTGTTGGTAGATCACTTGGTGTTACTCTTGGACGTTGTTTTAATTTCCGAAATTATTGTTACTGGAGGAGAGGTGCCGAGCAATGACAAATCAGATTCCACTTTTTTGGAAAACCGACCCACTACATATTCTTACATTGAGGTGCGTTCCTCAAATATACGCGACATTGGCAGTTTACACGCTCCTCTTCTATCGGTTGGACCAGTTAAGAAATTGGGAGATATGCCTTGCGATCAAGTGATTATGCATTTTCTATCCAAAAGATTGGCTACACTTTATTGCAACTCATCAGGCGACCCTGAATTAGAAATCATAATGCGGTGTGGATTAAGTACACCTAAATCAACTACTACCAATGATCGACCGTTTACCGAAGTATATTTTCGATTTTATGGGCCCACTTTACATATTCCAGAACTGTACTCTTTAAATCACGCATATTTGGTTGAACTTCCTGTCCATAGTCTACAAACCGTTTATCACCATGGTGCTTCTAACTGGGATCTATCGTGGAAGTTTCGGGAATTTTCAAGCGATATCCATAGAGCTAGTTTTAAAACTATGCCAAAGCTTTTACCTATAAAAATAACTCTCGAGTCCCAATCGGAACAAGCAAGCCAGCCAATGGAGTTTCTTTCAACTGTCACTTGCAGGATACTTTTAAAGCAGTGGCAGATAGATAAAAAATTTAGTCAGCCTACGTTTTCGGCAACAGCACATCGACAAAACACAGTTGATTTGCAACCATACACTCGCTCTACTTTCAATACAAAAGCGTGCCAGTTAGCCCAACAGTTACTGGTTGGTCTTGGAAGGGAATATCTTAAATTGACACTAAAGGTGGAAACCATCGATTCAATGACCAGGATGTGGGTTGACTGGGATATTCGAAACTGCGCTTTTCCTTTTGGAATACTTGTAGGTAGAGTTGTGCTTTTCGAGAATTTGATGATCAAGAGATCACGAAACAACCGACAGTACGCGCACATTTTACCTATTACCACAGTAACCCTTTTCTCCGACTCTCACTTGAGCAACTATGCTTTAACAGCAGATCACAAAGTAGATGATGAAAACACGAATTTCGATTGTAAAGCTCCTTGTTTTCGCATTTCTCATATGCTGTCACTTCCAATGAGCTTGAAAAAGACCGATTTATTCGTATATGTCACTGCTATAACAGAAGTGTCCATCACAAACATATGCCAAGTGTGCAAGCAAATGGCACCAAAAAATATGTGCTCTTCAAATTGTATTGCGTCAGAGTATAGTATCCAGGCTCAAGCTGAGATATCTGTGGAGGATGGCACGGCAAAGGCAAAAGCCATGTTATCAGAAATAGACTCTATTATAACGCTCCTACGCTTATCCTCGAGTGAATATCAACGTTTGGAAAAAATGGTATGTGATGCTGGTACAGTTTTATATACTGTGCCAAAGTATCCTGATAATGCAGTATATTCTGATGATCTCGATCAACAGCAAAGTGTTGCTACTCCTGACAGCATTTGGCTTGAGGCCATAGTACAACGTCGCAGTAATCTTCGACAAATTCAAATGGACATGACAATAAGTACAAACATCAATAATAACGCGGCTTCAGAAAGCTCTGGTTTTTCTGATGGGCCATCCCTTACTTGCGTTGGCGATATGTTTCATCTTCGTCCGTATTCTCTCAGCACAGGTTCCAAATCGACTCCAGTTAAAACATTGTCCTATGTATGGCCTCGACTATATCCCGTTAGGATTTCTGATGTCGATTCACGAGAGCTGGCGTTGAAGCTGTTGACATACGTCAACAAATCTTTAAAATGAATGTTTATTTTGGCAAAAGTGTGGCATCTTCAATATTTAAAGATTTTGGAAGAGTTGTTTCGTACAGTTTTTGTAATAAACCAATGACTACTTTAGCATCACTCAAAGATGCATCAAATATTTGCCACCATGCCGTAGATTGCGGTAGAGTCACATTTAAATTTTCCGCTGCGTATAGAATTGCAGCTACTGCAATAGTTGATGGCTGGAACAAAACAACAGCAATCGTTTGGCCACTAAATTTTAGTTGTATTGTGCATTAGCATTGCATGCCGATATTGCTAGCTATTTATTGCATAGACTTTTGATGAAACAAGCATTGAATAAAATCTAGACAGGCCAAAATATTTTTTAATCACACCAAGACACAAGCAACCCTATTACCTATCATTTAAATAGTTCCAAGCCTTTTGTACAAACCCATCGATTCTTGCTAGATCTAAGCTTTGAAGATAATTGACCAAAAATCCGTGTGGATGCTGCACTTGAACATTGAACCCAAGCGCAACCAGCAATCTCATTTCCCCATCAATCATGTCATTTTTTATCTTATTATATCTCTAATAATTTTTGATTGTAAAATAGATTAGTGTTTCTGAATATAATTTAAATGTGAACATGGTTTAAAAAAGTAGATAAATTATATTCCATACCGTTCCATAAATGTCGAGTGGTTTTGAAATTCGTTTTTGATGTGATTCTGCAATGTAATGAAAGACATTGATCAGATCTCGGTTCATACGAGGACATTCCTCCAACTTTGTGCTCAAAAAAAGACAAGCAGATGCTACTTTCTAAAAATGGATGGCAAAATGAAGATTAGTCGCATTATATGCAAATGGCTTTGAATTTATAACAGACTAACCAAAACAGAATGATCCTTGAGAGATGCACAGAAAAAGAAGCGTTGAAAAAGGACTTGAGCAGTGGATGATGCAACCTGCGGTCTAATATTTGGTAACGAGGATAGCAAAGAGGTAAACGACATGACATGTTTCTATTACAAGACTACTCGATACTTGTTATAAACAGCAAGATCCAGCCATCTGAATCAACTTACAGTTGTAAAAGTATAGATGCAGAGTTGATGAGTTGAGTGCCTGCTATTCTAAGACACCTCTCTAAATCTATTATCGGGTTATTGGCATTTCCAGTTTGTAGTTAAATCTAGACACAAGAGCTGAATAAAATCACTACCTGAAGACACACCATCAATACGAGAAGGAGAAGAGTCCAACTGTGCAAGTGTTGGTTGAGTATTTAGTAATGAGAGTCCAGCAGATTCCATGAGTGCTGAAGTAATAACAGTTTAGATTTAATCCAAACTCAACCGTCACAGCTGGTGATAATAGGAATGAATAGAAAAATGAGAAATTGTTGGCAGCCATCAGTGAATGTCATATTTTTGAAGTCCTGCCGACTCTTTCAATCAACTCTTGCTCGTTATGTTCACCAGGTTAATAAACACCATACTCTAAAGTTACTATTTAAACCCATAAGTTGTTGCTACTTTGAATAAGAGGTTTTTAAACATCATGTACCAGCAGTATAAATAGGACACCAAATGATACCAGTTTTTCAACCAACAATTACTGCTAAATTTGCTCTAAAGCTGTCAAAATAACAAGTTATCAGAGATGAGCATCAAGGTCAGAAACCTAAGGGTAATCGCATTCAAGTTTGAATTATCAGGAGCTATTTGTGCAAGACTCATACTAATGTTTTAAATGGATCCTGACATTATACCAAGATCGGATAGTAAAGTTAAATAGTAACTACGATCGGGTTATTGTTTAACGTTTATTGGATGATTCTTACTAAAACTTATTATTACCTTTTCAGGAATGGTAAGATGGTTCTACAAGAAGACTACAGACAACTCCAGCGAAAACAGATGCAAGTTGTGAATTCCATTGTTGCTTGCCAGATCAACTGCCAAATAGTGTATAGAGAGTATCCTAAGCCAGTCATCTCAATAATGAGGAATATGACATCAGCAATAAATGGATGATGATATTCTTCCACTTCATTGTCAGTCCCAAAAAGACAGTGACAGAATAACCAAGTCCTAAACCAAATGAAAAGCAAAAACACAAAATGCATTGGTCCAGGTAAGTCACTAAAGGAATCACTATGATTGTGTTGGTGATTGAAACTTGAGTTTCTTCTAATACATCCTTCAAATCAGAGGCTCTTAATACTTCAATAATCGAGTTTCCTATTTTCAAATCCAAATTGCAAATAGGAGTCTGCAAAGCAGGCATAACTGCTTCTTTTATCGCACATTTCAGAGCTGAAATAGTCTTGCCTTTAAATTGGTCAATAGTGAGCAGTGTATCAAAGTGTTGGTATTTTGAAGTATATTTTTGTCATTTTTCAGTTTATTTGAGGAAAAAAAAGCTTTAAAAATGACAAAACTTGGGTCAAATTCAAGCCAAACAACGCTACAAGGGTATCTACTGAAGACTGCGAGATTGTAGATGACCTTCTTAAAGCCTGCAAGAAGGAGCTCTCACCACTCTTGGACTCCTATGCAATTGACCAACTCTCTCTTTCCACTACTGATGGTGGTACTCCTTTACAACCAGACGACCCTATTCCTGCTCAGAATACAGCAAAGACTCCTTTATTCATCACTGTTGCAGACAGTTCTTTAGGGAGTCGCTCTTTGTCAAAATCTAGCTTAAAAGCTCCTCATCCTAAACGAAAAGAAAGATGGGAACAACTCAATGAAATTCTTGAAAAGAACAAAAGGAAATCCAAGGCGACTGATTCAACAGCATATTCGTATGTTTCTTGGAATCAGGTCAAGGATGTACTACGAACTACTCGTTATATCCAATCTTCAAAGGCTATTCCAGATACTCAATTCAATATTCTCACACAGTATTTGTCGTTTGCCACAAAGTGCTTTGGTTCAGTTATATCATTCATGGGACCTGAGAGACTTCATTTGATTGCACCAATCATCATTTGTGTGTTTCCTGTTCAACGGAGATGTTCAAATTGAAGTAGAGGAAGATTTGAACGGAGATTTCTTGAAAGCTCATGGCCATTTTGAATTTGTGTTACGTCGTGGGAAGAAAAGAGTTTATATTGTCGAAGCAAAGAAGGAAGATATGGATCAGGGAATGACACAGAATTTGATTGGATGTGAAGTAGCAGCAGAGATTGGTCACTTGGATTCAGTCTATGGAATTGTTACCAACTACGTGCAGTGGAATTTCTTGCGTAGTCTTGATGAAAAGATTGAGATGGACGAATGTTCCATCAAGTTGTTGCCTGGAGGTGAACCTAGTACAGATTCTCTTGTCGATATCACTGGAAAAATCTATGCTATGCTATCCGATGAATGAAATAAATGTGTTTGTTTTTTAACAAAGTTATAATTGTAATATTGAGGCTTATCAAAACCTTAAAATTGTAATTTCCATTGTTTACTATAAATGTCTGAACAGCTACAGCCTGGATTAGAAGAGTTGCTGCTCTGAATGATTCAGATTTGGAAGAAGAGCTCAAATTAATCAACAAGAATTCACTCAATGTATTTGCAAGAGTAATCAGTCATACACACCATCCAGAATTAGATTTTCATACAGAAATGGAACGTATGAAGCATATCCCCACACCGATACAATCAATTTATTGGTTTCTATTGGAGTATACGCTATCTGCCATCAATTCGGAAACACCAGTCAGTTCTCATATAGATGACAATACTAGAATCAAGGTCTTAACCAGACGTATTACTATTTACAAGTCTGAATTACCTGGCAAGAATCGTACCAGTGGTCCATAGTAGTATGTGTAGGGCACCGAATAATACCAGTTTTTATTCATTCAGAATATAGCTGTTAATTTGTTGCAAGACCCAGAATGGCCATTTTCAGGGGCCTGTTAAGTTGAGAGCGTGCGCCTCATTCCGTTCCTTCCCCACTCAAAAACATGACCTGCCGAATTTCGCTTGCTACCCAGTTTTCTGGGAACTACAGCAAACTCAAGAGAACCATCAAGCAAGTCCTGAACCAGAGACAAGTCGGACATATCCTGCAGACAACGCAGGTCGGCGACGGCCAGAAACACACCTCCCTGTTTATGGAAGGGGAAGAAACAGCCCTCTACGCAGTCAAAGCAGAGCTTGTTTCCCATTTGCAGTCTGTTTTCCCTGATATTGCCATTCGGGAATGGCAAGAACTGGCTTCGGACTTCCCTATCGAAGGTTCACACGTTGCTCCCACCCCTGGCTGTCTTTCAAGGGAATCCTCAGGCTTTGTGGAGGAACTGGCAGAGTGTTCGAATGCCCAACTGCCGAGGCCGTCGAACTGGAAGGAGTACTTCGATTCCGGCTTTATCCAGGTGGTCACTGCCATTCAGAATGGTCGTCAAGTTGCCTACGAAATCCAGAGTTCTCTCGGAAGCATCAATGAGAAATTTGTTCATATCACTTACAAATCAAAAACTGCCCATATGAATATCGGTGCCTGCATTTCGTGGTCCCAGGTCAAGCAGGTCATCGAGAAATGCCAACTTCTCGACATCAAGAAACCAATCGCAGGGATTTATTCACTTGTAGACGGAAAGAAGAGCTATGAGTCGGACCGTTTTGGACTCAAGGCTGAAGGTCACTACTACATTGAAACCGAGGACGACCTTGCCCCTCCTAAATTCACCACAATGGAGGAGTTTTTTGGAAGGCTGAAGACGGAGGAAGACCTGGATGATGAAGAAATTGATATTATCAAGGACTGTTTCACAAAGCAAAAACTCAAAATCAAGCAGCTTATGGCAACGGGCGACTTGGCTATGACTGACGAGAAGCTCAAAGAAATTGGAATCTCTCAATTGGGTTTACGAACAGCAATTCTTGCAGTCATAAAAAGCAATCAATAAACCCCTTGCTGTAATGTGAATTTGCTCGATCAAATTGTCCATACCATCCAAAGTACAATCCAATCGACTCACCAAATGCCACTCATCCGCCATGTGACTTTGTAGAGCGTCATATCCCATTTTGGTCAATGTTCTCGTATCCAAGTCTGGTATGCTATTTTTCATTGTGAGGTTGCATATTGTGAATTGACCAAGACCTGATGGAAGGGCAAAAGTCTTGCTCTTACAATGATAGTTGAGAAGATCGGGAAATACTACAATTGTAATTCTGAGTTTACAATTGTAATTTCCATTGTTTACTACAAATGCCTGAACAGATTGCAGCCTGGATTAGAAGAGTTACTGCTCTGAATGATGATGATTTGGACGACGAGCTCAAATTAATCAACAAGAATTCACTCAATGTATTTGCAAGAGTAATCAGTCATACACACCATCCAGAATTAGATTTTCATACAGAAATGGAACGTATGAAGCATATCCCCACACCGATACAATCAATTTATTGGTTTCTATTGGAGTATACGCTATCTGCCATCAATTCGGAAACACCAGTCAGTTCTCATATGGATGACAATAC